GGGGACCAGGGCGCGCACAAAATCATGCACGCAAGCGGCACGACACCGGTTTATTAGAGAATATTTTCTTCTTATTCTCTATTATTCTCTAGAAATTTATTCTCTAAAAAATAAATTTTGAAATAATCAAATATTGAAAATCAACGTACCCCCCCATCCCTCTCCCTCCTGCTTGCACGTAGCCAAGGGGTCAGTCTCCCTCCCCCCGCGCACTGGTGCGCACTAGGAAGTCTCTGGTGAAAAAGAACGTCCTCTGGCCGGTTTGGACCATCAAACCCCCCTGAATTTTACCTATCAATCCCCGCCTTGCGCCTCATCTCGATGAGCCGTTGGGGCTCCCTCTCTCTTTCTTTCGCCAATATTATGATGCGGGGGGTTCCCCTCTCTTTCTCTCCCTCTTCCTCCCTCTCCCTCTCTCCTTCCCTCTCGTTCCCTCCCCTCCCTGTCCCTTCTTCTCCCCGTCTCCCTCCCTCTGCGATTTTTTAGGAAATTTTGGTCAATGGTTTTCGTCTATGGTTTTCGTCTATTTCCCGTCCCTTATAAGAAAATATGATCTTTATCTATAAGTATTTTTTTTTAACGCCGTGGAGTATAGGCCGCGAGGTTACTCAAATTCGAAGCAATGTCCCGGCAACCCAAGAGTTTCAGCTAATTGGAGTTTGCGCGATCATATGCATCTGCTTACACGATTGTTTTTGCAGGATACAAAGATGATCATGTCTCCGGCTCTGCCAATTGAACTAACCCTCCTCAATGGGTTGTCAAGCAAGATTGTCATCATGCTCTCTCCACCTGGCACAAAGAGATGAGATGTGAGAGGTGCTCTGCTCAAACACCTGCACCAGGCTCCGAGCATGCCTTGGAGACACTGAGTGCCAAGCGCCTGTCGCTTCGGCGTAACCTTTCCTTCCCACCACCAGTTTGAAGCTGACCTGAAAGCTGCTGCCATGTGGGTAGTTGTCAATATTATGGTCCATTTTGGGGTACCCTAAACATGAGGTGCCGTATTATGATAAGGACCCGAAAAGGGACCATAATTTTGACAACCACCCATATGGCTCAACATCCGTAGTCGTGCTACATGTCGTTGTTTGTCGGAGGCCCGGCAGTGCGCGGGGTCCGATGACCCTCCTACCTTTCACATCCTCCGCTGATCCCATGATTCTCATCGGTTAACTCCTAGACCATACAAGCGATGGATGAGTCTCCTATTCAGGCTCGCCATTCCCGAATAACCCGGCTCTCAATCCGAGAACTCTGAGCTCTGCACTTTGTCTCCTTCACGATCACAGCTGGGCGGCAACCTGGCCAGCGAGAGCAACGATCGACCGGAGCCGGACACTGAGCCGGACCGCACAGCCCCTTTCTGGGTATAAGCAAGTGCGAGTACCGGTTCAGATCCACGAAGACATCTCTGCCGAACTCCTTGCTGCCACACTTGCCAACAACTCAGCAAAACTAAACAAATATCAGCCACGATGCGATGCTACATCGGCTGCGAAGCAGGTATGTTGCGCATCCAATTCAACAAAGCATGAAGCCAAGATTGGCATCTTCAGTTGAACCAAGCATCTGCCCGAGTTTCAGGACACCTCGGCAACTGCAGTATTGACGGGTCCGAATGCCTTGGAGCTGAACCCTGGCTTCAATAAAGCTTGAGCTCTGCACGAGATGAAACCAAAGCCGGATCCTTTGTTCACCATTCTCATCGTCCCGTAGAACCTGTCTGTCGGTCATTCTGCGAATGCTGAGACTGCCAATCTATCGCACAACGCTGCGATGAGCCTCTTGTCCGCCATATCATCTGGAAGCTTCTTGTACTTCTTGTCACCTTGCTGGGAGTCTGGGGTGGCAACTGCCAGCCTTGCTTGCCAGCCTTGCTTGCCAGCCTTGCTGCACTTGTTTTCTGCCAAGGAGCGCGAGCGAGGGGATCGAGAACGACGGCCCCCTGAGCTGCTGCGCTTCCTGCACAGCTTTCAAAGCCAGGCGTTGCCGTGCTCAGCTCAGCAGTGCTACTAGCATACCAGCAGCCTCAGTAGCCCTGCCCAGCTGCACCTCCGATTGGAAGGCGAGCGACCTCGCCGCTTCGGGGGCGTTCGAGAGCGCCTAAGCAAGACATTGACTCTGCTTTGCCCAGCAATTCAAGGTCTGGGGGCTGCCCAAGCGAGTCCGAGGTCAGTCCCTAATGCCCAAGTGACATTCTGATCCGATCAGGTTGGGCCGCAAACACCAGAGTTTCCGGGTTGTTGGTACATGGCGCCTGCTCCGCGAGTCCTGCCGCCGTGGCCGGCGAGAGTCGGACCTGGCCAGCTTTGCTTTGGCAATGGGCAACAACATGCAACAACTGCATGCGGCGGGGGGGGGTGTGGAAACAGAAAGACTTGATCCTTTCACACGGGCGGGCTGTGCAAGCCCGTCACCGCACCGCCTCGAGCGTGAGCGAGACGCACGGCGGCTGGGTGCCTGGACTGGTCTCATGGAACACTTCTAGGCTCTGGGTCAGAAAAGGTCAACGAGCTGCGGGTGACTTCGGCAGCTATGGAAAGCTGGAATCGTGCTCCGGAACATGCATTCTGGAAACATTGCAATACAGTCACGAACATGTCAGGTCTTTCTGCACTGTGCCTTTCGGCCGCGGCTTTCGCTCCTGCCCCACAAGCTTGCATGGAGGAGCATTTACCATGAATGAAGAGTTTGAGGCCGAATCTCGCTGGCGAAAACGAAGTTGCCTCCCTCTTCCTCTCAGCCTCCTCTGCGCCCTCTCCGCCCTCTCTGCCCTCTCCCTCTACTACCGGAGCGATCGGCCGCACAAGCTCAAGGCGCACTATGAGTGCAGGCCTCCGCCTGGAATTGCTTCTGCTGCCCATCCGCACAAAGCTTGAGCTCAGGCCAGCTAGCGTGTTGTTTGTGTATGAATGGCACAGATAGGACGTCTCCTTCGCTGTGCACAAGCTCCAGACGCACGTGGGCTTCTCCTGTCTTTCGAGTTGATAACCGCCCAGTGGTCGCACTATCCTGCTACGGTGCACATTTTGCTTCGTGAGTCTTCGCTAGTAGGCTGTCATACAACGAATGTCCAAGACCGCCTTTCTTGCAGCTCTCTTGCTTTTTTGTTAAGGCCTCTGCTACTGCCTGCATTGCATGCCTATCACAAACAGCGAAAGGCTGCCCTGGGCACTTGGGCACTGCGGCTTCAGTTCACACTAGTGCAACGTACCACTGCCCCACTTGCCATGCAGTCAAGCAAGGCTGTCAAGACTACATGTGGACAGGCACCTGACCTGGATGAGACGAAACACCAATCAGCTGCCTTCTTGGGCTCTGAGGTGTGCGCTCTGCTCTGCACTCGGAGTCACAGAGAGATTTGCTCCGGGGCTCGGTAGAGCACTCACTTGTCGACGACCTGGTAGATCAGAAAAACAACGTGCAGGCAATGACCCCAGCTTTTTCCATGAAGAGGCTGGCAGGAATTGAGCGCAAAACCCTGACAACTCTAAAATGGGTCAACCTTATCAGGAGCTCAGCAAGGTACAGTGGCATCTCTGACATGCAGTACATACTACTAGTATATTGGGTCTACGATTCCGCCGAAAGAAAGCTTGTGCAGCACCTGGAGAGACACGAACTGCTTGTGATGGACGAGCTCGGCCTTGTCGTCACTTCCAAGGAACCCAGTTTCATGCAGGTCATACAGTTCGGAAATAATGAACTGGTGCCGCGCCCCTAGACCTCCTATAGTATAAAAGCTGTCAGCACTTGATGCTGCTGCATACTCGTATCAGTCTGAGGCGAGAACTGTGACTCTCTTGTGCGCCAACTCCTGTGGGAAGCCGTGCACCGACCCTGTATGAGAAGGCATATTCAATGTCTGCATTCGCCTGGTCGCTTGCTTTAGAAAAAAGCTAGTTCGACAAGGGCAGAGCCAGGCTTAACTTGAACATGCTTGGACTAAAGAAAGAGTAATTGAAAAGCTGGGCCTCTGCTCCAGAGTCCAGGCACCGCAGCAGCTGGGTGACTCCTAGCTGGTTGGCCACCTGAAGCTGCAAACCAGTGTGCTACACTGCGCATCAACCTGTCCTCAGGCGCGGACGACCACACGACGCAATGACTGCGCCAGTGCGGCACACTCGGCGCTCTCCTGGCCAAGCAAGACAGACATGCAAAACGCTGAGTCTATTCTCGGAGCGCTTCGCCTCCTTCAGGGTTGGCTGGACCCTGTCCAAGAGCTGCGTGGCCTGTCGAAGGCAAAGAGGGAAGGGAAGAAGCAATGCTGGCTGCGTGTCCCTGCCTCCAAGAGTGAGTTTTGTGAGGCTTGGAGCACGGAGCGCCTTTCCGTGGAGTCCTGTTTTGGGGCGGCGAAGGGCGAAGCCAGGAAGAGTCCACGCCTTCGACGATTTGTTTGGGGTCCTGGGCAAGGACGGCCGACTGCTTGAAGTCCTCGAAGGACGGCCTCAGCTCAGCTCTCGTCCGAAACAAGAGGCTACGATTCGCAGATGCTCCAGCAAGTTCGCAGATGCGTCGCTTGCGACGATTCAACCCTAAGCCATCCTAAGCCGCTGCTTCAGGCTCAGAAGAAGCATGCACTGGAAGGAATCAGATCTTCACAAGCCCCACGCAGATGCGGCAAGCGGAATTGCTCAAGGCTTCTGAACCTGCATGAAGGGAGGCAGTCGACAAGACGATGGCCTGCCGGCTGAACATGGAAAGGTTTGCAGTACCAGGCCTCAAAACGAAGCGCTGGCACAAGCCAGCTTCCACTGCTGGAGGGCTGGACAGAAGCCCGTGGCCTCACACAGGAGCCCCTGCAAAGCCCAGGTTTGACCGAGTCCTGGGGATCCAGCAGCAGAAGGCCAAAGCTCTGAACAGCCCACGCACCTTCCAGACTCTGAGGATCTCTTTGGGGTCTTGTGAGTCTTGCGCAAAAGACAACGCTGCTCAGGGTCCAAGCCAGGCTTTGCGTCGCTTCGAGCAACAGCAAGCTCGTCGGAGGATTCCTTCAAGGGGAAAGGGAAGCCTCTCTTGCAGGGGCACTCCCGCACTCTTCGAGGGCTCTTACTCTAGGGGCTGCGCACCAAGAGAGAGAGAACGAAGTGAAAGAGAAGACAGGAGCCTCGCCTCGGCTTCAGCTTCCCCAACGCATCCTGCAAAAGCCAAAAGTGAAGCATTGAAGCAGAATCCCACGTCCACTCCCGCGATCAAACGTGTGATCTAGCAACCTCCACTCCCCGTGTCCAAATCCAAGAAGGAAGTGCCAAACAGCTTCGAAAAGTTCGTTCAAGATGACTTTCCCGACCCCCCATCCACAAACAAGCTTACCTTGGGCCGTGGATGGGACTTCTTCTTGCCACCTTCGCGCACACAACTTAGACATCGAACAGCTGCATTCGCCTACATGAGGCATTGCAAACGCTCCAATGCTAATATAATGAAAAAAACATCTACCAGTAGCAAATCATGCACTTGGATGACCAAGCTGGCCCCTGCATGTCAAGATGCCTCCTGCAGTGGCTTCCTTTGAATGGAAGACTTCCTCAGCAGCGTCTTCCAGGATGGACACCCGTGCCTACTGCCAGATCGCCGATACTGCTTCGTCGTGCGATAGAGGCTCCAACACCATCAAAATGCCCCAGATACCGAAATGCAAACAGTCAGCAATGCAGAGTCAGAAATGCAGCAGCGGAACGTTGAGGTTGTAGATGCGCAGGCCAAGCAAATAATCCACATACCTCGGACGCTCGTCCCCAACCCGGAATGAGTGTCCGACAGGTCCTGCAACGTGCATTCTCTTGCCAAACGCTCTGAGGCAAATGCCAGTAGATCATATGAAACTCTGCCTGGCAGCCGGTGCTGACAACTGACAACATTCTTCGTTCGACAATACCCGACAGAGTCTGGGTCGGTGACACACTCTTATCTACTGCAAGCTGACGAGAGAATACCTCAGTCGGGCTCCCTTCCTCATCGTACAGCTCCAGTTGGAAACCCAGCAGGAGCTTGGAAACCATCGCCTCTTGCCGATCAAAAAGGGCAGCACCAGACAGGAGAAAGAAAGACACTACAGAAAAACAGGGGTTCTCTTGAAAGCATGGGTCAAGCAGGTCCAGCACAAAAGCAATGCGTTCCAGGTCACTTGCAAGGTGAACTCCTGAAAGGACAGACAAAGCATGTGAAGGCACGATTGCAACGGAATAAACTAATTAGATTTGTGCTCCTGGATCCAAGCCCACGACGGCCGGTTGTACCTCATGCGCTGCAACAGACTTCTCCACCTCACCTCTTCTTCTCATGCAAAAATTTGTCCCACGGCTCACCGAAGGTTCGCGGCAAAGGTCGCTTTCAAGGCCTCGTCCAAGCGCCAGGCCTCCGAATCAAGTCGTCCGAAGCCCAAGCCCTGTCCATACGGAGTGGAGGTTCGGAGATCACGACAAGCAATGCATGACTTCCAAGCGCCGCAATGTCACAATCTCAACCTGGTGGCTACTGCGATTATGGCTAAGACTTAAACCAGCAGAAAGCATAAATGTCGGAACTGCAGCGAGTACTGCCATCCGCCGAGTGCCTCATGCTGAAGTTCGTTGAAGTCCGGAAACACCTAGCCGTGCGCAAGCTTGTGAAACGAGATAGCACCTGCGAAAGAAGCTTGACGAGAGAGTTGCGCATGTGTCGGGATGTCAAGCTGGTTATATTATGCGGGTCGCACTCAGTACTGCAGGATCTACCATGTCCGGCAGTCCAGGGTTCGGAGCTACAAAGCTCGTCGGACTCGTCGTGTTGTTGGGGGATGCCAATACCGTTCCGCATTCTCGAACTTGTCCCCTGCTACACGTAACGGAAGCATGCAAAGCCAGCTTCATGCACACAAGCAAGCTGAGACCGACACATGTGCCAACCGTCTGAAGCGTCGGGTGGTGTTCAAGTGAGCGAGCTTCATGAGATGCAAGAACATGGACCTGGCAGACAGCTAAAGTTGATTCTAGCATCTGTCGTCCGCCTCTCTCTGTGGCAACTGCATACAATAGCAAAAGGTAAGGTCAACCTGCTCTAGAATGCAAATGTCTGCCGTTCTAAGCAAATAGCAGGTCGTCCGTCGATCGAGAAATCCGTTTGGGGGAGGCTTTGTCACCCCACACCTCTCGTCTACAACAGCAGGTCGGTTGGTAGACGAACTAATCCGCTACAGGACACCTTTGACAGCACAGCATCCTTCAGGAGCAGCGGCAGCAGCACTGACTTAGTCATGCGCAGAAGCCGTGCATGTGACACAATTTGTGAAGTATTTGCTGCCCCGTCCCTCAGTACCAGTACGACTCGTAGTAGTCGTAGTAGCTCCAGGAATTCTTCAAGCCGTTGCGATGCTTATTGCCCTTGCCACTGCCCTTTATCTTACTGTTTGCCTTGCTCTTGCCCTTCCCCTTGCCCTTGTTAGGCTTGGGAAGCAAAGTGGGCAATTCGTTCACCTGGTTGGCTGGAGCGAACTCCTCCGACAAGTCTGCCCACGAAGGTTTCGCAGGAGTCGATGTCGATGGTGGGATTGGATTGCGGGCGCATGCTTGTGTTGGAGTGGCGACTGGGCGCTGGATTGGGGATGGCTGTGCATAAGCCGGGGGCGCTTGCGGGAAAGGCTGGTGGTGCTGGTGGATGTGAAGTGGCAGCGGGGCCGGGCAAAAAGGCGGTTGTTGTGTGAATGCTGTGGGTCCGGGTGTAAAGTGATACGGAGTGGGGTTGACAGGATATGTGAACTGGTGCGTTGGCCAGTGGCAGGGTTGAGCCCAAGTATTGTTGTAACTCTGCTGCAGCTGTGCCAGCTGGCATGGAGTGAAAACGTGGACAAACTGCAGCCACCACTCTGGTGGTGGTGCGAGGCCGCCGTGGTAGCTGGGGCCATAGGTTGCCTGCTCGCCCATAAAGGCAGGCGCCAGCCGAACTGTCTGCACGCCCGCCATGATTGAGCTTGTGGCTTGGGATCTGCTTTTCGACGCTGAGCCAAACACCGCAAACGAATAAAGTTGATTCTAGCATCTGTCGTCCGCCTCTCTCTGTGGGAACTGCATACAATAGCAAAAGGTAAGGTCAGCCTGCCCTAGAATGCAAATGTCTGCTGTTCTAAGCAAATAGCAGGTCGTCCGTCGATCGAGAAATCCGTTTGGGGGAGGCTTTGTCACCCCACACCTCTCGTCTACAACAGCATGTCGGTTGGTAGACGAACTGAATCCGCTACAGGACATCTTTGACAGCACAGCATCCTTCAGGAGCAGCGGCAGCAGCACTGACTTAGTCATGCGCAGAAGCCGTGCATGTGACACAATTTGCGAAGTATTTGCTGCCCCGCCCCTCAGTACCAGTACGACTCGTAGTAGTCGTAGTAGCTCCAGGAATTCTTCAAGCCGTTGCGATGCTTATTGCCCTTGCCACTGCCCTTTATCTTACTGTTTGCCTTGCTCTTGCCCTTCCCCTTGCCCTTGTTAGGCTTGGGAAGCAAAGTGGGCAATTCGTTCACCTGGTTGGCTGGAGCGAACTCCTCCGACAAGTCTGCCCACGAAGGTTTCGCAGGAGTCGATGTCGATGGTGGGATTGGATTGCGGGCGCATGCTTGTGTTGGAGTGGCGACTGGGCGCTGGATTGGGGATGGCTGTGCATAAGCCGGGGGCGCTTGCGGGAAAGGCTGGTGGTGCTGGTGGATGTGAAGTGGCAGCGGGGCCGGGCAAAAAGGCGGTTGTTGTGTGAGTGCTGTGGGTCCGGGTGTCTCGTGATTCGGAGTGGGGTTGACAGGATATGTGAACTGGTGCGTTGGCCAGTGGCAGGGTTGAGCCCAAGTATTGTTGTAACTCTGCTGCAGCTGTGCCAGCTGGCATGGAGTGAAAACGTGGACAAACTGCAGCCACCACTCTGGTGGTGGTGCGAGGCCGCCGTGGTAGCTGGGGCCATAGGTTGCCTGCTCGCCCATAAAGGCAGGCGCCAGCCGAACTGTCTGCACGCCCGCCATGACTGAGCTTGTGGCTTGGGATCTGCTTTTTGATGCTGAGCCAAACACCGCGAACGAAACACAAAGCAAGAGACAGCCTGTCTCTAAATAGCGGTGTCATACTTGGTGCAGTCTCGTCCGCTTCGAGCTAAGGTGCTGAGTCACCCGAATGCGATTTCACACCAAAATCCTGGAAGGTGCGCTCGCAACGATTGATGAACGGATCTGCCAGTCGCTTGCAGTGCTGCAGAGCCTGGGCAAAGCGAGGTCAACTGCAACAGGGAACTGAGAAACTGGTTGATAAAGTTCATGAAAGGTGAAGTTGGGTTCGGCGTGCTGGCACTACCCCTCGGGCAAAGGGAGAGCTTGCATGCCCCTTCTGGCGCTATGTAGAGAACTTCAAGCTGATCCCGAGTTTTTGTGTCGCTTTTTGCCGACGGCTCAGATGTTGCCAACTAGATATCGAGGCAGGCACCTCTGGCGGAAACAGGTGCGTCTCTAGGGACTCCAGAAGCAACCTGCACGCTGCATCGCAGACATAGTCAAGGCAACACCAGAAAGCTGCTGCTCGAGAAAGGGTGCTGCCTTCGAACGAAGCCGGGAGCCGCGACGGTCAGCTGGGCTATAGAGCGGACAAGCACATTCGGCGATTCGTCCTCAGAGCCGTGGTGTGGCGATCAAGCAAACTGTGCTCACTGCCAAGACGAAAAGAGGTGTTTCAAACACGCAAACTTCCGCAAAGCAAGTGGCGAATGCCTTGTGCACGACCACACCTTGTAGCAGCTGATTCAACGACCTGGCGACAGCTTCTATGATTGGTCGTGGCATCGCTGTGTTCATCCCGACCCCTGTGCTGATCCGCACTGTCGTCACCTTGACGCTCAGTCGAGTCAACATTATCCGCACAAGCGAGTCCGCAAAGTTGCCATGGATGCCAAGCACAGGGACTAAACATCTTCAGATCTCATATCTCCAAAATGTCTCAGACCGCATCCTCAAATAGGAAAGAGGCAGAGAGTGGGAGTTCGAAAGACAGACCAAACGGACGGACAGACCGGCGGGCAGTCAGGCAGGCAGGCAGCCAGGCAGCCAGGATCTGTATGCAGATATCTCACATGTCGTATGTATCTGTTTATACCCACATACTCATGACGAGCAGGACATGCTTGCTGTGCACAGTTGCCAACTGAAATGCTGCGTGCTACATGTATGCTCGTGGTGCGAAATCAAAACTTTCACACGAGGGGCTAGCAAGGGGCGCAAATCTCATGTCTGTTCTGCCATGGCACGGCATTGAAGGAGAGCAACTTTGCTTGTCTGCTTGAAGGTCTGGGAGTGTGACTGCGACTACGAGCTATGGCAAAGACGGCCTGCATGTGACAACAAGTTGTTGAGCTACTTGTGTATCTCTTGCGAAACTTCCGGCTTTTATCCCATCCACCACTAACACGAACACCAGCATCGTTACTGCCACCTCGCCACATGACTATGATGATGATGATGATGACGATGGTGATGATGATCATAATCATCACCATAACCGTGATCTATCACAGACCTCGAGTCGTGAGTTTATCAAGCTACTCGTCATCGGCACTGGGCAGTTCCGGGGGCCTGTCTAAGAGTGAAGTGCAAGCAGTCAGCTCTTGCACCTCGACCGCAAAGAAGGGAACTGCCAGTCTTTGGCCTACTGCTGATCCTACACGCTGGCCCGCATGCATCAGCAAAGGGACTCAAACGATGAAACTAGCACGTCCTCCGCCATGTTGCTACCTGTAGGGCCCCAGCGTGGCAAGTCCACATCTTGAAAGCAACTTTGGGATCCTGCATTGGAGTCTCGACCGGCTGGAAGAAGGGACATGAATCGACGAAAGCCTCTGAACGCATAAAGAACTGGAGCACCGGATATCCCTTACACACCGAGACGCTCTGGAGATGCCACTCGAGCTCTGTGGCCGATTCCGAACACTGCGATGCATCGAAACGCCCAGCGTACCCTTCCGAAGAGACTGCCGGTCTTCATCGACCAAAGTCATGCACGCGGGTTCGACCGAATCACTCGAAAGTACACGACCGTAGGCGGATCCCGGCATCCGAGTACGGGTGATGCCGGCCCGAGTAAAATAACTTGTCCACGTGCATTGACGGTTGGAAGAAACGAAGGGACGCAAGCGTAACCTGTAGCCGAGTGAATTATACCTCGTTCAGCACACGGAGGCTCCACTCGCAAGCATGCCATGACTTCATCCAACTGAACAGCCGTCTCATTGCTTTTGTCCATGGTCTTCGTACGGCAGCACACAGGTTGTCTGGCACGTCTGAGAATTCGCCCTTTATGAATCCCTACACACCTGATCACTGAGCTGAAGCATGACACGCAAAACGACAACATGCACGTGTCCTTGATGGGCTCCACGGTACGTGGCGGACCAGGTACAAGCAACTTCCTGGCCGAGCACATCATAAGATCATCGCAGGTCAGCGGTCGTTGATCTTTCGCTCGAACCCGCACACTTCCGCCCACGAGCACCTGTTGGTGGATGCGTCGAACCTCTGGAGAACGTCATCACTCGGGGGCTCCGCATTGGCTTCCATCCTGGCAGACTCAGATGATGCCTTTATACCTTATGTTCAAGCTCGCTTGCAACCCACAAGCTTATCTTGTAATCCATCCACGCAGCTCATGCAAGGTTGAACACATCTATTATACTTATAGTCGTTAGTTACTTAGTTCATACTGACTGTCAGACTGTGCTGAAATCATGCGCAGCACTGCCTCTGCAATAGCTGCAAAGACTTGACCAGGTGAGCCTTTGCCGCAATGTGACAGAACGAAACTACTAGGCACTACCAGTCTGAAAGGTCTGCGCGAACCGCGTGAACACGAAACACGCATGGTTCCTAACTTGGCCACAAGCCGTCGCGGCTTCACCTTTGCTCGGGCCAGTCAAGCTGACCTCAGCTACGAGCTGGATCTCGAAACTGCGCACTCGAGCTGAAGAAGAGGGAAATGAAGATGGAGCGGAGCCCGCAAGACGATGTGCAGCGTACAGCACTGTGTCCGGAGCAAGGTTGATCAAGTGCCGGAGCGCCGAAGTTTGGATTGCACAACTCGAGTCCGAGCAGGACTGTGCAAAGAACGTGAAGCTTGTCGAAAGTGTGCACTGCGCCACACTGGATGATGAGACAAGCTCCACAGGTTGCAACATCTGAAGCTGCCGAGATCCAGGCCACTGCCAACATATATTGCTCCATGAACTCTAAACGGCAAGCCTTCGCGCAGTGGCACTGATGCGGCACAAACATGACACCATCAATGTCCAAGCTTTAGAAGTGCTGCGATGCGGGTTGACCGCTCACATGCTGAGACTCATCTCTGGACCGGACAATGGCTTGTAGCACTTGGGCCGATACCACCAGGTCGCCTTTTTCGGCGCGTAGCCTGGAAGGGCAAACGAATACAAAAACCAAAAGGAAGTGCTTGGGCAACTCACCAGTACGGTCTGCCCCGGCAATCCACGTGTCGCGTTAAGATGCCATGATGAAAGCAACAAGCTGCCCGTTTCGTGGCTCAAGGACACGAACCTGTCGCACTCTTTGCGCAGACGGCTGGAGACCTGACAGAAGCCAAAGGTCGCATGAAGCTTGGCCAAGTGTCGAAGACGGTACCTGTTCCCTCCTACTTACCTCCCTAAACTCTGTATTACTGTTCCCTAAACCCCTGTCGCTGTTACCAAGTTCTTGTTGTGGTTTTGACTGTGCTTCGTCGAAGACGAGCCTTCTGCGGGTCACTGCTGAAGACGCAGGCCTCCAAGCAGGCGAGGCTTGCGGCGCAGGAACTACTTTCGAGCCGCACCAGCGCATCAGCTGTTTCGGGATTAGGGTGAGGTGGAAGCATCCTCTAAGAGGCCACAACAATCAGAAAAGAGCTTCCTTGACGACTCGTGGAACCAAGTGGCCTGCAGGTCAACTCCAAACATCGTAGGGACGAAGTCCTGTCAGATTCATGCTTCTGTGCTTACGGTAAGACACTGACTTCCAGTGACTCTGCCACTGGGTGATATGACAACAGTCAGAACGACGAGCGCCTGGAGGGAAAAAGTAACTTGGGGAACTCCAGTCGTTATAGACTTTTTTGTGGATTGTCCTTTTCCTTGTTGGGGACCCTCCCGCTTTTGCCCACTCTTAACTTTTCCGCCCTATCTGTAGTCGACTTGAAGAATTTGTCGGTCGTTCGACCTCATCCTCAAGAATTCCGCTGCTCATGGGGGAAGCCCTTCTCGTTGCTGCACTATCAACCACTCTAATCAACTAGCTTCTCTAACATCCACCAGATTCCAAGCCGACAGGTCTGGCCCGTCAGAAGTGCGCATAAGCAGCTTGCTGCAACTGGGTCCTCGTCGTCAAAAACCCCGGCGGCCGTCACCGCATTCTGCGCATGTTGGCACACGATCAGGAGTGCCTCAAACCAGGCGAAGTGGCGAAGCTCAAGCTCTGCAAAGCGCCTTCCACTCTCGAGCCGGGCTTCCCACATCCACGAAGGATGCAAGTTCCGGCAAGGGGGCCAGGAGCCGCTTTGGGTCCTGATGAAGGACGCCATGGATCGAAATTTTCCGATATGGGAAGATCAAGACACCATCCGGAAGAATGACGTGCTGAAGCCGGCATTTGAAGGCATGCTCACAACACGTTCTGCAACCATCCAGGGTTTAAACTTGGCAAAGCTCATGCCGTCTGCAGAATGATTTGACCGGGCCGTCCTGCAAGTAAAGGCATGAGAAGCATGTCTGAATAATGGTGTGCCCATCCAGCCAGAGCAAGTAGTACCTCTGCGAGGCCAAGTGTGTTCGGAGAGGCTGGAAGTGATTGATGAGAAGAGGCAGGAAAGAAAGAGAAAGCCTTCCAAGTCATCCTTCCCTTCTCATGTCTGAGAGCAGGAAGACGGCGCACATCAGCAAGTGGTCAATGACGCCAGCCAGCACCTGGACGTGAAGCAACTGCCCTCAAGTTGCAGTCAACCGTCGCTAGGGCCAAAGATGGGGATATCGATGTCGACAATCCCATGACCGATCACTTACATTATCCTATTATTATTATTACTACTACTATTATTCCTATCACTATTATATGATGACCGATCACTTACATTCATATCGGTGCGTCTCCCGCATGCGGATGATACGGATATGGAACGGCAGCCACGTCCAGAATGGCTCTGCTACTGCACCTTCTCTTCCAATACCTTGCCAACGAGGCCGGAAGCGAGTGCTTTCTCCAAGCTCATGTCCTTCACGACAGCTGTAGTTGCAAAAGTGGGCCCTGACTCAGATCATGGCCCCATCCCTTACCCGTCGGTGCCATGGCTCCTCGTTGCTTCGGAAGCCGGTATCCATCTTCGGATCCATGATCTCCTGGCGAGAGATGCTGCACAGAGAGAGAGGCTCGACCGTCGTTAGCTCGAATCTTGCTGCAAGCTCGCACCGAAGGTCGCTCCTCCTGAACCAGCTTAGCATGGCTTAGCAAGCTGATACAAGCAAGGCAGTCCTTAACTTTACTGGGCCGGGCTGCGCTTCAGAGTGGGACTAGAAATTTAGAATACGCCTTTCCAGGCCAGCTCCGGATGAATATCAACAAGCTGGGAAGGCGATGGCAGACATAGCGTCGTAGAGGCGGAAGGTGGAGCTCTCCTTGATGCGAGAGGACGATGTGTCCGGATCAAGTTTGTTTGTAGTTACAAGTCCCGCAGCACATTCATAAGTTCAGCTTCTTACCAAAAATTGACTTGAAGGTGGCACCCGGTGAACAAATTTCAGAAACCGAAGGTTAGCTTCGTTCATCACCTGCGATAAACTTATCTTCGCTGTTAAAGCTCCTGACTCAAGTTTCGATTCACGTGCAAGCAAGTCACCACCATCTCGCCAACATTCATTCCGTTGACCTGCAAGCCACACGGTTTTCAGAAGACTTGTCACAGTCACACCGATCTCTGGAAATGGACAGCGGGCAAACGAGACAGCTTCGACAGGAAGGCCGTGGTGAGCACGTGGCACGCTCGAGGCTCGCACTGCCATGTCGCACAGCGTCGTGATGTCGATCCACTCCTCAAGGGAAAAGACATGAAACTCGACGAGGCCATGAAGCTTCGGGGTCCGGCATACGTTGAAAAGGGAGTGCAACTCTAGAATTGGTTGCAGCCAAGTCATCCCTGCAACAAAATGACAGTCTAGTTGGACAGGCGGTCCTCGTCCTTCCCTGGAGGGCTATCACCCACTGGAACGGCCTCCCAGAAGCCACAATTCACACTATCGCGGACACAATGACGACTTGCCTGCCTCTGGGGCTGGCCAGTACAATCCGTTCCGGGGATCTGCACAGATGTCCTCGAACACTTCGTCGCCGTCCTGCTTCAACGAAAAGGCATATACGCTGGTTTCAACTGTGTTTAAGTCTCGAGGAGCATATCTTGACATCAGGCTTGAAACCATCATGCTACAGTTCGATCTGAACATCAGTGATGCTGGAAGGGGTCGTAACCGTCGATCCATTAAACATTTCAACCAGGGTTCTTAAACTCCCGGAAATTGAAAATTGCGCAACGCTGCCTATGAAAGCAGGCTGTCGTTCTGCCAATCACGCTTAGCGACAAGGTTTTCGGTAGGTAGGTAGGTAGGTAGGTAGGGGCCGACCCACGGTAGTTACCGCGGTCTCCTCACTCTTCCCCCTCCGTATCTCCGGGTAGCCTCCGAAGACGTCATGGGCCCTCTCCACGAAAGGTTCAAGAGGGGATGAAAACATATGCAGCCAAGCATCCGGATACTGATTAAATGCGGTACTTGCTGGGCGTGATGAGCGCAAGAAGACATGGCCTACATCACAATGCATAGCACGGCCTCTTTTAGCGTGGAATGGGGCACAAGATTCCGTCCTGATAGAAGGCGCGGCCTTCTACACACAAGGCTCTGGATGCCTGGCCTAGCACTGCGCGAGCGCAGCTTGCATCGGCAGCCTGCACCCGGTGCAAAAGCGCCTGTAGGAGGGCATCCATGCTGCACCGTCCATGGGCACGAATGTGAGACTGGAGCCACTTGCGCACGCGACGCAGGCGTAGCTCTGGGACCAGAGTAGACGCGGAGCCCGCGGCTGGAAGGCAGCTTTCTGTCAGAGCGCGCATGTGGTTGAGCAGGTCACCAGGAAGGGGGGGCGCACGGCGGCGCCTCGGACACGCAGACAGGCTCTGGGCATATGTTGTCCAGCAGTCGGGACACAAGTCAGGTGCAGAGACAGTATCTCTGCTGTAGATTGGGTGCGCTCCCATGTTCCAGCGACATTGGCCGCGCCCGTGGAGGCTGACGTTGCAGGCCACGCACCACGGGCATTGTGAGCGAGGACCGTTTTCCTGCGTGGGCCAGTCAATACCGCCACAGGTCCAGCAGGCTGCAACGCGGATGACAGCCCCTAAGTGCGGGCATTGGCAACGAGTGGCTGAGCAGGCAAGGACGTCTTGCCAGGACGGATAGTCGGTACCCCAATACGGGACTTGTTCCACCAGAAGAGGCACACTATGCGCATGCAGCAGGCTGGTGAGTTGAGCGTCAGAGGTACGGCCAGTTGGGCCGCAGGCTTTGAATCTGCTGACCGCTGCGGACGGGGGGAGCAAGGCCCACCGAGTTTCCCTCAAAAACCTCGCACCAGTGGGGCTTGCCAACCATGTGTCCAGGGCAGAGCGGCGAGGTACTGGAGCAGGTTCTTCAGACTGCAGCGGAAGTGTATTGCGGCAGAGTGCCAGCCATGCAGACAGCCTGCTTTGGTACTCCTGCCTGATGCGTCGCAGGCCCAGCAACAGGCACTGTGCAAGCTTGGTGGCTGGGAGTGCGCGCTGGCGATGTTTGGCAAGGAGTTTGAGCTCACTCTGGAGGACAGCGCTTTGCCGGAGAGTGGCGTGCAGCTCAGCTTCCGTGTCTATGAGGGTTTGGAGGTCGTCAGGCGTGAGCCTGCAGAGGAAAGCTCCCAGCCATTTTGGTAGCACGGCCCGGTAAGCAAGGTCTGAGCCCCGCTCCCGCTCTGTAGCGGTGGAGCTGCTCCCGTTGATGTCGACCGATAACGAGGCCTCTCTGGTGGGAATGGCTACAAGCCACCGCCATGAAGAGAGGATGGGCCAACGCTGTATCTGCTCAAGCGAGCAGGGGCCTGGAACAAGGGCGGGATTTGTGCGGTTTAGGGACTCTCGCCAACGCAATGCCCGGAATGCTCCTGAACTGTGGCATACTGCCGGAGCTGGAATTCCAGGTCATCGCGCAATATGTCGACTAAAGGTGTCATGGCTGGGCATGACATGACGACATGTCGTGGTGTGCCAGGACCTCCCCGGCAGAGAGGGCAAGTTCTGGTGGAACTCCACCGTTCACGGACGCTCCACGCCGCAGCCAAAGATGCTTCATCAGCATGCGAGTGGAGGCGTTCGGTCCAGCTGCCCCCGATGGCCCTCTGACAGCGATAAGCCATGGCAGACAAATCAAGAGGCAGCTGGTCCGATGACAACAGCCACTTACCCCACCGGTGCGAGGGGAACACACATTGTACACATAGGGCGGGGTCTAGTGTGGGAAGGAAAATCTCATCGGCCAGGCGGGGAACGTGTCCCTGAACGGCCCTAGAACACCAGGCTTGTTTGGAAGATGTACGAAGCTTAGTCCTAATGTGCGAGCGGATTGGGCCAGTGACCATGCGACCGTCATCAGAGACCCAAGCGAACAAACCTGCGGTGGGCACACGAACGTCTGCGGGGAGGAGGGACCGGGCTTCCAGGCGGCCCTTATCTTGCACTTCGTTTCCGTGTACGAGCACAAGAAAGGGGGATGTTGTGTCAGTCTGGTGGCTCTTGATGTCTAGGCCCACGACTCCATCGGACTCGTATGCGATCCGAGATAAAGTGACCGTTTTGTGGGAGGTTTGGTCAACTAGTTTCGTCTCCCAATGACTGGGATAGGTCTCTTGATGCAGCTTCCACGACGGCTTCGGTGCTGAAGCCCATGCTGAGCGAAGGTGGAGGAGTGCTTTGCGGATGATGGAGAGCTGCGGAATGCAGGTTGAGGCCTGTATGTGGTGCAGGGAGCCGGCCAAGGCCGTGTGCATCACGTTGAAGAGGGAGCTGCGGTCAAAAACGAGGAGCTGCCAAGCATTTGGCCTGCGGAAGCGTAAGGAGCAGGTGAGGGTCTGCAATTCTGCGGCGTGGACAGACGAATTCTCCCAGCCATACCGCCGTGGCAACCGGCCGAGCAGTTTTTGAGAAGCCCAAGCCGCGGAGGCCCAGTAGTGTCCTGGGGGTCCGAAGCCACGGGCTTGGCAGCAAAACGTAGCACCGTGCGACGAGTTGAAGCCGCCGTCACCAAACAGGCCAAAGTCAGCTGAGCAGACTGGCGATGCTATCAAGGTTAAGAGATGGTTTGCCCGCGAGTCGCAATGACTGGACCATGGATCCTGCCAGGCGGAGTAGTCCCAGTCCTCTTTCGGTGAGGGAGTGGACGGGACTTGGTACCAAGAGCATTCCGTTTGCCAGTCTGAGTTTGCCTGCTGCAGCGCTGCGGCTACTGCTTGTGCACAAGCCTGCAGGGACGCGGGGGCGTCCGGCGGAACATGTCCTTCCCAGTGTTCTAAATCCGGCCAGTGCTGCGTCGGGACGGACCGACGGGCTAGGGGCTGGAGGATTTCACGCACGGAGTTGGCGAGTGAGCTGACGCGACAAAAGCGGGCAGCAGTGAGGAAACGTATGGGCTCATACGGGCCGTGGAGGGGATGGGCACCTGATTTGTTGAGCTGGTCGAGGACGCGGCTGACGAAACGATCTGTGGACACATTGATGTACAGGCCATAGCCGGCAAGGAAGTGCATGGCGTGATAAGGCCCTCGTGCTGAGCCACGTCCGTTGACCGTGGACAAGGTTTTCGCAACCTTGGCTTGGTGGCGTTGTGGGACTTGTCCGACATCCCTGAACAACGGCTTCAAGTTGCCTTTGATTGCTGGACTTCGTTGGCATCACCGTGCTGCCAGATTCTCAGCTCCGCCCTTCTCGTCGAGGCTCGTCGGGGCTAGGAGACCTCGCTCCCTTCACTGCCACCTTGCCGCAGGCCAAGGGCAGATCCGAGGGCCTTGAAGTCTCCCAATCATCGGCATTGCCGTGAGGCAAGACCCCTTCAACAAGTATCTGTAAGTATTGGCGTGTCCTCCACGCGTGGCGTGAAGCCACACACCCGGGAACCCCTGAACTTTGAAGCTTAGTGACTTAGTGCTGCTTTTAGCGGCACAGGGTTACCTTCCCAGCAATGCACCATCCCATCGCTGGCTATTAGACTAGACTAAATGCCGCGGTAATTCCAACCTCGCCAAAAGCCAGAGTCAGAGGTCCTGGGGCTTGCTTTTCTTCTTTTTCTTCTTTCGGGGCTTCCTGCAGTGGGACACCCCTGACCAAGGCACGCTAACTCGGATTCAGGCGCCTAGCAACATCACGAGACAAAGCGTATCGCTATGGAGACTCAAATGTCTTGTTCCCAGGCCGAGCCGGATGCAAAGCTGAGAATCCCGACTTCTTCTGCTTTGCGTCGCCTCGGAGTGATACGACGAACACAGAGAGACAGGCTCCACTCGTCAGTAAGTTTCATCCGAACACCACCAAGCAAGCCAGCACGAATGCTCTGTCGAAGCCGAAAATCCACATGCAGTGGCGTGCAAAAGTCGTGCTGCCGTTGGAAGTAAAGCCTTGGTCCTGCACCGGCACCGTCTTCAGGCGCCAAGTTCTCCTTACCAGTAGAAGAATGAGAAGCTATGGCAGCTATGGGAGACATCAAATTCATTCCATCTCTGGCCAAGTTTTTGCAGCTTCAGGCACACATCTAGCAGATCTCAAGCTTATCTCCAGAGGTGCAGTGCCGGCCTCCTCATCGTCGTCCTCCTCCTCATCTTTGGGCATGGCATCTTTTGGCCTCAAGTCGAGGCAGCAAGGCACCATCCCCTGCAATCCTCCCCGTGCTGAAGCTTAGCTTGCGGCTGCTTTACGGACTGGGTCTGGCTCATGAAGCATGTACTACCCAGGACACAGCGCCACCCCTGTGGATAAACATCCTTGCAGTCCCTGCTGTGCTTTCTGGCGAACAGACTTCCGAAGACGGACGATGTAAGCAAATCTTTTGACTGAAGAGGGTCTAAGGATCTCTGCAAGGTGTCTAAAGCATGCCGCTATGCCACTGACGTGCTTGAGACAGCTCATACTGCATTATCGATGCCAGAGGCCGTTGGAATTCTCATTGACACAAGCTGACAAAAAAGAGTGCACTTCCTGTCCGAAGCATCTTCACGATCGTTCAAAACACAGCCTGGAAGATGTCTTGGAGGCTATTTGCAGAACGATCCTATCCGGCGACAGGGTACCAGTATCTCTCTTGTCCATTTATATCCAAAGAGATGGAGATGGTCAAGATCAAGGCTGCGCTTCATCTGTCGATTTTTCACAACGGCATGTGCTCTGCTGTCGAAATTTACAAATCTAGGCTGGCTCCGCCAGGCATGCAGATGCATGCGATGGGGTCAGGCATCCATTTGCAAGTTGCAAAAACGACGAATATCAACGCTTTTGCGTGAATCGCTTTGGTGAGGAATCAGAGCAGTTGCACGTCAAAGCTACGCCTCTCAGACTGTAACCAGCTGTGATGTAAGCCTAAACCTACTTCTGCGCTGCAGTGCTCCAGATGCAAGCAATGCGACTGCACTGAGGGGAGAGAAAACAAACACCTCCAAAGGCCAAGAGGCCAAGAGCGATCGTCATCACAGGCTACCAAGGTCACCCAAATAGCCGCCGCTTGACTGAGAAGGTGGTCCCAGAGGGCCTTTCTCACACCTCGGCGTTTGACACAGCTCAAGGAGCGCACACCTGAACCTATCGGTGAAGCTGACGCTCAAGACACCCAAAACTGGCTCAAAAGCAGAGCCACATGCTACTTTGTCCTACCACGCTGTCTCACTCCCGTTGTGAATCATGAGTACAGTGCACCGCCACAGGCCGAGAGCCAAGCTTCGACAAGTCCAGGGTGATTTGCTCCGGAAGAGGAACGGTTTCGATCTGGCATACAGCCACAGAACCCGAGCAACTTCACGGCGCTCAGTCGCACAGCCACAGCTGTGCGTACGACGGTGCTTGCTTGCAATGAACATGTGATCCGACTGCTATTCGGTCATCCTAATCATGCAAAAGCAATAGCTCCGGGCCAAGCGGGGCAGTTCGATGCACGAAGCACTATGAGTCTGTCCTACCATGCCCCACGACAGCTCGAAATAGCCGAGATTTCAATTGAACCCCCTCTGCCCGGCCTGTTTCGAGAAATCGGTGGGTGGAGGAGGCTCATCCAGGCCTAGAGCCAACAATTTCGAGAAGTCTGACTGCAATGGCGGCATACTGTCCTCTGTAGACCAGCACAGTCTTGTACACAAACAGCGGCACGGTTCTAGCGCAAGCACACAACAGTCCCCGAAACCCATCCTGGATGCCAGCATCCTGGACGCCAACACCATACCATCACGAGATGCGAAACTACTGCGCCAAGTGCACCGACGGTGCGAATGCCACGCCGGAATGCCTTCCCCATGGGTTCAGACCCCAATGTAGGAGTCTTTCGATAAAAGCCTGGACTAGCTCAACATGTCAGGTCTGCCGAAGGCGAGGACGCGGGAGCCCTTCGTGCCGCTACAGGACATATTAGTTGAAATGCTCACGCTCTGCTTAGACGAGGACCAGCCAGGTCCAACAAGTCATTGCCTCCCGGTGGCTACATTCATAAACAGCTCATTCACTTCATTCAACAACTGCCTCCTCCCTTGGGAGCCGCTGGCGAACCCGCAAGGTCCTTAGCAGAAGGGGTGAAGGGCAGCATGCATGAGCGCTACATTCTAGCATGCACACGGATCGGTTTGCACCGTAACCACCGCATTTCCAAGGACAAGTCCAGGTCAAGTAGATCGGAGGCACCCCCGGACGACGCTCCTCGCCCGGTGGCCTGCAGGTAATGTCAACAAGCACCTCCGGCATGTAGTTGCACGGCTGCAGGTGTGTCATTTGACTTTTGCAGGTGTACTCACCCGTTGTTCTTCTCCCATTCAGCCTTTTTTTCTCAGGCTTTCCTGCTGCGCTTTGTCGATTTCCCCCCGATTCACTCGCTGCTCATCATTGTGACCTCCTTGAATTCTGCCACATCTTCCACGGTGCGAGATTTGATTTTGTGTCATTGTTGGTGGATGTTTTTGTGTCTGTTTCCAAGAGCAGCTCCAACTGGGGCACATTCTCCTTGACAATGTGCGAAACGCGGAAAACATGGAAGGCACGGAAAACGTGGAAAGCACGGAAAGCGCACAACGCGTGCAAGGCGCGGAAGATACGGAAATCTGGAAAGCGCGGAGCTGAACGATCAGAATAGCAAGGGTTTTGGTTTTGGGGTAGAGCGTCGCATAGCAATGCCTGCAAGGACCTACACGGAGGATCAGAAAAGCAACACCAAAACAAGCACAAAGCGAACAGCAAGAAAAACAGAAGGCAGAACTGCAAAACGAAACCAAAGCCGCATAGAAAACCCAAAAACAACAAAACAAAACACAAAAGTCACTAAAGCAAATACACGTCCTTTTGCCAGTCGTGGACTCGCTTCAGAACCGCCAATCGCAGACTGAGAGTTGCAAACTGCCTCTAAGAAAACGTCACCGATGGAACAAGCACGTGACATGTGACATGAGAGAGGCCTTGCGCTCTTCAGCATTGTTGAAGTCTAAAAGATCCTGAGCAGCCAATCGGACAACTCACAGAGTTAGGACTGACACCACATGGAGGCACGTTCACTGCTACCTGCTACCTTTTGCCTCACTTGCAAGGCAGGTGGCTCTTGCAGCTCCGGCATGTTATGTTCATCTTTGATTGAGGCGCTGCCCTTTCTGAATGTGGTGCATCCATGGTAAGTAAGCTAGCGGCTACAGCTTGCGGCTCAGGCTTCGGTGGCCTGCCAGGAGCATCCTCAATGGCAACCCCTGTAAAAACATGACAAGAATCTAACCCATGCCAGCATCACTCTTTCTTCGGCGGAGTCGATGGCTTGGACTCTTCTTGTCTGTCCGTCCTGCTAGATGAGTGTTGTCTTGTCCCTGCCTCGACTAAGTAAAAACGGGACACAGTGTAGCAGCCCGTCTGTCTAGCAACCACCTTGGATCACCTTGGCATCCGTCTCGCAACCATCACTCGCCTGCTCCTACGACCTGGTACCTGTATCCAGACTCGGCGCGGCTTACACCTTTATCTGGAACACAGTGCTAATGCTCATACCTCTGGCCTCTGGATTTCGTGGAAACTGCAGAGTCTGGGCCGTCCTGCGGCCTTCTTCCTTGGCCTTTCTCTCCTCCTGCGGCCGTGATCGATTGTCATTCTGGCACTCTCTCTTGCTGTCGAAGTGCTGCACGGGCGATGCAGACGCTTTCATGCACTTCTTGCTGTACGAAACGAAATGGGATCTGAACTAGTGACTGCACTGCTCAACGACATGTACACACTGGTCGTCCAACGGGAAACGAGGAAGTCTCCTCTTCCTTTTGTCGCTTAGCCTGGCGACAGATAACGTATGATCCTCTGCGGAAGGGGACTGAATGCTGGGAGTGCCTAAGGCTTAAGGGTAATCCGCAAATCGACATGCCTACCCGCTCACAACACTCGCCGGTCTGTTCAGGCCCATTCAGCCTGCTGAGCTTTCCGCCTTTCTTTCAACCTCAGAAACTTGCTGCCACTTGCTACTAGCGACAGCATGGTTGAAGACTGTCGTGCTATGTCGTGCTTGTACGAAAACCCCTTGAGAGGAATATCAGAATATCACCTTTGGCTCGTCTGTCCGTCTGTCAGTTTGTTTAGCCTATTTGCACTCTGGCACACTGAGACCGTCACCTCTGTACTCGCCGCACTGTCGTTGGCATCCGAACTTGCTCGTCTGGCTCCTCCTTTGCCGAATCCCTATACCAAGCTGTCACACTCCATGCATGGCTCTGCAGATTGGATGGCAAGACTTGATGTCGTCGTCTATTACACCAGGACGACGGCTCATGCAAGGGGTAAACTGCCAAACCACCCAAAACCTGCCCAAGACTCTCAAGGCACAACGTGTTGATCCAGCGCAGAAGATGTTGGGAGACTGGTGGAGTGAGACGGGTGCAGTGGCCATTAATTCATGGAGAGTGCTGCCTAGATCTCATTGGCTTCGACTCATTTTCCACGGCAGAGCCCCCCGCCTGGGCTGCTGCGACCTTTTGGTTGGCGTTAGACGGGCAGCAAAGTGGCCAAGCTTCAGGCATCTCATCTTTCCCATCTGGGAGAGGCTTTATGTCCAGCTGGTGCAACTCTTTCACATCGTCAGTCGAGTCTAAGACGTGGATCTGGCCGACACGAACCGGAAGGAAAATGTTCCCCGATATTCGGAGCCACTTGCGGTCTGCATCCAACTGCCCGAAAACGACGCTCCCATTCTCCGCATACCGGGAATAACGTTCCTCGAGATCTTTCGACCTCCTGTATTGAACTCCGGGATAGGGCTTCGGCACGCTGACCTTGAACTCTGACACGAACAGATTAACGTGGAGGTTGGAAATCTTCTGTCTCAAACCTGCATTGATCTCCCCCAACTTCAATTGATTCTGCAGCATCTGCCACGAGTCTTCTTCCAGAAAGAAAGCCTCCAAATTCCGCGTCACCTCTTCATCCATCTCCACAATGGATGTCTCCTGAACAGTCGGCATTTCAGAGGAAGCGGATGATGCATGTCCAGATCGTCGACGCGGCCGAGAGCCCGGTGTTGCGTGAGATTCGACTACAACCTTCTTCCTTTTCTGGGGTCCTATCGGATCCACGGCAAGATTTTGGGAATTGGATTCCGCACTTTGCTTCAACGCCTCACTGGCTGCTGCGGCAGCAGCGGCTGCGCGGGGCAGTGCTGGAAATTCCTGGGCTACGCTAGCAGGTGGAGGCCCAAGATCCGTGGGCTCCTGAGGCTCCTGAGGCTCCTTGCTCTGTGGGGCGACCTGTGGTTCCTGCTCGTCTGCGACGGCGAGGGCAACGACGGCCTGGTCAGAGCTGGCCGTCGGCTCGCTGCCTGCTGGGCAGGGTGTCTCCTCCCGCGTCTGATGCTGCGGGGGAGAAGTCTCCAGATCGCTCTTCCTGTCAGGCTCCTGCTCTGGACCTGGGCCGGACACAGCAGATGGGACTGATGTGACCGTGGCGTCGTCTTCGGCGGGCAGAATGGGAGGAGCCGGAGGTAAGCTTGGTCTCACGGCCGGGAGATAAGAGCTGATTTCAGTTATGTAGTTGGAAAACCAGAAGCATGGACAGCATCGACCGAAACATCCGAACTTGGACTCCATGTCCTGTTCATCATTGGCTCTGCGACGGCACGTTCATGATGCTGACGACTTGGTCGACAAGAGTACACTACTCGTCGGTACCTGAGGATTCTAGGCAGCAGTCGCTATTCAGTCGCTGGAACACTGGATGGTCAGGCCAGCCGTCGGATTCTACTTATTGGGACAAGTGTAGTGAAAGTTCGATCATATGCGATCATGCTGAGCCAAACGGTTGCAGGGCAGGTCAGCCCTGACGAATGGATTTGGGTACAGGGCTTGCGGAAAGCTTCGGAAAGCCGCAGACTCGCGCAACCGCTGCAATATTGCACGGCTTCTGCCTCAGCATGGTCTCCGCCGCCAATGAGGAAGTCTAGAGCAGCCTGAAAAATTGAGTAGCTTGTCACTGTTTGCAATTCTTTATCTGGTCAGCTTGATGCAGCTGCATGAACATGTTTTGCAAGTGGAAACGTGGAGTTCCGCCTGAGTGTCGTTCTTGAACTTCCTCAGAGCCTGCCGGGCAGGACCTGCAGGCTGCTTCAGGGGCCATCTTTGCTCGGCAAACTGGAGCCCTCCAAGCACGTAGACCGCGGGTGGTAAGCAGAAGCCGCAAGGCCACCATGCCTTCTTCGAATCCTTGTGATAGGAGCGATGAAAGACTCAGCGGGTCAACGGGCACCGAGGGTCCTTCCTCGGTCGGTAGGCGGAGCGTGCGGAGGCTCTGAGACTCTCCTGGGCGGCCCTCCCAAGGCCACTTGGGAGCCCGGCATCTGCACAGGAGTCCAAACCCTCGGCTGGCTTGTTCTTGTTATCCTGCGAGCGTGCGATAGCGTGCGAGCGCCCGTGAAATGCTGCGACGGGCTGCAGACCATCGCACCATCGCAATCGGATCTCCTTGGCCAACTTCTCTATCAGCCGCGCAGAGAAGTCTGTCACGACATCCTCCTGTCGGACCGTCGGACCGGACCGTCACTGTGAAGACATGTGCGTCGGACCTTCCCTGGTGGCCCACCTCGGGATTTTCTTCGGCCTCTTGAATGGCCATCTCTACCTGCTCAGGCCCGTTCACCCTCCCTCACACATCCCGCTGGCTTTGGGTCCTCGACTCCGAATCTTCCACTGGACTAAAGTACCCGAGATACCCGAGCAACTCATGGCCTGCGCTTCCAGATGCTCTGGAGTCATCTCGACCTAAGACACTTCGGAGCTCAATCTCAGCAGCACTCCCTGAGAGCAGCTCGGTACCAGCTTGGAGTCTAAGATGCCACACCATCGGTCGAAACTCCATTCGCGCAGGAAGAACACCTTCAAATCTACTGCTACAGACGCCCTGAAAAGGATACGACATGGACCGCCAAAGCAGTTCTAGGAATCTGTCGCAGCCCCTCGTCTTGCCTGAGATGGAGTGAGCTGACGTAGCGAAGAACTCGTACTGCAAGTACCTCATGGCAGCTTGCTTCCGGCAAGCAATCAAGGCAGCTTGGAAGTGCACCCGAACGCGAGTTCGCAATCCCGTTCTTCTTGCCACTATCTCTCGCAGGTTTTCTGGTGCCTGCTCGGATCATGATTGGGGTCTTCGCGGGGCCGATGCAAAGGTTCCGTGTTGTCGTATTGTCCCGCTCGTTGGAGCTGTGCTTCGTGGGCCAGAGCCGAGGTCAAGGCAGACGATCGAAGCTCTGTACGAAAGAGTGCGTCGAGCGCTCGGCTGCTCCACGATCTTCTTGGACCGCCACAGGTGACTGCTTGAATTGCACTAGGTGGATGCGCACTTCAAGGTCTGGAGGCAGGAGTCCAGAATGTCTCCCTGATTCAGCGGTCGTGGGACGAGCTACTGTCGTACTGTCGTGGTGGTGCTGTCATCGAGGCATTGCGGCATTGCACCTTGTACTCCTCCATGATATAAAGCCACTCGAAAATGTGCCTGTCCACCTGCACATCCAAAGGCAGTACTGTTGCCGTATGACGATCCTGATCTTGATCTGTTTGGTACCTCGTGGAATGCCAACTTGGTCGATTCAAGCTGCGACCTGGGACCAACGAACGCGAAAAGCACCGGATGTCAGAGCAGCTTTCCTGTCAGAATTCCTCGCTGCCTCTGGTTGGGCCGGGAACCCGACTGTGCCGCCAGATATCGACGGTCGGTCTGGTGCAAGTTCCTTTGACAAGGACGAAAACGTACAAGCGCACAAGACACTGCCATGCACAGGCACACATCCTCGTCTACCTGTCTGACCGATTCCTCCAAAGAGCTGGGGCCGCGGCTTCTTGACACAGTCATCCATCCTTGGCAAGGTAGCTCCGAACAAACACAAAACGGACACAAACCTCGATCGGAAGAAGAAAAGCCGTCAAATAGTATTGTATGGACAAGAAGCTCTCGCTTTGCGATGTTGTACTCCAGCAGCCGGCGCCTGCCCAACTGAAGTCGACAAGAGCGAAATGACAAAAGGATTCCCACGCTCTTACATTTCTTGGTGACACGCAACGATGCGCTTCATGTTCATTGCAGGGTCGGGGGCTGGCAGGCCACATGACTTGAACTTCACGCAATACACTGAGATCATGAGCATCAAGAGACAAGGCAAAACGCCTACTTGGAGAACGGATCATTCCGTGGCTCTACCGTCATTGATGGGGTGGAAATTGTTTTTGCTTTTTTTTTTCGTTGCCCTCTTTTTTTTTGGGGGGTGGGGATGGGGCTGGGGATTTCCGGTTTAGGGGGGAGTTGCCTACGTTCCCGGGTTTCGGGTTTAGGGGGAGTTGCCTACGTTCCCACAGGTAAAACCAGTCTTTTATCTAGTTTTAAGGTGGAAAACCAGGATTTTTCGATATGTCCATATCTACATCCACAGACCTGTATTTGTGTTTACTTCTACGTTTACGCAGGAAAACAAACGAGTGAATTTGTTTTGGGTGCATTTCTCTTTGTTTGGTGTTTATTGTTGTTCTTTGGTTCGTTGTCTTGGTTTTTCCTAGGAAAACCAACATTGTATAGCTTCATAAGATTAGTACCACTGTTTGCAGGAGTTCCTATGAATTCTTTCGTTTTGATTCGTTTTCTTGGTTTTCCAATGAAAAACATAATTTCTTATATATTTTCATAGGCTTAACATACTGCTTTGTTTTTGGTTCGTTTTCTATGTGTTTCCTGGGAAAAACCAACATTTCCCACATGAAGATATGCCTCTTGGTTGCCCATCTTCACCATCTTCACCGAAAGTACGTGTGGGACCATTGTGGTAGTATATCAGTATGCTATTATTACCCATAGTCTTGTTGTTCTCCCTGCGTTGTTTCTTCTTTCCTTCCTTGAGTCTGCCCTGGTTGTTTGCTTTTCCGTCCTTCCCTTCTTCATTCCTTCCTTCCTTCCTTCCTTGCTTCCCACGGAAGGGCCAAAAAAAATGGCCAAAAACAATTGGGTTCCCTCATTGATGGTTGAGCCTGGCTTTGTCAGTTGTAGTGAACTGCACAATAATCAGTAGTCAGTGGTTTCTCGTTCCGGGATGTACAACCTCGCTACCTCGACATCACACTCAGATCCTGCATGTTGTCATTGCAACCTACATGTCTTTAGGAGACAGGGAGCTTAAGCCTTAAGCTGCGAGGAGTGTTATAGAGTCGAACGATCGCCACACCTCACGGGGTGTGAACCTCACGCAACCCCTCAAAAATAAGAAGAAACCACGCGTGCTCTTGATGTTGCTCACACGCTTTGTACACAATCTGGGTCGCCAACTTCGCCCATGCTTCTTCCACTCTGCCGTTCTGCTTCAAAAGCTTATGGCAAGAAGACCCTGCGAGCATTGTAAACCCCGTAACTTCCGTGGTAAGCACAAAGCCTTCGCTTGTCCAAGTAGGTCTTCATGTTGCGGTTGTTGACGACCTAACTTACAGTTCTAGTCACGGTCAGGTCTGAAACATGAAGCTCGAAAGCCAAGCATGACCTTCGAGTTCCTCTTGTCCAAGTCCCGTGCATGACACCGCAAAGGGTTCATGATGTTGAAGTCCTGCGACGAAGAGCCAAGAGCAAATCTCTAGCTCGACACTATGCGGGATGCAAACAAAATGTGTGTAACGGGGCTTGGCATGGACTAACTAATCACACGCTCTGACAGATTTTTGCCAGCCACGAGTCTGCATATCGACAAGCCAGCCGAGCACTGCAGTGTCCATGTCTCTTCGAAGCTTCGCCAAAGCGCTGTGAGGAGCATCTGCACGTGTGATGGCATTTGTGGCCTGCACATCTTCTGCATTGCAACATATTTGCATATGCCAGCGTCTTCGATTGACGTCGAAGTTTCAATCACGACGCTGCATCTGTACCGCACACGTGCTGCTCGAGTTTTGGATACCTCTTTCATCTTGCAGCAGTCAGCTTTGATGAGCGAGTCGTCCACGGAAGCCAGGCCTGGGTTCAGACAAGTTCCAAAGAGGCTTAAGCACAACTCCGAATCAGATCCCTACAATATGTTTTGCCGGTGCGCACCTGCCAATCCTAAATTTCCTAAGCGGCACGGCCTGTGGTCACACTCTCCGCGAGGACCACAAGGCCCTCTGCCAGACTGTCTATGCCTGCAGGTAACACACTAGAAGCAATAAATGCTTTTTTCGTGCAAACTGCTCAGAGGCTCTTCATCAACATCACTTACCTAGAACCAGAAAGGCCAAATGAGCTGTCTGAGCCTCGATGAATCAGCACGCACATGATTTGACACAGACTGGGCACACCGTGCCGGACGATTGGTGCATGGCTGTCTCTCGGCGCCAGCACTGCCAGCATACTTTGCGCAAGTTTGTTTGGTTTAGCCTCTGCTTTTTCAGTTCAGGGTCCTGGCATGCACAGAGCCCTGGACTCTCTTATCTCAGTCTGTGTGTTCACTACTTTCCCCTTCATACAGGCGTCTCTGAGCCCTCTCGACCAATCCTGTCAGAGAGGTCTGCGGCAAGCGATAGAGCGCAAAGCCTAGAGGCTACGAACCCAGCCTGCATAAAACTAGCTCTCAAGGTCAGTCGATGTACTCCCACACCTCCCGCCTCTCATGAAGGTTTCGACCTTCTTGAAGATGTCCTTGCACAGTGAGGTCTCTTGAATTTTACTCAGGTTGAAAGAGCCACATCAATGGCTTGCTTGGTGCAGTTGTTTGTGACAAAAACCTTCCTGAAACGCTGCACTTCTGCTCAAGAAGCTGTGTCAACAGAAAGGCAAAAATTCGTGATGAGACTTGCAGATTGCATGTTCGATTGATGACCGCCGCTGTTGCCTGGAGGGTCAAGTCGAAGGAGACGAAGTCCTGCGAGGTCGAGAAAACACAAAAGCAGCGAATGCTCTGCCTGTCAGGATCTTGTAGTTGTCTATGCGCTGAGGACTAAATGGAACTCGGTCTCATGGAAGAGTTGCCCAGATCTCCTTCACGATTCCTTCAAAGACAGGGTCCACGGGCTCCCCTGCGAAGAATCGCTCCTGCATGCGTTGCTTGCAACACTCTGCCAAGGGCATTCCTGACCCTTTTGCCCTAAGACAACCTGCTGCTTCATCCTGCTGACCATACAGAGTTAGAACAAACAGGAAGCGAAAGGGTAGCGGCTTGCGTATCCTTGAGCACCTTCCACTCCATGTTCATCGCTGTTAGCTGGTCCTGGGGTGTACAACATGCTGCAAAACTGCTGCAAGCATGTTCGGTATAATGCATGTGGTTCCTAGATAAGATTGAACTCAGAAACAAAACCAAAAAAGAGTAGAAAACTACCTTAACAAATAGATAAGCAAATCGATAGGGACAGACACAGATACAATATAGACATAGATACAGACATTGATGTAAATATTCTTGGATGAAAACTCAATTAGTCAGCCAGCCAGGAGGTCAGTCAGCCAGTCGGTCAGTCGGTCAGTCGGCCGGTCGGTCAGGCGGTCAATCGGTCAGTCAGTCAGTCAGTCAGTCAGTCGGTCCCGTCGGTCGGTCTGTCGGTCAGTCGGCCGGTCGGTCAGGCGGGCTATCGGTCAATCGGTTGGTCCGTCGGTGGGTCGGTCCGTCGTTCTATCGGTCGGTCGGTCGGTCGGGCGGTCGGTCGGGCGGGCCTTCGGTCCGTCGGTTGGTGGGTCGGTGCGGTCGGGCGGTCTTGCAGTCCGTTCGTCCTTCCGTCCGTCAGTCAGTCATTCGGCGTGCGCATGTATTTCAAGTGCACATATATACAAAAGGACTTATACACATGCATGTACACAAACGCATAATCCAAAGCACAGGCATAAAAGCGTATGTATGTATGATGCATACATGCACCCGTGCGTTCATGCACGCATCTATACATCATACGTCAGAATCAACAGAAACATGCAACGTGCAGACAAACATGTTGCGGTACAGTTTTGTGGTCATTGTCACAGTCATACAGTCTCATACACAAGTGTTCAAGGCCAATGCTATTGCAGAATGCAGAACCTCTCGGGACCTGTCCCCGTCCATGGCTGCCACACTTGACTTGGGCACCTTCCACAGCAAGCACCGCATTTTGTCAGCTTCAGAAAATGTGAAGTGAATTCTGCTAGCATATGTCTCACACACCTGGTACCTTGCTCACACACGAAACTGTGCCTGCGTGTCCAAGGCCGTGTGCGACACCGCAGTGGGGGAAGCAATCCGATGTGTATTACTGCTTGATAGGGCAGTGTAGTGTGTGGAGCTGTGCTGCAACATCTCGCACTTCTCAACCAAGAAATCATGGGCAAGTCGCTATGACTGCTGCAAAGTGTGGCTGACTGCTTATCGGGTCGTGGGATTGTTTCGTGTGACTGTGCTGCATCACAGCTGCGAACGACACCCGCAAGCGGAGGCAAGAGATGCATCGCCGAGCTTGGGTGTCCGTGGTGGGCTGCAGTCGATGCGGGTGTCGCATTCTTGTGAAGATTCGTCAAGATAGGAGGAATGGAGCTCTGCAAACAAGGACAAACGCCAGGCTTCCTCCACAAGACCCGAAATTAAGTTTGGCATCCGAACGTTGCTCGACGCTACCTATTGAACTTGCGATTGAACATCATCCTGAATCGACCAGACGCTCTTCAGTATATCGATGTCAAACTCTACAAAGAGTCAAAGGGGGAAAGAACAGGAAAAGCAACTCTGCTTGACTGAAACGCGGCATTGCATTATGGACTTGGGTGATGTTGACTTCGCCGGGCCAACTCCGTATTGGACTTGTCTTGGAGACCTCTCGAGTGTGCACCAAATCTTTGCGCCTCAGCTCGCAGTACGAGTCAGTTGCCCTTGAGGGCTTCATTTTACGGGTTGGGGTCTTCGGGAGGAGTTAGAGCTTTCTGCACCAGTGCGAAGGACGACTCTTTTTCGGCACTGCGCGACTCTGCCACAGGTATCTAGAACAAGGGTTCGACTGTAGCAACAGGGCAGTGCAGCACTGGAAGCTCAGGGATCTCCTCTGCTTGAAATGAATGCTGAAGAGGGATTCGGCTTCGGGCTGCTTGAAGCGCACAGTGCAGGTGCCTTAATGGGCAGAATAGGTGTTTCTGGTGTATACTGAAGCTATGCTAGAACTGTGGGGACTCCAGGGAGATACTATTACTCATTTTTCCGATCCCTATATCGTGAGTAGCACACGTGGATCCCGATGCTTCAGAACTCAGGGAAGCGGGCCCCGAAGCTTGAACCCAGGGCTCCCCTGCTGACATCTTGGAATACGGGGTTGAGGGCTCAGGCACCACAATACAAGTACCTAGGGAGATTTAACTGGTCCGGAAGATTGCCCCCTGGCAGCCTCCGTCGTGCGCCACGAACGATCAGGCGTCGGCTTCAGATTCGTAGCCGCAGACGCCAGATGCAGAACTGTAGCCATAATTTTGGGCAAAACGCTGGCACCGCCCATCGCAATACGACTGGCAGGCACTGTAGGTTTGTTTTGCATGACCCCAGTACTTCTTGCTAATCGTCACCTCATCGCAAAATCTCAAGACCCCTTTCCCAATAACCCTCGCCTGGCAATATCATGCACAAACTGAGCCTAGTCCACTCACATATGCTTAGCATATATGGGGTAATGGGGTCGAGGGGGCTAGCGCAGTGCAAGGCCGCTGTACGGTTTCATTTTTCGAGGTCCATATGGTCCATGCCTGGCGAACGGCGCCGCAGACGCCCATCAGCACCAAGAACCGCCGAAGAAACATGGCTCCAATGGATTTGAAAGATCACGGCAAGAGGCAATGTCGCTGTAGAAGCCGAATCAGCTGCGATGTTAACGATAAGGAATGTGGCACACATTGACTTTGACAAGTCACTCCCAAGCCCGTTTTGTCCGCTCGGCACTAGGAACAAACTCAATGATGCAGCAAAGCGCTGCTCCCGAGCCTCACATCAGAATAGATAGGCGGCTAGTCTCGTCATGTTGCACATGGCACCTGTGGCTTGCATTGCTACGAAAACCCTACTCTGAGATCCGACAACCACCCGCCCGCCTTTGATGCGATATGAAACCGCTGCGAGAACATCCTGAACTTGCACGACAGATTGAGCAAAACGCAAACGTCTGAGGCCTGATTTCATCAGCACGAGTGAAATAATTACCGTCGTCTTACGCCCTAGTCCTAGAGACACTCTCCACGGTTGGTTTCAGGAATGGTCCGTTGAACATCTGCTGGGCGGTGAGCGGGCGCCCGACAAAGCGATTTTGAAGAAGATTGGACTGCGCGATCGTGATTTCCGCAGCTCCATTTCATGTCAACGTGCTCATGCACCCGAGTGATGTATGACCAAGCCCGATGCAGCACTGGTAACAAAAATCAGCATCCACGAGAAGCAAGAGTGTCTTGCCGATGCAAATCCGCTCGAAGGGTCTGTACCCGCACAGTTGGACCCAACAAGAGCGGAGAAAAAGAGACACAACACACAACCTCCGGAACACAGTGGCCAACCTTCAAACACTGCAAAACAGCACCAGCACAAAGCTTGTGGCTTGTGGATGTGTGATGACGTGAGCCACCGTTCCTGTGTCCATACCTTCCGGACATGAATCATCTCTGCCAGGGAGACAGCCTCAGCAGCTCGCGCGCATGACCCAAAAGACCGCCAAGCATTCGCTGCGCGAACATGAAGCTAAATGTTCAAGGCCGCTCTACAACTGACCGAACGGGCTGATCCGATTGCAGTTTCGATACCTGAAGGAAACGACAGGCATAGGCATCCGATGATTGATGAAAACTCACTGCTGCTAAACACAAAGAACCTCCCCAGCAAAAACAAGTCCTTTCTCGGAATCCAAGCTCCTGCAAATGCCCTGAACCACTCAGCAGTCGCAACTAGGCGAGTCTTCCCTTAAAAGACCTCGCAAGCCTGCAAATTGAGCCGAAGCACGTCCACCCAACGGGATGCTCCCACCTCGCAAGTTCTGCCGTCCCTTTAGGGGCGGGGCCTTGGCTTCAAGAAGGGGGAAGGAGGAGGGGAGGGGGGACAGAGGGCCCCAGTGCACGATAGAAACGACAGGGTCGCCGCGATGTCATTCCAAGCGAGACATGCACGTGCAGTGTGGCTTTGCGTGACCACAGTATGCATACACAGAACCTGCACACTGCATTGTGTCAAAGCCATATCGTTCTGTCCGTTACAGGGAAGGAAAACCACGAAGACCCATGGAGAAACCGGGAGCCGCCCTTGTCAAGCACTGTCGCCAAGTCCGCCTCATGGTGCAACCTCTGTCGTAGGGCATGCACGCCGTCTCCACGGATGCCCTCACGGATGCTCACAGCATGAGCTAGCTTTGAAGAGGTGGGGTCTGTCTTCGGGAAGGGAGGTATTAAACTCTCTGCACTACCAAGCACTGAAGTTATTTGGCACGAGCCTGGAGTTGACCCGAGGTCGTGACCCTGCATGCCGCCAGCTCGCGTACCGCACGGCTTCCAAGAGCCGGCGGTGCATCGAATCTCGTAAACTCCTCCACGAAAACAACTGCACAAGACACTTGACCAGAGCAGAACCGTTCTGATCACCTGCCGAATATGCCTAATTCGTGACTTCCGTCGAGATACAGTCCGCTTGGGCTTGTCTATACTAGGCACCTGCAGCGTGCGAAGAGCTGGAGAAACAATCTGACCTGTCATCGAGGTCGCGTAGGCAGCCGCTGAAGCAGAAATCCTGAACACACCAACAAAGCCAGCTGGACGGCTAGGCAGGGAAGAGGTGTGAGTGGAACCATAACCTGGCCAGAACATGCAGGGACTGCAGCACATGCCAAACCTGACTGCTATGCTTAATGTTCGATAGATCCTTGGCTGCATTATATGCACGGAGGCAATCTCGCACAAATACACACATTGTCGCTGAAACGGCGGCAGGGAACCTCCAAGCGAACTAAGCCGCAAGCTCGTCAGCACTGCCTGTCTTCTCGGGTTAAGTAGCTTTGTGCGACTCGTGGCTATCCATAAACCCAACAAGCGTGTTGCCAGCACGGTGTGCCGTGCGCATGTTGCCGCTGAATCCGCCTGTTGCTTTGTCTCCACGGTTTGTGGCCACATCGTTGACAAACTCCTTCGGCAGTCCGGTGCCGACAAACGACCAAGAGACCAAATGCTACAACTTGCTTTTGAGACCTTCATTGAAGGGTTCTGGACAACCATATCAGAGCAAAGCAGGACGTGACATGTCCATCCCATTCCATCCCGCAGACATCCTTGACATTCGCAGCCCGGTTTGGAGGCAATGCTGCAGGACAGGTGATTGTTGAGACCTGGGATATGTCGCAGAAGCCACTCACCGGTTTTTCTGCAGAGAGGCCCGGAACCCTGGATGGCCCTGGGGTCACCGAGAGCTCTGTGCAAAGCTCAGAGGTCTCGTCCTCTCGCACGAAACACGAAATCAGTTCAGGCTCCGGCTCCTCACAATTGTCCACCAAACTTAGCCTCGAAAAGCTTGCTGTTCTGTCCGGTGCCACATGACAGATAGAAGATGAGGGTTTGGCCACGCCACCACGCAGCGTTGTGCATCGCCTCATCTACTTCGTGTGTGGGTGTGTGTGTGTGTGTGTGTCACAAGAACAACCAACCACAACCCAAAAGCACGCTTTCTGAATCCTTCTAGCCCACCTCGCCAAACCCGGCGAGCTGCCGCAAAGACCTCCAGCGCCTCGCAGTCATATCACGCGCGCATCTGCCCAAGCCCCTGCAACTCTTCCGACACGAGCATCCGGATCCAAACATGTCCGATAACCAGCAGCTTGCCTGCTGCCACTTGCCTGCACAAAATCACAGAGTCAAGGTCAGGCTGCATGATGCGACAATCCGATGCCCACCTCCTGCACAAAGACCCGAACAGGCGATCGCGAAGCTCAAATGGCCTGATCTTCGCATATCATCACGCTCCCATACGAACAGCCAGATCACGAGTGAAAAGTCCAATGAAGGTCCTACACTCGGCACACGACACATTAGCCGGCATGAGTCTTAAACGAAACACTGCTCAAGTGGGACCGAGACTCCTCTTCGTTTTGATCTGCCTCGGCTAAGGGCAAAAGTTTCGACAAACCAAGGTGCTGGCTGCTGCAGATGCTTCCTCCTCTGGGCATGTGCACGCATGCGCGCGCATGCGAGTGTATGTGTCTGTATCGCAATGAGCAGACTTCATGTTGCCCGAGTATAGTGATGAAAGGCCGTTAGCACAGCAGCCTCTCACCGTGGAGTGGATCGGGAGCAATGCTCTGCGCACCACGCGGCACTCGGTCTTCTCGCAAGAAGAAACTGCCAAGTGTTTGACAGTGATGCAGCACAGAGGATTCCGGCGCGTCTGTTGCTAAAGACTGCTTCCTAGCTCTCCAACCTCCAGAACACGCTGCGGCCTCCCCTTTTTCAGACCATCGTGTTGCCCGAGTATAGTGATGAAAGGCCGTTAGCACAGCAGCCTCTCACCGTGGAGTGGATCGGGAGAAATGCTCTGCGCACCACGCGGCACTCGGTCTTCTCGCAAGAAGAAACCGCCAAGTGTTTGACAGTGATGCAGCACAGAGGATTCCGGCGTGTCTGTTTGGAAAAATGGCTTCCTAGCCCTCACACCTTCAGAACATGCTGCGGCCTCCCCTTTTTCAGACCATCGTGTTGCCCGAGTATAGTGATGAAAGGCCGTTAGCACAGCAGCCTCTCACCGTGGAGTGGATCGGGAGAAATGCTCTGCGCACCACGCGGCACTCGGTCTTCTCGCAAGAAGAAACCGCCAAGTGTTTGACAGTGATGCAGCACAGAGGATTCCGGCGCGTCTGTTGCGAAAGACTGCTTCCTAGCTCTCCAACCTCCAGAACACGCTGCGGCCTCCCCTTTTCCAGACCATCGTGTTGCCCGAGTATAGTGATGAAAGGCCGTTTGCGCAGCAGCCTCTCACCGTGGAGTGGATCGGGAGCAATGCTCTGCGCACCACGCGGCACTCGGTCTTCTCGCAAGAAGAAACCGCCAAGTGTTTGACAGTGATGCAGCACAGAGGATTCCGGCGCGTCTGTTGCGAAAGACTGCTTCCTAGCTCTCCAACCTCCAGAACACGCTGCGGCCTCCCCTTTTCCGAACCATCGTGTTGCCCGAGTATAGTGATGAAAGGCCTTTTGCGCAGCAGCCTCTCACCGTGGAGTGGATCGGGAGCAATGCTCTGCGCACCACGCGGCACTCGGTCTTCTCGCACGAAGAAACCGCCAAGTGTTTGACAGTGATGCAGCACAGAGCATTCCGGCGCAAGATAGCTTTCATTTTCCACCATCAAACCCACAGAAATATCAGCAGCTTCCCCTTTCTGAGCTGTTGCCCGAGTATAGTAATGAAAGGCCGTTTGCGCAGCAGCCTCTCACCGTGGAGTGGATCGGGAGCCATGCTCTGCGCAGCACGCGGCACTCGGTCTTCTCGCAAGAAGAAACCGCCAAGTGTTTGACAGTGATGCAGCACAAAGGATTCCGGCGTGTCTGTTGCGAAAGACAGCTTCCTAGCTCTCAACCCTTCAGAACATGCTGCGGCCTCCCCTTTTTCTGACCACCGTGTTGCCCGAGTATAGTGATGAAAGGCCGTTAGCACAGCAGCCTCTCACCGTGGAGTGGATCGGGAGCAATGCTCTGCGCACCACGCGGCACTCGGTCTTCTCGTAAGAAGAAACCGCCAAGTGTTTGACAGTGATGCAGCACAGACGATTCCGGCGCGTCTGTTGCGAAAGACTGCTTCCTAGCTCTCCAACCTCCAGAACACGCTGCGGCCTCCCCTTTTCCGAACCATCGTGTTGCCCGAGTATAGTGATGAAAGGCCGCTTGCGCAGCAGCCTCTCACCGTGGAGTGGATCGGGAGCAATGCTCTGCGCACCACGCGGCACTCGGTCTTCTCGCAAGAAGAAACCGCCAAGTGTTTGACAGTGATGCAGCACAGAGGATTCCGGCGCGTCTGTTGGGAAAGATGGCTTCCTAGCTCTCAGACCTTCAGAACATGCTGCGGCCTCCCCTTTTTCAGACCATTGTGTTGCCCGAGTATAGTGATGAAAGGCCGTTTGCGCAACAGCCTCTCACCGTGGAGTGGATCGGGAGCAATGCTCTGCGCACCACGCGGCACTCGGTCTTCTCGCAAGAAGAAACTGCCAAGTGTTTGACAGTGATGCAGCACACAGGATTCCGGCGCGTCTGTTGGGAAAGACGGCTTCCTAGCTCGCAACCCTTCCAGAACATGCTGCAGCCTCCCCTTTTTCAGACCATCGTGTTGCCCGAGTATAGTGATGAAAGGCCGTTAGCACAGCAGCCTCTCACCGTGGAGTGGATCGGGAGCAATGCTCTGCGCACCACGCGGCACTCGGTCTTCTCGCAAGAAGAAACCGCCAAGTGTTTGACAGTGATGCAGCACAGAGGATTCCGGCGCGTCTGTTGCGAAAGACTGCTTCCTAGCTCTCCAACCTCCAGAACACGCTGCGGCCTCCCCTTTTTCAGACCATCGTGTTGCCCGAGTATAGTGATGAAAGGCCGTTAGCACAGCAGCCTCTCACCGTGGAGTGGATCGGGAGAAATGCTCTGCGCACCACGCGGCACTCGGTCTTCTCGCAAGAAGAAACCGCCAAGTGTTTGACAGTGATGCAGCACAGAGGATTCCGGCGTGTCTGTTGCGAAAGACTGCTTCCTAGCTCTCCAACCTCCAGAACACGCTGCGGCCTCCCCTTTTCCAGACCATCGTGTTGCCCGAGTATAGTGATGAAAGGCCGTTTGCGCAGCAGCCTCTCACCGTGGAGTGGATCGGGAGCAATGCTCTGCACACCACGCGGCACTCGGTCTTCTCGCAAGAAGAAACCGCCAAGTGTTTGACAGTGATGCAGTACAGAAGATTTTACAGCAGCTGAGCGTTCACGCTGTCGATCCTTCTGAACTGTGTGCTTGGACCGACAGTTTCTGTCCTTGGCATTGAAGGCCGGCAACGGGACCGAAAACGCTTCAGCTGATCGAGGCGGTACGGTAATGACTCTTGCTCCAGCTGATCTACACATCAACGCCGCAGTCTCGGCTTGTCTTTTCTGGTTTTTGCAATCGTAGAGAGGCCACGGGCAACGTATTGGAAGCGCAGTGCATGTCGCATCTATTTCAGGAGACATGCTGCAAGTTGCCACCTGCTTGCTTGCCGTTCCTTTTTGCCTCCAGGGCGTTCAACACCTTAAGTCTACCGCCTTTCACGTGGTGAGATTGTTGGGAACGACGTCCGTGAACTGTGACTCAGATCTGGAGCCTGAATAATCACGTAAGCTACAAGGCTTGAAATGTCGAACTTCGAGTCGCAGCTTGCACCAAGGTGCAGCAACTCTCGGAACCAATGGATGGCATGCTCCCACCTTGGATTCGGAGCAGAATTTTCAACCCAGTCGACAAAGCTCCAACACTTCTCTAAGTTTTGGGCACAGCAGAGCTGGCAGCCGCTTGAATCACGGCCTCGGTTGCAGTGAAGCATCAAAATGTGATAAGCTTAGGCAAGCACGGACAACATCCCTAACCGACTGCCGCAAACTGCATTCACAGTGAGATAGAAACCTTCACGTGGCTTCATGTCCCACTGCTTAACCTTTCACAGGACGTGCCACGAAGAGGGTTCTAGGATTCTGGCATTGTAGGCAGGCCTGAAAAGCAACAAAGCCCCTCACCAAGCAGTGAGAGCGGTTCGTGGCGTCCGATTCAACCAACACGTCTGAGTCATCGGCACATCAACATCAAGACCCCTGGAGATTGCACCTGCCAGGCAGGTTGAATGCTTCCCTTTGCACCTTGAAGCTCTGCATTCAGCCAAGTCGTGCCCCTGAGGGTCGAGCGAAGAAGCACGCCGATTGCCCTGCAACTCGGCAACCGACACCATTCACGAATAATATACTTCTGTACTAAGGGTAAAAATAGGTGGATGGCTACTTGACTCCCATTTCCCAAGAAGCCAACCGGAAAGATCAGAAGTGCTCGTGTAAGAAACACCGACCTGCCTTCAAAACCACCGGGCAATCTGTACATCATGTTTTGCCGCAGCTACTAGTAGGGAGGTGGGACATGGCGGGATGCATGGTGATAGCCAAATGAGAAAGCCAGGAAGTGATGCACGGAGCAACACCGGCACCTGCCTCTGCCACATCGACTGGCGGCCACAAGCTGCTGCTGCAGCGCTGTAGCAGGGCGAGCCTCGATCGTAATGATTCGGATTGTTGCGAAGAAATGGTGGCAGCAGTTCGGACAAATCGTAACATATCATGGAAGCTAAGCTGTTGCTACCAACTCGCCCAAGCGCCTGCGCGGCCCAGTCTTTCGGCATCCTCTGCGTGGTTGAGCTAAGCTGACTATGTCCGGGATGTCGTGTGCAGCTGAAACAAGCTTCAAGCTGATGCACAAGCCAGATTGTAGACACACTTTGAGTGGCGAGAGGCTTAGTGTGCCGGAACTGTCTTGCTGCTATCCTCCTCAACGTTTCCTTCATTCCGGGCCGTCGGCATCTCCAAGTACAGTAGTAAGAAACGCAGAAAACGCCAGGTGCCGAATAAACCATGCCTTATGTCACTATGCGCTTAAACTCCATGTGCGATGAAGACTTGACTCAACAACGACTTCCGCACTGAGCCTGGAGTAGTACGAGGGCCGGCTCCCATCGACCACAGCGCTCTGCCGCCTGAGAGCGTGGAGCGGCGGCTGAACGCTTGAGAGCACTCCGAGTTCTTTCTCTAAGGACACGAAAAAACACACACACACACACACACTCACCCACGCACTTGCAGACCAGTCATCCTTACCTAGATAGATGCTGTTTGTGCCAGCTTTACTGCCTCTCATGTCTGATATTTCGCAAGTACTTGAGCCAGGCGTCCCCAGCTCATGTCAGGGATCTGTAACAACTTCTTCGTTGGACTGCCACTGTTACAGCTAAGGCAGTCCCCCTGCGTATCCTACATCCTTCGGAACAGGAGTTGCACACACACACACACACACACACTACCGGTAGAACCGGTAATGACAGCCAACATCACAACCCCTATACACACACAACAAAGACGGGACGAACGAGAAGCAGCAACACAGCAACACGACGACGACTGGCCGAAAAACAGCCAACCACAACCCCTAGACGCACAACAAAGACGACGACGACCGAGCAGCAGCAACACAGCAACACGACGACGACGACCGACCGAAAAACAACACCACAACCCCTACACGCACAACAGAGACGACGACGGAACAAACGGCAGCAACACAGCAACACGAGAACGACTGACCGAGGAAAAAAGCCGCAACAGCAACTATACTCCTGAGCTCCTGGACCTGGGCTCTTTCAAGGAGCTGTCCAGCCAGGAATTGGGATTGGGTCAACTTCTTCAAGTGTATGCACAAGGCGTACTCATCCGAGCTTGATCCAGGAGAGTTAAGCTTCAATGGTAAACTGGGTAATCGGGGCCTTGTTAATGTGGTGTCTTCGGAGGCTAAAGGCTCACACTCTAAGAAAACAGACAGTTGTTTTCAAGGGTTACCAGATGTTTCTAGATTCCCGCGCAGACCGGGAGTCCGACAGCGCTTTGGCAGAATTACTGTCGGGAGGCACACTTGCAGACAAGTCATCCTTACCTAAATGGATGCTGTTTGTGCTAGCTTTACTGCCTCTCATGTCTGATATTTCGCAGGTACCTGAGCCACACGTCCCCAGCTCATGTCAGGGATCTGTAACAACTTCTTCGTTGGACTGCCACTGTTACAGCTAAGGCAGTCCCCCTGCGTATCCTACATCCTTCGGAACAGGAGTTGCACACACACACACACACACACACCTCCCTCTTGCTGTGGCAGACTCGTCCAGAGAGCACTCAGCCGGTGACCGCAATTGCCGCAACAAATGCACGAGACGTCATCCTCGGATGTATGACCGCTGACTGTGCTTTGGAGCATCTTGGCGAAGATGCACCGAGATCCGAGTTAACGTGCAAACAAAAGGCTCGACGAAATGGTGCTGCATGTCGTCGAGGAGGGATATGGTTCGAGCTGCGAATGCGAGGCAGTCGTCTGTGCATGAGCAACCGAATACCACGTCAGCAAAGCAAAACATAGCCGGTCCACCCCATTGAGAAGAGCGCGAACAGCTCAGCATCACCTCATATCATGCCAAATTTTCAGCACTGACTTGGCTATCAGAGACCCAGAAGCTGAAAGGTTGCCTGGGTCCTCGCTCTGAGGTAGAAGCCATCTCGAACATCGCAGCATCCAGGTGGACTTTTTCGGCGTGCAGGGCCCGGCGGAGAACCCACAGGGCTCCAGCCTCCGAAGCATTGAGAACGCCAACGCTCCGTATGCTGAAGAGCTCTCGGTTCCCCGCCCAATGTCCGTCCCGCACCTCCGCGCTTCAAGGAGGCCGAGAAAAAGCTTCCACATGTTCTGAGTGATTCCTAGGGCTTCAGGGACACGCATAAGCAGCCACTGCTGCACGGCATCGCCGCGCAGTTGCTGCTGGCAGTGCCATGCAACATGACAGATAGAGAGCAGCAGCAACAAAATTGAAGGAGCTGCACATGAAATACACTAAGCCCATTCTGAATATCTGACTTTGCATATCCCAGGGGTGCATTTCACACGAGCCGCTGATTGTAATCACATCTGAGATGGAATTTAACACATCTGATACAGACGGACACCCGTTCACATCAGATTCAATTGGACTGCAGAGGATCTTTTTCTGACTCATTCTTTGTGTGGCATACACGTCTGCTCCATTTGGTGCAGGAACGAGGATCTCTCCGAGACATCGTTGCCTCAGCAGGCAGAATTCAAGATATCGCCTATGTGCGTGCTAGACATGTCAGGTTCTTCATTGTGCTTCATGGCTGGCATGGCAGGCAACTTATACGATTCAGCAGCATGCTTCAGCACTGATGACTCTGATGAAACACATATACCCAAGCCTCGCAGCCTCCCCCCGTTTGCCTCCGAGAAGGCGGTCGTTGACCACCTGCTTTCCGTAGTACTCCAGCCTGGGGGTTCTTGCATCGAAATTGTCCACCAATTAGCATTCAATCACAAGAATTCAAGTCCCTGACACTTTGTTCACAACCGGAAGTGTGAGCAAAGTCAAGACGGAGAGTGCCACGACGTGCCTGGCAAGGCTGAGAGCTTCCACACATCTCGGCTATGACTTGCGGCCAGCTTGCCACACTGCCACACCTTGAACTGTTGCATGTGCAGAAGCAAGACATGCACGGCGGTACGATTTGGCAGCAAATCGAAGGTGGAACCTTAGAACATCATCAACACGAAGCTGCAAATGTCTTTGACAATCTCTGCGATGCAGCTTATACTGGGCTTATACTAGACCTCCTGTGGACAAGAACGTCAACAGGGGTGCCCTCTCTCGTGCAACTCTCTTCCTCGGATGCCGCGACCGTCTGAGCTCCCGGCACGCATATGCATGCGTCGCCTCAGAACCACTCTACACAACAAGAAAGTAGTCTTGCTGCAAACAGCAGATGTGCATCTACAGCGGACCCATGAGATGGTTGTTGGTGCAGAGGGTCTCCGATCTCTTTTGCTTCCAAGTTGCGCCTGCCCGTATCGATATTGTGCCTGAGGCAGAAAACACTAAGAAGCACAGTTGGAGAGACCAAACACAGCATCAGGACAGGGAACACCACATGGCACCCTGAGTAGGCTTCCAGTAGGCTCCAGACTGGAGGTATCGAAACCAATCTTCCATGTGCTGTCGCTGCAGCCTGAGCTTTCGGGCTTTCAGCCAGCCGCTGCTCGGAAACAAAACGTCTCCGTTTGGCCTGCGCTGCACGTTTTGCTTTGGCCTGAGTGCCTCGAGCATGCCCGCGGCATATCCTAGAATAACTTTGTCACTTCTGCGGGGCGAAATATCTGTTCCTCGTCCATTCACTCCTCTTCCGTGTGTCGCTTCAAACATGTCAGCGGCTCAGCATGTCAATGTAACTTCTTGAGATTCTTGAGTCTTGAGATCAATAAGCACGCGACACAACTTCCGTCTGTCCAACGTTTGGGCCTTGGCGGCCATCTTCAAGATTGGAGCGACATCACGAACAGTGGCTGAACACTGACACAACAGCTTGCCACTTTTGCAAGCCTCGCTTTCGCCCACAAAGACCTACTAGGCAGAGGTCAGTTACATGGCTGTGTGAAGCAAGTTATTTCGATGCAGTTTTGCGAATTCTAGAAGATCGTTGCCTTCAAAACACCTGCAAAATGCTGGGCGCAGGGCAGTGACCCAGATCTGCCCAATTCATGGGCAGCAGGTCCATGACCTTCGGATATGGAAAATGTGCGGGTATGTAAAGACTGGGGTGAAACCGGTGACACACATGACACCCTGCCCCTGGATCCTGTAACTGTAAATGATTGTAAACGTGTCCTAGTAAGCTGGTACTTGGGGATACAGTGTGACATAAACAAAACCTGAGAAGCAAGCTCCTGTGCTTCGTAGAAAGCCTGAGACGCACGTACACAGACCCAGTAGGCTCAGGACGGCATTGTGCAACTTCTCGTAAATCGAGAAGTTGAGCTTTCCTGAACACAGAAGCATCACGGGCTAGCTGAGTTGCGACCGCATCAATGCATGTTGCAGCAACCTGCTGCAAAACAAAGTACACATCGCATGCCATTGTCTGCTGTAGAGTGCCGTGGACAGTACTGAAAAGCTAAGTGTCCAATGCGCCACACCGTGACAGCCAAGGCCTCAGGGCAGGCAAAGGTGCATCTGTCATCAAAGCGCTGTTCATCTCGCGCATGCTGGAGCAACTTTCTTCACGTTGCTCCTGCTCCCGATTCGGTCGTTTCCACATGTTCTTCGCCTAACTTAGGCTGGCACGCCCAGAAACATCACATGGCGAAAAAGATAATGCCTCGGAGTTCAGAAATCTAGTCACATCTTGATCTGCCGATGCTGGAACTGTGGCCGCCGACACCATGTTGAAGGGAACGGTCGCATCACACGACTGCCTGCATTACCAATGCAGCTCACGACAAGAAACGAAACGTGCTGCAACAAGGCGAGTCACTAATAGTAAGTGTGTAAGTACCGAGAACTGTATATAATAACACCCAGGTATGATAACATTGGCCTCGGCCCGCCAAAGTGCTCAGAGGTTCCCACAAAGACTCTCTGTTTTCCCTCTTTATCTCCTCTAAGGACCCAACCTGTGAACTTATTGACCGGCCCCCAAAGCACGATTCTGCACGTTCATGTCCTCTGCCGGCTTTCGCGTTTTCCGACCGTCACCATTACTCTGACTCTTGCTGGTACTGTCGCTCTCACTCTCACACACTCTCACCCTTAATCTTGCCTCTCACTCTTCCTTTCTAGAGACAAGCCTGGCCACGTCGAGAAAGAGGTATGCCAGATGCTGCACGAAAACCTGGCATTTACAACACCAGTCGAGGTCCAACCAAACAGACCAAGGCACTGCATAAGCGCACGGTAGAAGAATACTAGACAAGGGTATGACCAGGGCCCTGTAAGGTTGCTATTCTTTGGCCTAGGGTTTTATGGCCGCAAGGTCACAGCTATTGAAGTCTGAGCTCTGGCAGATTCTCGCGGCACGCAGTGCGCTTGATATGCGCTTGATGGTCGCAACCTCTGTCCTGGTTATGCTGTCCTTATCCGACGTAGCCGCTCAGCATCACAAAGACAAGACACAAATGCTCTTTAATCCATGAATCTGGAATGCTGCCAATTCAGCAACGGCGGCAGAGCATTATTGGGAAATCGACACATTACTTTGGCGAAACTGCGTGCGACATGAATCAAATTAGCAAGCCTTTGTGCTTTCTTGCTATGTCCGAATTCATCCAACTGAACTACACAGGCGTCAGCTCATGAAAAGGCCGTTGGTCACACATCTTACTGCCTGGCGGCAAAATGGACACACACGGCCACCGTGTTTCTGCTGGCACTTGCTGCACATCACGTGGCCACACGGTGCCAAGACAACGATGCGACCCACATCTTCGCAAATAGCACAAGTGCTTGCTGCACCGCCAGCACCGGCTTTTGGAAGAGTGGCACCCTCCGTGTTCTCATCGAGACCCTCCCAAGAGGCTTCAATCAGTATGCTCGAAGATGTCTTTGTCGAGCCAGCTTGAATGGCCTCCCGCTTCACATCATGTTTCCAGGCCAGCTTCAAGTCCGAGAAACCCAAACCAGCGAGGGCTGCCTGCAGCTCGTTGAAGAGAATGTCTTTCCGGCTTTCAAAATACATTTTTGGAAGGTGACCAGTGCGATGGATGACGGACATGAGCCCGTTTTGGCTCTGCGTCTCGCACACCTCAGCGAGTTCAACAATCGATGCTTGCGTAACAAATCTTCCGCCGCTAAGGGCATCAAAAAGCTTAAAGCTGCTCAAAATCACCAAGGCTCCTCCTTAAATTGCCCCAGCTGCTCCTGCACCCATTGGCTGCTTCGCTCGGCATCCTCCCGGTTCAGGTGAAAATTCGGCTGCACCACAGAAGAGTTGCTGTGAACACCGCTGGCCACTAGGCTCTTCTTAAGTCTCAAGCATGTTCCGAAGTGCTGCGTCCCCAAGCAGCTCCCCAAGCAATTCACGCACTAAAGCCCCTTCAAGTTCGACATCCGAAATCGAAGCCTTGCCTAGCTCGACAGGTGCTGATTTGCTTCACATAGCCAATCTCTACAGGATGCTCAAATCTACGTTCACGTACAAAAAGGATTTGACTCAAGATGAGAAAGGCAGCGTCAGCAGGCCACCGCAAACCAGGTGAGACGAACTGTCGAGCCCCGATGCCCCGATGCCTCGGCAAGTCTCCTCGCCCGCTCTGCTGCAGCCTGCCTGACGGCATACTGAACAAAATGAGTCAGTGCATTGGTTTCAAAATGCCTCGCCAAGCTTTGTGCGAAGGACGATGCATCTGGCGGGGGAGCATCAGCCTTCCTTACCCAGAGCCATTGCAGCAACAACATGGCATCCGCCTTGACAAGTCAATGGTGACAAACCCTGCAGGTCACAACGACGCATTACAAGGCAACTTTTGTGTCAGACGTGTTCGGTTACTGTAGCTTGCAGCAGCGCGTGCGTCCAAGCCCAAAGCTGCGGAGGTACATCAACATCCGGAACAAGACAGACTCTGTGAAAAGCCGCCGTTGCACGAGGCACACGAACACTTCAAAAGCGCCGGGGAGGCGTATGTAATTAGCGGAGCCAGCCTCACAGAATCTGACGTAGAGAGGCTACGGCTAGGCAAGACCAAAAAGTGGGACGCCTTGACTGCAGCTCCTTGACCTCGTTTACCAGCGTTGCATGTTGAAGCCAACCTCAGCATTGTTATCTCCGAAGACTTCAGGGACCGCAAGAAGGCACACTTGCGAAGGCTGGCATCACTTTTCGCTCTACGTGTGGTCAGCCAGAGGACGAGGTCCCTGTAGTGTTGACTGACGGTCAGTGATCCGAGCTCCCCAGGCGTGCAAGTCTCTTGCATCGCACTTAGATTCCGCCTCATGCGCGGCTTTACACTGATGGTCCTCTGCCTACTACCGACGATTGCACTGCGGCAAGTGAGTAACTCGAGCAACGAAAACAAGGCGGAGCCGGGCACAAAGCGATCTTTAGCTCGGAATCACAGAAACTTCGGCAATTTGGGGCTGCAGCAGGATGCCTTGGACAACCTAAACAGCGGTCTGTCGAATGAGCTGTATTGAATCTCAGAATGTAGATGGATGGCAGCGCTGGTAGTTCTCGAAGTAGAAGCCTCAAGGAACTGAATGGATGCTCCAGAGGATCATTGGTAGCCACTGTCCTTTGCCAGTTTAAGCTGTCACATGGCTCTCGATACGGAAAGACATGCTGCAGCAGCCCTGGCACATGCATCTTGCAAAGCAGGCGAAGCAAAAGACATGCTCAATCGCCCTCGCGTGTCATGCACCACAAACACTGAGCAAACGAAGTCGCATTGCTACTCTTTGTGCATCCGATGCCAGGTGACGCCCAACTGATCGAAAAGCAGGACATGGCGCCTTCCGCAAGGTTCAGCTACCAGGCAACAACAGCCACAGCGTGCAGAGAGCAGAAGCACAGAAGGTGGACGTCATGTGAGGCCGCTCAACGAAGACAGTACGAAGCTGGCAACATGCAAATTCTGCAAGGGAGAACGCCCCTGGCCTTGAACTGCTCGCCAGGGAAAATAGGCTGCCCAGCAAGCCAAGACACTTGCCTCCACACAACTGGACCCTTTCATTGAAAAATCGTATGCAACTTTTACTTTGCTGGCCTGGGCGTCCACCAGGGGATCGGCTTCTTTGGCGGATCCTTCGGGATGCTCTCCCGATCCCACACGGACTGGCGAGTCCTCAGGTAGCACGTTCATCATCCCTTAGCTGAGTTGCACCTGGCTTGAGCAAGTAAGATCTCTGATGTAGCTAAGCCACATGGGAACGCGAGTTGGAGCGAATTGACTGTTCGAAGCCTGAGCTTGAGCAGATGCTCAAATGAGGCACAACTCAGCGACATTCGCGGCTGCAGCAAAGCCAGTTGGTCAGTTTAGCACAAGCAAAATAGCTGCCACGGTCTGAAGATCTCTCTCTGAACTCTAGTCGAGGGGTGAGCGGACTTGAAAGCCAGAATGTTTGTCGAGGCCGTTTATCAATCTGGTCTGACTCAGTACGATTCTTCCGCAATCTAAGCTACAGTTAGCATCTTCAACTCTCTACACAACACTCTATGCCATCCACTAACTGACATGATGGTGTAGAGTGTTGTGTGGAGAGTTGAAGATGCTAATTGCAGGTATACACCATCCATCAACTGAAATGAAATGTGACATGCTAATGCTGTACTAATGCTTGCCGTGGATCCAGACTTCTTGTTCGCAGCTGTGGCTGTGACCTTGAAAAAAATTGGAGGCTTCCACTTTGGTCAAGACCAACACCGAACACTTCACTTACACGACTGACAATGAAACCGTTTGCCGGGCTCCCACGCTGTGAGGAGCTCAGACCAGAGCGTTGCAAACGCGACCTCGTGGCCAAACTTCCATCAGCTTTTGATTCTCCTCTTTTGTGCAGAGCTCTATTCAATCCAAGCTGCTGTGATCGCATGAGCCGACAAAGGTCACTTTGCTGGCCGATGACCTGGAGACGTAGCTAGTGCGGCGGCTCGTTGCACAGATTTCGCACAAGTCCAGCTGCCTCCAGAATCTTGGCTACCTGCAGTCCCCAATCTGCATCAAGATCACCTGAAATAGAGACCAAAAGACCAGCATGGAGCCCCTTGTTGTAGCTCAAGCACAAGCACCATCTCTTATTTACCCTCCGCGTCCCACCAAGGCACGTGTCCGCAGAATGACATCGTAGAGTTGGTGCTGCTCCTTGCAGAGGGGCACCCTGACCCGGAGAGTACCCATGGTCCTCTAAGCACTGATCTGTAGGCACGCACTCGAACTGCCGGCATGAACACAAGCATCGGCAAAACTAAACTCATAGACTTTTGGACTTTGACTTGCGGAACGGTGAGTTGTTTCGGCGTGGCTTGGCCAAGAGGCCAAGAGACCGAGAGAGAGACTGAGAGACAGAGAGACAGAGAGACAGAGAGACCGATAGACAGAGAGACAGAGAGACAGAGGGACAGAGGGACAGAGAGACAGAGAGACAGAGGGACAGAGAGACAGAGAGACAGAGAGACAGAGAGACAGAGAGAGTGAGAGAGTGAGAGAGTGAGAGAGTGAGAGAGTGAGAGAGTGAAAGAGTGAGAGAGTGAGAGAGTGAGAGTGAGAGTCAGAGTGAGAGAGTGAGAGTGTAAGAGTGACAGTGAGAGTGAGAGTGAGAATGAGTAAGTGCGAGGGCGGGTTTGACACAACATTTCGGCTACACCGTCATCGCTTGCGGGAAACATCCTCCTCGTCAAGAAGCCACCACTCTGTGCAAACCTGCAAGCATCTGGTGCTCATACGTTCCCGAATAGAACTGCAACTGAGAACAAATAACCACTGTGTCTACTGTTCCGCTCTTCTTGATGCAAGCTTTCATACAGCCTCTTGCATGCCCAACAGTGCGAAGACTACCCTGTGAGGATGACGCTTACAAGTTTAGCTATTGGTGTCCTGAAGGGCGCATGACATCGACAATAGCGCATCAAGCAAATATCCATGTCACGCAAAAGCTGTGGCATGCTGTGGCTGGAAGCGACTTGAACGTGCTCAGTCCATTCGATATCATGGCGAGGCCACGAACGCAACGAAGCTCTAATATGCATGTTGGAATTAAGATTCATCCGGTTCAAGGACTTCGTCTGTGAGTGGGTGCGGAGCTTCGAGCCCGAGAGTCACAGCGATTCTGTGGGCAGCGATTCCGACTTGCTCTTGTGTCTGAGCACAACTAACCTCTAGACGTTCAAGTCGTCTCACCAAAGCGAACTCGAGGTCTTGTGACTGGAGGTCTTGGCCCCTCCAACACTAAGCCTTAAGCCCTAAAATCTAAAACCGTAAACCCCAAAGCCCTCTGTTGTGATGGTCGTTTGGAAGCTGCCTGCTGCCCTGGTCATGTTAAAAGTGAATTTAAAGACAACAGTATATGATGCATAAAATGCTCCTTCCAAATGGACCCGGTTTTGCTCATCCCTACACACACACCCCCTCGCGCGCGCACACACACACACACGCGGCCTGGCCCACCCGACACTTCACTACATAACACTTCTGGTGATTCTGCGTTGGTGCGCAAAACTCAAGCATTAGTTCGCTTGGCTCACGGACTAAACATTTCAAGATTCAACAAAGGGAACAATGCCAGATAATGCCTCGCGTTCTTCTGTGGTTTCTGGATTTCTGGCTCTCTCGGTTTACTTCGGCATTCTGTGTTTCTTGGTCTAGATACTTGCGGATTGAACAAGGTCTGGAATTCTTCGCAAACGCGGCCAAACAACTAACGAAATATCAAGAAGTAACTAAAGCTAACCAACAACACACCAAACAACCTTGGCATTCCTTCTGATCCATCAGTGTGTTGATTTAAGTGGTGCGACCAGCCCAAATGTAATTCTGGGGACGCCGTACTCTTGGGCACATGGCATGGCAAAGAACAACGCCAGGCGACAAGAAGGGACACCCTCGCAGTGAAGACACACCAAGCAATCCCAATCCGCAGTGAGGCTTCCGTTGAAGAACTCCATGCAAAAAGGACGAAAGGATTGTCCTTCCATAAGCTATGCTGTCATTGACCCCAGTCATTCACAAGTTTTGCGGGAGCTGACCTGCCTCTCGAAGAACGTCAAGCGCAAATGACCTCGCGGCTTGGCCAGCTGCGTGTTGTAGAACCTGGGCTGCGAAGATCCGTGGACGGACCAATCTTTGCCCTGTATTGACACACCAGCCCAGGCAGGTCTCGCACAATACACCGAAAGTCGGCCAACCAAACTTTGTCATGTCGCACGGAGTGCCAACCGCAGGCCAGCTGTGGGGGATTCCAGGCATTGTCGGCGCACCTCGCAAGATTGCGACAGGCTCCCCAAGCCGAGTAGGCCAAACCGCACAGCACGCCACGTCTCGCGACACTCCATTTGGCAGAGAGTTACTCGCTTGAAAACTCTTCTTCCGCCGGGCATGAGGGGCTGTTAAGACCCCTCGGCCACTAGGGCCCCCCCATATTTTGTGGGGACTTTGGAGGAGTGTGAAAAGGTTTTGGTTGTTTTGTCCCCCTGGTGGATCACAACTCTCTCTCTCTCTCTTTGCGTTGCTTTGCTCGGGGTGTGAGCTGCAGGCAGTCCCTGCAAGCCTGCTCCAAGGCGCTATCCCATCCCCGATTTTCGAAGGATGGGCTCGGCTTTGTGAGGACTTGCTTGCTTGCTTGCGCAGCGTGTGGGGGACAAGCGGGACCCGTACCCCTGCGCTCTCGCGCTACTCTGTGGTTCGTGTCTTGAGCCGGCGTGAAACTATGTTGCCTTTATCCGGGAGCATTATACAGCGAAATGACAACGGAGTAAACGGGTACATAATAAGTCGACTAGTTGTAGGTTAGTGGTCATGCTCCCGTGTTGGCTCGGTGCAATGAAGCAGTGCAGGTATTGTCGGGCCCCTGTGCGAGTGGGGTGGAAGGCCTTGCGGTGTTTTTTCAGTCAAAGTTCAACAGGCTTACGCATGGCAAGAACAAGCTGCACAGCATAAGGTTCGCGGCTTGATCCACTGGCTCAGCACTTTCAAACCATATCTCCCTCTCTCTCGCTCTCTCTGTCTCTCACTCGCCTCCCGGATGATGTCGTCAACCAGATGCGAGATGGGACTCTCTGGTGCCTGAGCTTTACTCCTGTCTGACGCACAAACACAAGCAAAAGCCACACGTTTGAACGGATGCAGAAAAACTCGCGGACTGCAATAGCCACTGAGAAGCTTGGGATCTTTCTGCGAATGCTTCCTCAAAGAGCTTCACCTGCTGCCATGTATGCCAAGTGTAAGCGGGTTCTGATGCATGCCACCAGGAATGAAGCTCGATGGTGCATGTGGTCTACACTTCAATGCACAGTGCAAGCCTATTCTAGGCTTCTCAAACTCGCATGATGACACAACATGAGAACTCCTGGACCACAGCGAGACTCAGACCTTGCTGCAGCAATCAACATCAGGCGTTATCCCCAAACTCCAGCAACCTCTGCAGCGCTCCACCGTTTTGGCTCCACGGCATCCAGGGTCAAGAAATTCCAGACCATGGCATGGACGGCTTGTCAAATCAATCTGCAAACACAACTCGCTGTGGAAGCTCCTCATCCCAATTCCGGCATCTTCTCAAGGCATCTTATAGTGCATCTTACTTGTAGGTACTGCTTGCAATGAAGTTTCCTACTCCTCCAGATGCCTGGTTTGTGCCACAAATGCCTTCAGCTCCCGCAGACAGCCTGCCTCTGCCGAGATGTGTGGTCTTACGGAAGCTGTTGTAGTTAAAACCGTTATCCGTTATACCTCCATGCAAACTTGAAAGAAACGTTGTTGGCAGCCCCCACAAACCTTTCGCCAACGCTCGCAGAACTCACACAAATCAAGACACTGAGGCACAAGCGCTGGCGAGGGCTAAGTCCCGGGAAGCGTCGCGCAAAGTCATTGGCGCGGATCTCAAGTTGTCTGCACTCCCAGCCTGTCTTCCAGGTTCAACTACTCACAGCGCATCTCAGGCACGGTGAGAGACGCTGCAACTGTGTCCTGTGATGCCATGCAGGACCAGTTAGCGACAAGGGAGTTTCCATCCATTCCCTCCCATGACATGAGCTGAGGAACCAGAGCCGCCGGAACTGAAGTCAGCAGACGATTGGACCGACGACTGATAGAGCCAGGCGAGGTTGCAGAGCCCGGGTCAATGAAAGCCGCAGGGCAATCCAGAGCTCAAGAGCATTCTTCACAATCTGATGTGCAAGGGCACAGGAATGTACATCATGCCACACGGACGAAGAACTCGGAGTCAGACTGCGTGCAGCAAACATGCCAGGCATGCTGATGAGCAAGCAGCTCATGGCCTGAGAGGGTTCGAGAAAATCACGACCATGGCCCAAGCAGGCAACGCCAGGCACAAGCCCAAACCCTCAAGACATGTCTAGTAAGTCCAGCCGAAGTTGCAATGCTTCTCGTGTGGTGGGATCTCAACTTTGATTCACAAAGCCCCTGGGTGTCTTGCAAAGTACGCGCGCTGTGATCCCAAGAGGGTGGCGTACGACCTGGATCTGCCGCAGAATCATCTCAGATGAACCCTCCAAGCTTAACTTCAAAGCATGAAGATAAAGTTTGCACATGCTGCCATCTCTGTCGAAGAACTGGGGCAGCTGCATGATCGTCATCACTGCCCTGTGCATGATGCCGTCTACGAGACGTAGCCTTGCAGATAGGATTGAGCCTGCGGGCATGGCAATCGTAGAACAGAGCTGGTGCCTGCCACACGCAAAGTGATGAGCCAGTACAGCTGCAACAAAAAAGGCCTCAGTCAGATCAAGGTGCTTATACTTGCGCTCTTGCTGAGAGAGTGTGCAAGCAGCGGCATGTGGCGCTGTCCTGGCGCCTTAGCACTCGTGTATCTCGACAAGGTCCCGGCACTGGCCGTTGCAGGATAAAGGATCCTTGGCGTTTTAGAAAGTCATCTGCGGTTCCCAACCGGTGCTAATGTCAATGAAGGCAGCAAGCGACAATCATTGCGCATGGGAAACACATGGAACAAGATTGCGCTAGTCTACCATTGTCTGGTGCATCTGTCCTTGTTTACTCCCGCTCCTCGGCATCTCATCCTACAAACCGCCTGAGCATCCGCGCGCAAAGTAGAATAGGTCGCGCCAGCTGCCGAGAACTACTCGGCGCAGCCGCCATCTTCCAAAGTCTGGTGTCCAGGAGAAGAAGTAAGGCCTCAGACTCATCAATGCCTGGCTCTCGGCCCAACCTTTAAAGTAGTGCCTTTCCGAAACCTTTGCAGCTGGTGCCGCAATCTAGGAAGAGTGCTACGACCCAAATCTACCGCACTGCGCCACTTCAAGAAGGAATCGTCATTGCTGATTACCACTGATCCGTTGGACGAATGAGCCAGCGGCCGCATTCGAAACACATCTACCTGTTTCACAAGGAGATCTCTTTCCACTTCAGCTTCGTTTGCTCTGAGCTACACTGACCCTGCATGACGGAAGGACGTTGCCTCATCGTCCCGATTTCCAAGCAAGGCCGCCTGTGCAAAAGATTCGATTCGATGCACGAAAGCAAGAGCAGCAGGCTTATGATATGTGGTCTGATCCTGTGCCGCGGCAGTTGGCTCTTTTATTCTGTGGTTTGATGGCACATGTCGCAAATCACTCTACGCAGCTGAAATTTCTGGGGTGCACAAACTTTAGCTACATTGGTGGGCATAGGAGTCTCTTGGTGTAATGCTTGGGGAAGCGAGGTGAAGGCGTCCGAGGCAACGATCGGAGGAAGTGATACTGATACCGAATACCCTTCATGTCCCTCCATCTTCCAGACATGGCACACACACACACGCACACGCACACGCGCTTTTGATGGGACTGAGCACCGTCGGATGGATACTAGTTACAAAGTGTTTGCTGGCTGTGCCGTGAACAGTTTGAGCCGTGTTTGTCAGATTGCTGCAACCGTGCTACATCTGCGTGCTGCGAACACTGTTGTACTTGTCTAGTCTGGACACCTCAGGGGGCCTGTCCCGGAACTAATCTCGGCACCACAGGGGGCTGCCAAAAGTTTATTGCAAGTACGCCGAGTTGATCAGACTCGGTATCCCATGACTGTGGTAGCTTCGTTGAGTGCGGTCCCACAGCCATGCCGCACTCCCCTCCCTGCACTGCTAAAACCAATGGTGTACAGACATGCTCCCTTGCGCTGCTGAAGACAGTTTGCGAGCAAAGACATGTTGAAGGCACATGACGTCATGATGCAAATCGCAAGGCAAATCAGTGATGGCTGCAAAACTTTGGGTTGTGAGCCCCTTACCTCATGTACGAGAGGAGTACACACACACACACACTCACACACACACTCACACACACACACAACATACACATGCGTGCTCTCCCTAGACCCTGCCTCCCAGTAGGACAGGAGCAAACATTCGATGGCTGATGTCTGACCAGGGCAGCATTGAAATCGAAGACGGAGCGATGCCGAAGCTGGGGTCCAGGCAACAAGAAGACCCAGAAGGGTCCACCATGCATAGCAAGAGAAAATCGGCCCGTGATCAACCTGCCCAACATCATAGGGTCAAGCTGAAACATCACTTTACAAGCATCTCGAAGTGACTCGGATTCTAAACTCACATCAAACTCGCTGCCAGTCTGGAGAAGTCTTAAGCTGTGGAACCCTGGGCCCGGGCCTGCTCACCCTTGCACATGGCTTGCAGGCCTAAGACACGACGCGCCCTCGCATGCCCCACGCTGAGTCCAAGGCAAAGGGCAAAGTTCGGACGCCAAGAAGCCGAACCCTAACACACGCTGACTGCAGGCCGGGCGGCAAATCTCCTTTGGCGGCAGCTGGCACTTCTTTGGTGACAGCTGTGCATCCTGACTCAAGGTCTAGACCTACGCACGACGCCACCAACAATGCTTCAAGCCCAGAAAACAGGGGAACACCACACATGGCTGTCCGACAAGAACCTGGATCTGCAAAATCTTGTGCATGTGTCGGTCCGAGCAGTTCCGAAATCTACAATGAAAGACAAACGCTAAGTCCAACACTGCTAAACCTCCAAGAGCTTCGACAGCTCTGGTTCGAATAGACTGCAAAAACTTATCTCAAAGTGTTTTTATTCCAGAACATAGAAGATGTCCGACTCATGAAGGCAAGAACTTAGCGTAGATGACGTAGAACTAAGCCCATGGTGTCGGACTGCGTCACACAAGACCTGATGCAGTGCCAGTTCGATCCGCATGGGAGCACATCAATTGCCAAAGCCTCATCTTCTGGATTGTCGTTGGGATCATCCCCCGTGCCAACCTCAGGGAGCAAGTTTGAAAGGAGGATGGCTCCGCTCCATCCCGGAAACAAAGAGTCGCTTGCGAGGAATGGGCGCGGCGATGCGGCGATGCGATCCAGAGTCGCTGTGTCGAAAGCCACGATGTGGCGATGCGAGCAAGATCGTGGAGAGCTTTGGCCATGGTTTGAAGAGTCTGCACACCTTCCAAAACATTCCATCCTGAGTACAGTTGACGCCTGGCTCCTTGAAGAGTCTGGAGAGCTTGTGTTTATTCTCTGCTGTCGACTTGTGGCTGGCATTCACCCTGCCCCGGCTCATCACATTTTTGCAAACATCGAGGTCAACATGCACACACCGACTGAAGAGATATTCTCTCAAATTGCTCTCCTGCAAGCCGCTGCTCCAACAACCTTGCCTTTATGCACACGTGAAATTACGAATTAAGGGGACTCCGAAAACAGGGACCTGTCCAGACTCCCAAGGCCCCTGCCGCCCGACTCCGAACTCGTCGCTGTACAGCCGAGGGTCGGCGAAGCGCAGGCACTGCCATCGAATGCCTGCACTTCTGCGCAGGGAGGCACTTCTGGTGACTGCACCTCTCGCACTCGCCAGATCCCTACAGCCGACGGTTGCTGCATCGCCTGTTTGTGTAGTGGAAACGACAGATGCTGATCATGCCGAGAGAACCGTGGAGCATGTACACGAATGGTGGTAGTTGGAAGTTGCTGCCCCGAACGCACTCTGTGAGTTGGGAGGGGAAGTGGAGCATTGGGCAACCCGTTTCTCACGACAGAGCCAGCGATCACGGCCTTCTCCTTCCGGGTACGTCAGGCTCTTCCTCACCTGATGAGCATCTCTTGCATTGGATAAAGTTGGATCGACATGTGAGGATTTATCACGAAGCTTTGTCTACTGTTGTTGGAACCACAAACACGACATCCCCATTCCTGTCCATATCAGCCTCTGCTGTCCCTGCAGGCCCCCTCAGCAATCCCATCCTCAACCCAGCACCTTCCTCACACAACAAACGATATCTGAAGTTGGCCTCAGAACAAGAGCAAAAATCGATTCAACTACGAGCTGCCTAGCACCGCGACAACCTTATCAGGATTCATGTGCAGTTCTTGGGCTCAGACCATGGGATTGATGTCTGGATTCGGAACTGTCCTGGGGCACGGAGTTGTTCTGACAGTGAGCATTGTGGCACAAGACCGTGCCGACGGGATAAACCCTTCAATGAAGCGGTAAGAAGACGCCCTCCGCACTTCCAACATGAGAACTGCTGAGCAGTTGTCGGGATGCCTCTCTCACGTGTTCTACTGACGTGTTGCGGATCCTCGCCATTGCTCGTCAGCTCTGGAGCGCTGTCCGACTCTTCAGGGAATGCCTGTCTTTCACACCCAGACTGACGAGCAACCCCTATCCTGCAGAATCTCGCCACGTGCTCAACGCTAAAAAAAGTTGAGCCTGCTTCGCAGCAGCAAAGTAGTGACGCCCGGCTCGGAAGCCAAGCAAAAATCCACAATTTGTCGTGATATCCAGCAAGAAGATTGTCCTGTCATCTGCTTGTTCCCATCATGCCGAAGGGCTCAGTAAGCTGTTGCTTTTCAGGTTTAGTCAAGGCGCCAGTTGATGAACTGCCCAGAACATATCTGGCTATCCACGGACTTGTCGTCAACCTTCTCTTCACTGGTCATGTGGGAATGGAACTTGATGGCACTTCGGACCTGGCGCCAGAAAAAACTGCAGTGCCCTGCATCTGCAGGCGGAAGCAAAAAGAATCGTGGCCGCCAGACCGTGCCGAGAACAGCTCGACCCAGTACAACAAGCGCCAAGCAAATGTATCGGCGGTATACGACGCCGCTATCCTGCGCAAACTTGGCCGCTCTCCAGCTGCGGACTTCCTACCTTCGCTGCGCTAGCATCATATGTGCGGGAATGTGCCCGCCTCGTCTGACGGAAGGAGCCACAGTTCTTGACTTAACCGGGTAAAAACCTGAGAGAGCATACAGCAACTCTGCAATTCAAAACGACGTGATATTGACAGCAGTAGCAGTTCACTTGGCGTATACACAACCAGGCAGGCCAGTTGCAGCTCAGGAACTAGATTAGGCCACTTATGGGCGTCACCATCGAAAAGTTTTTGACGGTGAAGGAACCCGGCGCGAAAGCAAAGAACCACGAGGACACAGCGCATCGCCTTCTGAAAATTCCAAACGACCTGCTTCGAAGGCCACTGCTCGATGCAGTCTCTGCGGGGAGCAAGAAACTGCTGCACCGCCTGCTCGGCGGGAAGGATACCACTGCGGGCGATGTCCTGCAATGTCATGAAGAGCAGCACTTCGGCAATCACAGTTTTGCGAAAGCCTAATATACTAATTAGCAGCCGTCGTCGGCATTTTTTTGGGACTAAACCCTAAATGCCCAGCTTGCACGATGGGTTGTAAGTTGCAAAATGCTCTCAAACAATAGGCCCCAGAACGAGAAAACAACACCACTACAACCACGCGGGACACGGGACAAATTATACGCTGGTTGACTTTGTGAGCTTTTGCCAAGTTCCAAACTGCACCGTTTGGTCTTCCAACATCTGACAGCTGCAGACACGTTCTTGTGAGTCTCATCAAGCTGACGTCCAAACTTCATGCATGCTCCTGCAACTGCTTTTGAAACTGGCAGTCCCAGCCTGCGAAGTGTATCCCACCAAAGCGCCCACATTGACCAGCAGGGACAGCAATATAACAATGAAGCTTGCCTGTGCTCACTGGGCTACAAAACTGCCAACTTGCAATCTCTAACCCATTCAACCAAAATCACCCCAGTGCACCATGATGCTTTGTGAAGGCACGCTTCACCCTACAACAGCCTCGGCACAAAGGAGCAACCGCTGTACTGTACATGCGTGGCTGGCTGTGCCAGATTCCATCAGCTCGAAGCTTACAGCCCTGACGACGACTCGGTTCAAATTTACTTGTTGTTGGTGCCAGGTTGTAAAGAACTGCTTCATAGGTCTGGTGCGAGATTGTTTGATCTTCTGCTTGTTGTTACAAGCATGTATTCTGCATGTTCGGTTGTGCTCCCTGCGAACCGAACAACGAACCATGATGCGAACATGCTCTGCATGCTGACGTCATGCACAAAATATAACGGGTTAAGTGAAGGCTATATGCGACCAGAGAACTCCGATCCGCCGTGACGCGGTTCTTCGTGGGGAAATACACGTCAAACTGGATCATTGGATCATTGAACCAATTGATCTCGAAAATACACGTGCACCCGAATGAACATATGCAGACGCATGGAAGCAAACATGAGGCAGGCAAACGCAGACCCCTTCAGATGAAAACCCGTGTGTAGCTCCGTCGTTGACACATGTAAACTTCGGAAACGGCCCATTAAGAGCTATGCTGGTTCAGTGTGTGTCCTTGCTCATATTTGCAGGCATGCGTGAACCTGTGTGTGTCTATGCTTTGTTCTACAATAAAGATTTACAATCAAAGATTTGTGGTCACGGAAAGTTCGAACAACAACCAACACACACACGCACACACACCGGCAACGGAAAAATTCCAAATAAACGGGACACAAAAATTGCATACACAACCAATTGGTAAAACAAGCGAGAAGTCACAAGCAAACATTGTGACAAAACTGCAAAGTCGTGACCAAGTTGACAAAAATGTGCAGAGCTCCAAACTTGTACAATCGCTGCTTTGCCGGAAAGCGTCAAGCATGAGAACAACGCATCCAAAACACAGAGTCCCAACAACGGTTGCTGCAAAGACTCGCAACCTCGGATGTCCGAAGGCATGCAAAATCGTTGTCAATCATGGTTTTAAATTTCTGAAATTAAACAATTCCACACCCAGCTTGGACACTGCAAACCCATCGCAAGACAATTTGGGCGCACCTTCTTTGGTTCTCTTAAAGACGGGCTGCAGTTCCGTCAAAAAACAGTTAGCTCTTCCCAAAGCTTCCAAAACACCATATTTAGTTTAAAAGCTTTTAGTAAACCTTAAAATAGCGCCGAAAGCTTTATTTCTAAATTCTGTTTCACTGTGTTCTCAATCGAATCAGAATAAGATCTGAATTCGATGTATATTTCGAATCGGGAAATACAAAGATTCGCCAATCAATATGTGTATCGATATGATTGATCAGAACGTAATGCGAGTCACTCGGGCCACTCTTTTTGATGGAACGGGCGAAAGCCGTCGCTCGGGGAATTCCGAGATGTCGGGACGAAGTGAGAAAAGTCAACTGGAATCCACGATGCTTTATCCATAGCGTGCCAGCGGCACACTATGCGCTGTGCATTCACAATGCACGAATCGGACAGTCAGCAATTGACTCATTTTCACGGAACCAACGCAGACTTTGCGATGCTCAGCGCATCCACTTCGAATCGCCGACCAAGGCTTTCGTCTGTGACCCCTCTGGATGGGTCGTCCGCAATATTTGATGCAGTGTTGACTCTCTCGAACCAAGGTATGCAACAAGCGGTGTCGATGGCATCAAGATTCACTAGCTACGCAACGCTCAACTGCAGCAGCAAGCTCAGTGTATACGGTAAAACGGCACTGTCGTGATCATGCACGAACATTTGAACGACAGTCGGTATGAAAGAATTGCCAGCAATGCTAGCTACTGTCATCAAATCGGAACGGAGAGGTTGTAACGGAAGCCCTGCAGGAGCTCAACGTCAGCCAAAATTTCGGTGAGCTTGATAGGCCGGAAAGAAAGCACAGCTGCATGGATGTAAGTTATGAAGGGAAGCAGGGACTTCTCAACATCATCGTCAAGCTGAGATGACATCCGTTTGCAAACATCCAAACGAAAATGGATGCTCCAAAGAGGGAGCAACTCCTTGGGTATGAATGTGTCCCAGGCTAAGCCTGGGTCACAAATACCACTCCTCTGGTCCCTGATGCAAGCTGCTTCGAATGCACGCTGGTCACCGAAAAAGGAAACACGATACAAGAGGTTAGCTGGGTGGTTGAAGCGCGTCAAAAGCACCGGCGTTCCGTCATCAAACCAGCAGCGCTGCAAAAACATTGCTTCTTGAAAAAATACTCAACGTAGTGAGGTAGCATGTTGGAAAGCGTCTCATTGCGTGAACAAGCTTTCTTACTTCAAGATCATTTTCGGCGGCAAAAGGCGAAAGGTTTGCCTCTGTGAAAAACGCAGAGCAAGTTCTTTTTCACTCCACACTTGAGCCAAACACCGAAGTGTTCAGCAAGGTCTCTTGCGGAGTCTCGCGCAGTGACAAATTCCGTCTCAACTTTGCTAAACAAAGGAGGAATGACATGCAACTGTCCTAACACTTCTCAGGACTTCTGTACTCACTCAAACAGCAGTGCACAGCCACTCTGCCCTTGGCCTGTTCCTACCGGCACGAGCGAAGCGAGGGTCGGCGGAAACAGCGGCAGGTGCAGTCAGAGCAACACGCACTTCTTCAAGGATGCTCCAAAGCATCTCTAGTGCTGTAAGCGCTCATCATGGTCTTCACAGCAACTGCAAACATGCCCAAAAACATGTGTTCGCCATGCAAATGCTCGTTCAAGCTTCCAAAACAAAACAGTTCAAGGCAAAAAGGATGAAACCCTTTCTCATGCACAAAACATACATGTCAGCACTCAAGGGCAGACCTAAAAGGAGCAAACTTTTCTTCCTCTAGCGCTCTGAGTCGCGGCCGCCGAAACGGCAAGTCGGTTGGGGCTGTGCAGTGACAGCCAAAAGGGGGCAACCGTAGCTTCCTCTTTGTAAGGAGCTCTACAGGTTGGGTCCTACTCTCTAGGACCCCCGACCTCCCAGTCCTTGCTGGCGAGGTTTGCGGAGGAAAGCTACTTCAGACCTACTCTCTAGGCCCTTCCTCCCGGCCATTGCCGGAGAGAGGTTGAAGCTTTTCAGCTTTCCTACCTGTAGGCCCTTTCCTCCCGTTGGCCGGTGAGGTTAAGAAGCTGTTCGTTGCCCAGGGAGTTTCTTCTCCCTATTGGCAACCAAGGACTGGAGGGCTCTTCAGGCAAAGGAGTTTCCAGTCTCTTTGAAATCTTGACCTTGCCTGGACTGGCTGCTGGCTTGGTTTCGAGTTCGAGTCCTTCTTGCCAGAGCCTGCGCACGCTCCTCCTCAGTGCAGCTCGCCTTTGGGCTCTTCGTTGCGTACTGCTTTGCGCCGGTGGCTGAATATTGCCGATGACTTCACTTGCTTTGCTGAGCTTCGCCCTCGTGCGCGCCATCGTGTTGAGCTTTCCATCTGGCATGCTCTGCGCTCCAGCTGCAGAAACTCCTCCTGCCTTTCCTGTCCAAATACCGCGTCAATCACGTCGTGGAGTCGCTCTGGTGGCGGACACGCGGCCTCTTGGAATTTTGATTTTAACCAAAGCGTGGGCGTACCTGGAGCAGCGTCTCGCGGCAGAATAAAATCAACTCGCCGAGAATTCAGCGCTTTCTTCAGTCGAAGAAGACCAGTCCAAGCCATAGAGATGGCAGTTCAACTGTCCATCTCCAGGCCAAGGAGGCTCCAAAATGGCGAGAGGATCGTCGCGACCGTCTCTGGACATTGCCACCCGTGAGTGCATTGATGTTCTGATTTCCCAACGATCCTGCGGCAGGTTCTTTTCTTCATCTCGCAGGCCATACCGCGCGCTGCGTGGTTTTCACTTTTTAAAAGCTTTAACTTTGGCAACTGCTGGAATGGTCTGGTATGTCGTTCTCTTGCAAGGATGGTCTGGACTTCTGTACAGTGGACGATTCATCACTCTCTCAGCTCTTGAGCCTTGGTGATCGTTCTAGAGGAAGTTTGCTGGCCGCTTTAGCTTGCCGAGAAGACTTCTGACGCTTGCCGGAGCTAGCTGGCAAAAGTGCGGAGCCTGGCTGCTTTTTTTAGTTTTTGCCTTCTCGGCGGCGGAGGGTGGGGATTCTCACGAGGCTCAACAAGTACAACTAGGGTGAGAGCCCTTTCCCCTGACGGAGCATCGAGGAGTTGGTGGATGGAGCCGACTGGCAGCAAGGAGAAGCCGGTTGCGTTTCCTCTCCGCCGCCGTGTGGAGTCATGGTGGAGTTGGATTGAAAAGGTGAATCCGGAAGAAACCACCTATTGGCTTTGAAGCCTGGTGGAAGCATACCACCAGGACCACGTGCTTTTTTGGCCAGAGGACTGGTGGAGAAGCTCCAAACCACGGACGCTGGCCAATGGGTGGTGGCTTCACTCCACCAGCAAAGGGTGCTAGCTATCTCACCGAATGGTGAGACCTGCATCTGCGCCTCCAAGGCATCGGCGCTTTCAAGTCTAGGCCCCTTATACTGCCATTTTGCCAAAGAGGGCTTCTTCTTTCTTTACTACAGAGAATTCTAAGCCGGAGCTGGCTCCAAGTCCACTTGCTGGAGCTGGAAAAAGGCTTCAACAAGCTTCGATGATCTTGCAAGCTATTGGCTATTGCTGACTCCATAGAGCCAAAGATCTTGGCAATCTTAGACAGGAGCTTCGATGATCGTGTCGCAGCGATGCATCCTAATGAACGTCAAAGATCTCGATTGGCTTAAAAAGATCCTCGAGATACCTCGGTGACATTGCAAACTGACACTGATCTCCAGTGGATATAGAAGCAGGATGAGCCCAAGAAATGATGCTGCGGACGACCCCGTTTCTGGGCCCACGAAACGAAAGCAATTCTGGCTTCGCCACAATGGGCCTCCCCAGTTGCAAATCCGCTTGGTTGTGGCATTTAAGGTGAGCGTGCAGCTGCTTTGGACAAGACTTCTGGCTTTTCAATCTTGCGTCTGCATGATGCCCAAAACTGCGGGAACAAAGGCGCCTGCCCGAGATCCAGCTGGTTGGCCCCGAACATTTGCGATTTACCCCAAAAATGGGGCCGTTTCGCGGCCCCGAAAACAGGGCTGCGACATGCGCCCGGCCTCATTAAATTTATAGTTTGAGTATGAGTTGGAGGCTTGGAACCCCGACCCCAAACGGCCCCATTTTGGGGGGTCGCGAATTCTTCTACTTTGAGGCACGTCCGCCTGACTACTACACAACAGGTGACTGTGGCACACAGGCGCGCGTCCAGCTTGGAAAAAAACAAGCTTTCAGGATTAAGGCTTCCAAGTCGAGCCTTGCTTTCTTATAGAAGTACATTAAATCAACATGAAAGAAACGGGCACCAGGGGTGGTAAGTTGAGCGAAGGTCCTTTGTTGCGGGGTTGGGGGACTGTTGGACCTGGTTTGCACGAGCGAAGGTCCTTGACGTAGTCTGAGGGGTTTATTTGACCTGGTTTGCGTGTGTGTGCATGAGAAGAGAAAAAAACCTAGCCCGGCACCCTAAAGTCCCTAAAGCTTGAAACCTTAGCTCTTAAACTTCAAACACACACAAGCAGAAATATCCACAACACTATGGTGCATGGTTTGGTGTCAAGTTTGGAATGGAGTTTTGGTCATTTGAAATTCAGAGAATTCTGTGCCATCCTCGGATTTTGAGTTTTGCTTGACTAAATATTCTTATTTATATTCCTGGCATGCAGATTTGGCAGACCATTCATGAGCAGTCAGCATCGCTGCCGCGTTCGCCACTAGCTGGATTTAGGAATGCTGCCAGGCAAGACAAGAGGCTACCACGCTGTGGCTTCATTTCATCTTCCTGCATTCACGAAGTAGTGAGCATTCAAAAGCCAAGAACAGTCGTATATCTTTAAAACTTTTCCCTTCCTGTCGAAGCTGTAGCATCCAAAGGGCTTATAACTGACGCAAGTCATGCAAGGCCAGGCTGTTAAGTTCGACGTAGAAGCATGCTGGGCCCGTGGTTCACCATGGTGGTGCTATGGGTTCTTTCACGGCAGCACAGCAGACGATGCTTGGATCCTGAACCTTTGCCTTTCAATAATGGCAAGCGCATGAGGCGTCGGATTGCAGTGGGTGCATGCTCAAATGCTGTGCGAGAGCTCGTCGAAGCAGTGCCTTACCAGTTTAGGAATGCGAATGTTCCTTACATTTATGGTGCGGTTGATGTGTCTGTGGGCTTCATTTACAGTCATGCAGCGCGGCTCGGTGATTTAGACAGAGAGCAATACCGGCACTGGCGAAAACTGGGTGTTTCAGGTGAGGATCAATGGTTTTTCAATTGCGAGAATTCTGCAGCTCTGCCAGAGCCGGTGGAATTATCCCATTACATAGCAAGGCGATTTAAGCGGGTGTTTTGTGTGCTGCCTAATGATCTTGTGGAAGAGCTGTGCAACATGATCCCACGGGTACCTCAATGGTTGGCCGCAGAGCGGGGTTTGCAATGTCACCTGGCAGTTCTTATTCCAGAAGCCTTTGCGGTTTGCAGCATGGAGAATTTTCTTGAGTATCTGGTCGTGCCTTCACCTAGAAGCCGTGGGTGGTGGCGTCCGCCGAGGTGGATGCAAGATATGTTTAATCTGGATATGTGTCAGGCCTTTGAGGCAACTCGTCGTCCAGGTCCGGTTCGCCCCGCTGCTTTTTCCATGACCTCGTGCAACATGTTGGCAGATGATTTACGATTTCTATTGCAACAAGGGGTGGCAGGTAACGAAGACATGCTTTTCCGTTGGATTTGGGGACTTCAGGAAACTGATGATGCATTGTTTGCTGAATGGGGTTCCGACAAATTGGCAATGGTGTCCCAGATGATTGAACTGGTGATGCTCGCAGACAAACTGCGTGACTCAGGGGATTTGTCTGCCGTCATGCGGCGAGCACTGGAAATCGCGCTTCCTTCCGAGCTGCAAGACATGTGCCCTGTTTTATTGCGTGGGGTGCGGAAGCTAAGCAAGAGTGAAGTCAGCAGGGCTCGCTTGACATTGGATGTCGGGTTCATGCTACACAAGCGTGTTGAAAACTGGTTGAACCCAGACAAAGTAAGGTATCTTATGTGGGACTCGTCGCCTCAGTTCGGTAGAGATTACCAGATGGCTTTGGTGCAAGAAGTCAAGAAGGCTGATCTGCCAGTTGCTTTGGGCAGTCTGTTACGGATGGAAAGCTTGTTTGCCGGAGATGCTCCGGACTTCGGTAACGATGAAGATGTTGCACAAACAAGAACAGACATGGACATTCTGCGAAAAACATTCTGTCTTCATGCAGTACCTGCAGTCTTAATAGGCTTTGGTGCAGCAGGCTTTTCTCACAAGCTGTGGTCTTTGCTCCATGCCATTCGTCTTGAAACTTTCTCGGAGAGCGAGTTGTGCGACTGGGCCGGTAGCGTTTTGTCTGTGGCATCGGATTATGGTGTGGAGCGGCTCCTTGTAGATCTTGAGTCTGTCCATGCTCAAGATGTTGTGGGTTGGTTTCAGGACACATCGGATGCAGATAAGAAGTTGCTAGCAGCTGGCCCAGCAGGTGATGCAGTTCCTGCAAGGCAAGGCAATCGAAATCAGCATGTCGATGCTAACCCAGTCTTTGAGGATCCAGCTGTTGCAGGTGCAAATGTTGTCATGAATCATGAACCGGATGATGCCTTCGAAGAGCCTCCTCCTCCCGTAACAATCAAGTTCCCTCGTGTTCTGGGTATTCCTGGTCTGCACCATGTGATCGACAATGCTACGAAAGGGTTTGGAGATGTTCTGCACAAGTATAAGGATTATATATTCTTGGCACAGCAAGTCTGCAAATTGCTGCGGCGGAGAGACACTCGCCCCAAACTGCTACAGAGATGTTTTTCTTCGGATGGCATAGGCCAGCAGCTTGCACAGGACATCGCAAAATTCGAAGGGTTCATTCATACTGGCAGGTGGGGAACAGTAGCTTTTTCCATACCCGAACTCCTTAAAGTGAAGCAAGCATTGGTATGGGGTTGGGACGAGGAAATCTATCTTCGAGGTGAGGAGGATGCTGGACAGGAAAGTCGACAGGCTTCTGCAGAGCTGGCTCGACAAGTTTCATCAGCTGTCAAGGATCCGGTATGGTGGGCTTGGCTGGCGATGCTAGAGGTGGTTTGTGCACTGATTCGGCGGCACATCGCATGGGCTGAATCTTGTCCTTGCCATTGGCACCTGTTGGAAGGCCATCGGCGAGGCGATTATCATATACCCCCCAAACTGAAGGAGCTGTTTCAAAGCTGCCCCATGAGAGGCAAACGTGCTGCCGAGGTTTCCAGCGGTGATTTTACGGATATCATGAAGGATCTGTGGGCTGTCAGTGCTGCTGAAGTGATTCGCGTTTTAGGTCGTCAGATAAATCAGCAAGAAAGAACTTTCATCATGCAGGAATTCGATCGTGCGCGGACTCATCTCGCTTTCTACTTCACCTTAAAGCTGAGCCACCTACAAGAGATGCCGTGGAAGATCTTGCAGCTAGCACATCCTAATGAGACCGTGGCCCAGATCGCTGCGAATGCAGTCTTGCAATCAAGATGTCAGCATCCTCTCGCTGTTGAGCTGTGTAGGGAGCTTCGAGATTCATGTGAAAGCTGGGTGCAAGGGCAATCTTTGATGAGTGACGACAAACAAGATCTGCAGCAGTTCGTCGGTGCCCTGGCTTTGGTGCCGACATCAGAACGGCCCATTGAAGGTCAGCATGCAAAGGTTCATCGGCACGGTTTGGGGCGACCGAACCACACTGAACATTTTCAGAGTTATTTCGTGCGTTCAACAGAACTTGTTCAAGCCCTTGATTCTGGTGCCTTGCCACTTCAGCAGTATGCATGGCTCTGTCAAGCCGCCAGGAATCACCATAGGGCTTGTGTCGCGACAGGCCTGGCAGGTCACCCTTCACTTCAAGGTAATGATGCAGTTCGTAGGCGGCAGGATCCCATGCGGTCCAAAGTTATATACCATGCAGACCCTTTCTCTTTGTATTCAGCCGCCGGCCCGCCTGTGATCATGAAACCGCCGCCGCCTAAAGGCCGCACTCGCGATGAGCGACATCCTCAACCCCCGCCGGCTTTGGATGATGCTGGCGTTGATGATCGTGTTCCAGGCGGGTTTGTTGGTGGTAGTTTATTCGGCACGGCCAGATGGAGTTGTAGTTGTAGATCAAAACTGACCAAGTTTAGAGCGAAGTAATGCAGGCTGAGTATAATGACATGTTGTTGCCGAGCAAACTCGGGATTCGGCCAGGTGGCGGAGTCGGACAGCTCGTGCCACAAGGGCCTGGGCCCAGCATCAGGGACAGTTGCCTTCGGCATTCCAGCTCGCTTCCTTTGTTGAAGAAATATATGCTGCAGTATTTGCGAAACCGGATGCAGCCCGACAGCAAGGACTTCTTTTCTGTCCCATGCCGTCCTGGTGTTCTGCGAACATTGCAGGATTGCTTGAGGCCCCATGAAAGTGCTGACTGTCACATCAGCTTTGAAGGGTTTCGTGTGGATTTGGAGCCGACCTCAGCTGCAATTGAATCGGAAGGTGTTGCCGATGCTGCAAGTTTCGGTGAAGCAGTGAGAGAAGTCCTGTTCTTTCATGTCGTGCGTGGCTCTCCGAATAGCCTTGTGCGTGTGACTGTGGATGGTGAGTCGGGTTTCGATGCTGCTGATATCATCATCGCTCCCCACCGGACCTTGCATGTCAAGGGGCACAGCAGAGAGGTGATCGTAGATTCCGTAGCTTTGGAGTGGTTGAACCACTCAGAGAAGCAGCTCTTTGTTCTCAGCCTCGCCAGTTTTTCTTGCGAAGAACTGGCATCCATCTGCAAGTGGAAACCTGCTGAGAAGCTTGGCTACGGTCTCTGGGGGGTTGCAGAAGCAACACAGCTCAAGATTCCAGCTGCTGCTTCGCACGTCTTTGCACAAGTACTCGAAGAGCTTCTGCCTTCAAGTCCGGGCGATGGGCTGAAAGTCGATGCTCGAGATCCTGGCGTGCATGCGTGGCGGGCGTGCTTGTCTGCCATGACAGATATTGGTCTGGTGCAAAAGTTGTCGGAGGATCAGCGATTTTCCATGTGGTGCTTGACAAAGCAGGGAGTTGCAAGCGTGAAAGTCGGCTCTTTGCTTGAGCAGCCCTCCTATGCTATGGCAATCCGGGATGGCGTGGATTTAGCTGATCGCACAGTTTGGGAGCTGTTGCTCCTCCTGGACCAGGATGGATGGAAACATGCGGTTCAGGACAAACGTGGTCAGGAGTCTTATCGTCCTGGATCTGACAAGGTCTGGTTCAGCAGGCCGGGCGACGACAGCATATCCTTCTGGTATCTTCTGTGTCTGGCTCAGGGAAACTCCGAAGTGCCGCATTTTCAAACCAGTGGCTTTTATCAAGCCCTGGCCGATGGCAAAGCCCCGCCCGTTCGGCGGCCACGGAAAGCTTTGCAGGCGATCCGGAATGTTGCCGATGATGACTGGGACATCCCTCTCATGGTGGCGGATGCCGTGCCGGCAAAGCGTGCAAGAAAAAAACGGGCTCCAGTGCAACGTGCCGTTCAAGATGCTCTGGAGGCGAACATGGATCATGCCCCGATTGGTTTGCAAGAGGATGAAGAAGGGCCAGAGGGCCATAGTGACGGAGATGATATCGACCAAGAACTTCTGGATGCTCTTGCTGAAATGGATGGTGCGGGGCCTGATGCTTCGAACAGCAGTGCATCTAGCAGCAGCAGCAGCAAATCTTCTGCGTCTTCGTCTGGCGGGTCTTCCTCCAGCAGCTCTGGCGACTCTAGTAGTTCCTCTGGGGAATCGGAGGATGCTGATGCTGATGCTCCAGCTCCTGCTGATGCTCGCGCTGTGAACCCCAAGGCCTCTTTCTACTATGGGCTTGGACATGCAGTGCGAGTTTACAAGAAAGGCGTTCCCATCGGGTGGGAAATGGCATGTGCACACCCACTTCACACATCAAAGAAATGCAGGAAGAACCTCAAAGAAATTACCAGGACAAGAAGTTCTGAAGAGACCCTTCAGTGTCTCAAGATATGGATCATCCGCGGCAGGCATGTCGCATCGGCTGAAGAGCATATGTCAGAAACTTGGTCGGAAGTTCAGCGTGATTTTGCATTGGGGCAGCTTGAAGCTGCACCGGACGATCCACCCATGCACTACACAGCTGCCGATGGTCGGGTTCATCAGTTCACCCGCCGAACGAGGTGATTGATATCATGTGCATCAAAAAACGAGCTTTTTATGCATCGCGGAAGCGAGTGCGTTCATAAGCTTGCGTGCTTCAACTCTGCATGTTGCACACAGCCGAGACTCTTGTGATTCTGTGATGTTTGTTTGTGAAGCATGTACTGAAGCTGTTCATGTTCTGAAGCACTTGAAGAAGACGAGACTTGCAAGAGCCACTGGAGAGATGATAAGAGAGACCGTGTCCTGCATTGTTGGGGGGGTGCAGGTGCAGTTGGGGTGTTTTGGTGGGGGTTGTGGGAGTGTGGTGCAGTAGTGGGGTGTGATGGGATGTGATGGGGTCGGTGTGCAGTGGGTCGCTGTGGTGATGGGGTGGTCATGTGGGGTGAAGGGTCCAGTGAGGGGTGAGTGGGTGTGGTGATAGTGGTGTGAGCGCGTGAAACACAAGTTTGTCATGGTTGCAGCGACTTTGAGTTTGGGGGGGGAAGGAGGGCATAGAAAGCAGTGGGACAGTGAACACAGAGTCGCGAGTGAGCGTGAGTGAGCGGATGCAGTCTTGGATGTCATTCATGTCATGCAGTCATGTACATGTCCAGTTGCACTTGCACATGTTGCCAGATGTCACTCAGTCATGTTGACAGTCATGCAGTGTGTTCATGTTTGTGCCAAGAGACCCGCAAACAAACCCAAATCCACCCAAACACTCCCAAATCCACCCAAATCCCATCCGACCCGCCAAACCTCCCCAAATCCAACCAAATCTCTCCAACTCCGACCAAATCTCCCCAAATCCAACCAAATCTCGCAAAATCCACCCCCAAATGCAACAGCCCATAAAACTTCACAAGGTGAGGGCCGGTGAGGGGCACATTTGTGCTCAATGTGCAAAGAAGTGGGGCTGGAATGGCTGGGACAGCTGTTGGGTGGCTTAAAAGGGCTGGCTTCTGTGTTTTTGCCTTGCTTTGCAAGGTTTGTTTGAATTTTCAATGGAAACATGACAAATACTTAGCTGAAGAGGGCTCTAGCTGGCGAGAACCCAGGCCGGGCTGCCAAGCAAGCCCCAAATCCGACCAAATCATCGGCTTCTATCCCAATTCAGGAATATATTGTGATTTTGGCTGAAATGAGCCATTTGCCCGAACTTGCCCGAAGTTGCCCGAACTTCAGACCCCCCAAATCAAGGCCTTTTGCTATGATTTTCAATGGATTTTAGGGCAAAAAGGGGCTTTGCCCGAACTTGCCCGAACTTGCCCGAACCTGCCCGAACTTGCCCGAACTTGCCCGACCTTGCCCGATCCAGGATGCCAGTTGAGCTGTGTTTCCTGCATATTTAGTGGTCGGTCTTGTATTTTGAAGTGTTTTTCTTATTTTATGAGCATTTTTAAGCATTTTGTTGGATTTGTGGTGGTTTTGTTGTATTTCGATATGTTTTTGGTGATTTTTTGTGTTTTGATATGTTCTGGTGTGTTTTGGTGTGTTTTGGAGTGTTTTGGAGTGTTCTGGTGTGTTTTGGAGTGTTTTGGAGTGTTTTGGAGTGTTTTGGAGTGTTTTGGTGTGTTTTGTAGTGTTTTGGTGTGTTTTGGTGTGTTTTGTATGGTTCTGGAAGTTATATGTGTGTTTTTCTGTGTTTCGTTGGCATTTCAATGTTTCGAAGGTGTTTTGTGCAGTTTGTATGCATTTTCCAGTTTTTGAACTTTGTGAGTGTTTTGGTTGGTTGTGTTGCCATGAAGAGTCCAACATGTTCTCATGTCAATCTCATGTCAGTGCATGCTGCATGTGTTCAGTGCCAGCCAAAACGGCATCTTCCAAACTGTTGAACACCGGCCAACACAAGCAGCAACACAAACCTAGCAGCACCATCACTTTCCATCACAAACACCAAGACCAGGACACCAGGCAGCACCGGCCCCGCACCGGGGCCACACAGGCACCACACCGCCACCACACCGGCACCGGCAGCATTGGCACCACCGGCACCATCGGCATCACACCTGGACCACCTCCGGCACCTTGGGCAACACCACTAAAGAACACCAGTAAACGTTGCATGCACGCACAACTCCCACACAAGACAGCAGATCTCAAAACTCAACACCCTAGCGAAGCACAGCCAGCACATAGCCTTCAATAACAACAGACAGTCATGTCAGTCCATGCCATGTTCCAGAGTTCAGAGCGGTTCGGTTTCAAGTGGGGCAGCGGCATTCAGTGAACACAATTGACAATCATATACCGGCAGTCTCGGCATGTCTTAGCTCGGTAAGGGGCCTGCTCAGGTCCAATAAATGTGTCAATGTTGTGCAGCGCAAGCACTTGCGTTTGGGAACCGTGTGTTTGTACAAGTCATGCTGCGGCGTGACAGTAGTTTCCTTGAAAACATGGGACCTCAGAGTTCGGATGAACTGCTTGGCTGGGCCCAGTCATATGCCGGGAAGCTTGCTTCTCTGTCTTGTGGGAGCCAGCTGAAAGAGAATCTCTGCAGAGGCTTATTGCTGTCAACAGACTTCAGTGGTCTTGATGCTCCCAGAGAGTGTCTGCGATGCATGCTGCCGGCATTGTCTGAGGCTTTTCAGACATCTTTTCCCGAGGTCGTGGTAGCGAGATCTTGCGATGTTGGCAAGCCTCAGCGAGATTGTCTCATGTTGCAAAGTGAGATGTTTCATGATGGTGCTTCATGTGTTTTTACAGACATCCTGGGCCGTTTGGGAAGCTCAGAGCGTGAGTGGCTTGAGGCGGCCGGACCTCTCAAAAACATGGATGTGAACGAGGCTAGAGCAGCCAATCAGAATGTTGAGCAATTCTTGTCCTCGAACCGGGGTCGTATTTTCTCAGCAAGCCAGAAAAGTTATTGCTGCCAGCACAATCAAAACTGTCCGGTTCATGCACTGCCTGCTCTTCGAGAGAGGCGGAGATTGGCCAAGGAAGCAGCAGATCCCCTCTCTGAGGCACCAGCGGTGTGTTCACCGAGCCCAGTGAAGAAGAGGCGACAGAGCACGATCGTCACCCCTTGGTGGCAGAAGCATGTGACTGAGGACCCTTCAGATCCGGAGCCGATTACCTGCAGTGTGGCAGGGTTGCTTTGCACAGATTTTTCTCCTCTAGGAAAGAAGCGTGGCTTGAAAGGGACGGGGGTAACTGAGCCCCTCCATGCGATTTGGAAGAACGAGCGTCAGTGGCTCGCAGAACAAGGCCTGGAAGATATGTTCTTTACAGAGAATTCTGCCCATTATCCGGTTCAGGACAGGCAAGTTGATGCAATGCAGTCGTCGCATGATGTGAAGTTTGTGACTGTGTCCCCGTGCGAGCTAGGCAGCTAGGCTTCCCCATGAGGCGGCGGCGGATGTTCTCATTTGGGTTCGACAGATCTAAGTGGATCTGGACTGGGCCAGACACAGCAGCTGGTGTTCAAGAAGGGTTTCTTGCTATGTTTGGCAAATCTTTGGTGCTGTCAGGCGATGCCTATATCTTTGCCACAGATGATGAGATTCACAACTTCGTGCAGAATCGAGCACAGCGTCGAAACTCAGTGCTGCCGGTAGGCTTCAAGGAGATGCCCATGCGACAGTACTTGCACCAGCTGTTGCCTCCTGGGGCTATGTTGCGGTTGGCAAAGTATGACAGTGTCCGCCCTGAGAGGGCAGGTATCACAGGCAGCTTCTTTGCACATTTGGATCACAATGTCGATTGTGGTCCGCGTTGCGGCCCGCTCATTCCTTCACTTGACACACATGCCAATATTTTTTGCTGGACACATGATCGGCTGCTGCTTCCTCAGGAGCTGCTGCAAGCACAGGGAATCACCATGTGCCCCAGTGGCACGGGAGAGTCGAGGTCCCCCCTTGCCGAGGTGCTGATGAAGTTCAATGATACCGAGCTGCGTCTCTTTGCTGGGAACTCACTACATGTCCCAACATTTGCGGCGTGGATGATGTATGCACTTGCTCATGTGGCGCCAATTCCTCACTTGCAGCTGACACCACAGCTGGAAGCATTGTACGACCAGCTGGATGCAGAAGGTGAGCATGATGAGACTTTGCAGCCAGTGCCTGATCGCATCGATGCACCGGCTATCCAGTCCGATGCCCCGGCTATCCAGTCACCTGCCTTTGCTGAGATGCAAGATGAGAACTCAGGTAACTCAGCCATTCGTCGGCGACCGAGGTTGCTGTTGTAAAGTTTGGCCTATCTAGAATCGCCTGCGTGGTGTCACCTTCATGCGAGTTTTGAGCTACTTTCCACGAGCCGGCAGGGTGTAAAACTGTTTCAGCAGAGACAAGGCCATCCCATGCAGTCGAAGTATTATGTGTTGGTGCTTTGACACTCTCATGTCTTGTGGCGAAGGACTGATGTTGCTTATGTTTTGGTGTGCATGATGCTCATTGATGTTGCGGCAAAGCTTGTGGTTTGCGGCATGAGGCTGGATATTGGTCCGGCAGATGCTCCTTGATGTTGATACGAAGCGTGTGATTGCTGCCTCTGGAGTGAAATCCAGGGCAGAGGGGGCAAGCAAGAGTAGTTGGGCTGCCTCAGATGAGGGGGTCGTGGATCCTGTGCGTGTTTCGAAGCCCACGTCTGATGAGCCTGTATTGCGCCGGTGTAGGCCACATGCTCATGCGATGCATAGCAAGCTTGTCAAGTAGGATCAAAGCCGTGAGAGATTGAGTTGCATATTTGCATTTGTGTGCATGTGTGCGTGCTCAGATCAAGTTGCTCTTTTGCGATTCCGGTGCTGAGTAGGGCAGTGCGCCCTTGCATCAACATGGGTGATGAAGACTTCGAGATCCCGGCTATTCCTGCTCCTGACATGGACGGTTCTGTCAGATCTGGTAGGAGAACTAGTAATGCAAAGAGTAGTCGGGCATCTTCGTCTGCGGCAGGTGAGCCCAGACTCAAGCTCTGTGCCTTTTGGACATGTGACGAAGACTGCAAAGTAGGCAGGCGTCATTGCACGCATCACAACAGACACCTCGACAATGCTAGGAACCAGGTTTCCAAGCAGAAAGGCGAGGAGGCCGCAAAGACGTGGGTGGAGAAGTGCAAGGACATCGAGTTTGCGAATAAGCAGGTTGCGTACATGGCCAAGAAGAGCATCGCCCTTCCGATGTTCGCCCACCAGCCACTGATTGATTTCGTCGAGTGGGAGCAGGAGTTCGGGGTGCTGGTGCAAAAGAAGGAGGCTGTGGAGACTGAGCCGTACGAGGAAGAGCAATGGATCATCGAGCAGGTGAGCAAGTTCGGCAGGAACAGGCAAGACATGGTGAATGAGTGGAAGCAGAAAATCGCCGGTCCTTGGAGGCGGGACAACAACGGGTGGAAGGGCGCTTTGCGCCTTTGGTTGCCAGCCAGAGAGTACGAAGAAGCTTCAACTTCGAAGTTTGCCAAAGGTGCCAGTCATGAGAAATCCAAGGGCAAGAGAGCCCCCAAAGCGGGGGACTTGGCTGCATTTCGTGATCATGCAGGGGAAGCTGGCCTGGATCTTACTCACGAGTTCTTCGGTGGAGGCAATCGTGAACCGTCCGGGGTTGATGATGAGCTTGAGGTTGAGGTCGCCCCACCCGAGACCAACTCAAACCTGCCGCAGTCTTCACCGACCAAGGCCGACCAGTCCGAGTTGAAGCGAAAGGCAACAGCTTTGACTTTGGATGCCAGCGAGGATGAGCAAGAAGTGGATCCCAAGAATGCGGCCAAGCAGAAGAAGAAGAAGCCCGGCAACCTTGCGAGCCAGCGTGCATCTTTGTTCGACTCCTTGTCGAAGCAGCTCGGAAGCAAAGTCGCTTCGATGGTGGCCAAGATCGAAGATGCTGTGCAAGCCCAAACAAAGGAGGCAGCGGCACCAACTCCAAGCACATCGACGGACATTACCACTCGAAAGCTGTACAACCAGACTTTGGCACAGTGCTTGTTGTTGGGCAGGGCATGGAACGATGCCAAGACCATCAAGGGCGAGGTGGAGAAGCACAACAAATCCATGGAGGACGAGAATAAGACCGATGCCGTGATCGACTTTGCGGTCGCGGACACGCTTCAGAAGCAAGGGCCCACACTTGCCTGGGCTTTGAGCCAAGCAGGGCAGTCCGTGAACATCGAGCGGGTTGCATTCCTTCGCACAAAGGATTTCATGCAGACGTTCGTGAATGCCGTCCCGGAGTGTGATCTGGAAGAGGCTCGTCTTGATCGCATTCGTGTGCAATGGAGGCGGATGATCACTGCTGCCACCCAGCTTGAGGCTTCGCTCAAGAAGTGCACCACAGACGTCAACAAGCACGTGCTAGGTTTGGCAGCAGCTACTGAGAGGAACGAGAAGAAGCGAAAAGAAAAGGAAGCAAGAGATGCTGAGACGAAGCATCTTGAGCAATCCAAGGCGAGGCTAAAGCAAGCCACGGCGGATGGAGCAGCGCTTCCGGGTGTCTTCAAGTTGTCCGAGGGCGATGTCGAGGCCATCAAAGCATTGGACGTGAACAGCATCCCGGCTGACCACGACCTGGGCGTGCCTTGCATCCTCAACAAGTCCTCATGTGTCACCGCATGGGCGGGGAACCCTGTTGTGTTGCAGACCATGACCAATTTCGGCGCCCGCTATAAAAAAACCCACGGCTTTGAGCACTTGAACAAGATCACATCACCGTTCGTCGCAAAAGCCGGGAAAGAGCCGACCGAGAAGATGTTCATGGAGATCATGCAGAATGTGAAGGAGAAGATCGTGAATGTGGAGCCGGTGGCCCCCCAATGGATGAGCACCTCTTGGATGATGGGGCTCGGTCCGAAGACTTCCTTTATCGGCTTGTGCCCGAACTCTGCAGCCTTCCTCAGAGTCCTATCGTATGGCGATATGGAGGTCGTTTGCATGAGCATGGACGACTTCGTGAAAGGCTTGACGACAGCGGGGACCCCACCACCAAAGTCCACCTCACAGCTGGAGGAGGCCAGGGGTCCAAACCCAATTCCACCCAACCGATATATAATCCCTAATCACCTAATCCCTGTCTGTCAACTTGTATCCTAATCCTTTATCAACTCCTTTCCCCGCCCTGGCAGTTGATCTTTCACTTGGACGATGCCACGTGGAAGACAATGGGGACCAAGCCCTACTATCACAAGCTGCAGAAGGATCAGGTGCTGTTTGTGCCCATGGGTTACCTGCTGATGGAGCGGAGCGGTGCCTCCACCATGCTTTACGGAGCCCGGAAATCCTTCATCATGCACGAAAAAAATGCAGTCGGGAACTACACGACCTGCAAAGATCTGCAGGCAAAGGATGGCAAGAGTGTGGAGAAGATGCAGCAAGTTCTTGATTGCATTGCAGAGCATGGGAAGTGAAGCAAGGGAGCGTGATCTTTTTAAGAAGTTTTCCTGTATCTGTCGCGCATGTCGCGCATGTCGCTGAGTCAGGGGTCCGGAGTCTGTCACAGAATCGCTTTGAATCCTATGTGCGGTGCAAACTCTCCCTAGAATATGGCTGTGGGGTGTTCTGACTCTCGATGGCGACTGAAAAGTCAAAGGCTCGGGTCGGGATCCCAAGCGGGCTCCTTGGATCGTCGCTGAATCTTTTGCGCAAGGTGCAAAACACAACTGGACTCGACTGCTGATAGCTTTCAGTTGCGAGCTTTTTTGCAGCATTCCGGCAAACAGATTCCCATATCTCAGTGCTGATGCATTTGTGAATCTACTACAAGCCTCAACAACTTAACCTCTAAACCCAAAGCTCCTGAAGGGAGCTCCAAACTGATCTCCAAATAGGGATGATGTCAATGATTGAATTGTTTGTGTTCTGAGTGTTTGATGTTGGTGAAGGTGGTGGCGGTGGTCGGTGTGGGGGTGATCCGTGGAGGTGGACTGCGGTGCTACAGGTGTAAGGCTGAGGGCTTGTAGGGTCAATGCCAAGTTGGCCACTCCTTTCACAACCTGACAAACCACTTCTTTGCAAGCTGGTAGTGTGTATGCCCCAAGCCCTCCACCCTAAACCGTCATCTTGAACTCTAAACCCGAACCTTACACCTTACAACCCTGCCCTAAATCTTAATCGGCTCAAAACCGGCTCAAAAAAGATTCTGGTGAGCTCTGCAATCATAAAGAAGGTTTTGATGAGCTATGTGGTCAGAAAGATACTCTGGCGACCCCTGTGGTCTCGTTTCACCCCAACCCGAACTTGCCCGAACTTCGGACCTCAAAAGCGCCAATCGCTCAACCTACCACACAGGGGAGGCCCGCTCAAGCGAAGCCAGAATTGCTGGACTTTTCCAGCCCTACATTTGGAGTCGCGAAGCTTGCGATTTCACCAACAGTGCAAAGCCTCTTGAACCGTCATTTGTGGGGTTTCGAGACAGAAACTGAAGCCTTCCAAAGCCTTCCTTGTGGGTTCGGAGCTTACAATCTTACCGTAGTCTCTGCACTCTTCTGGTCTGTAGTTCCTGCAGCTTGCAGCTGTCCCTGTTATCTTGTGCTTCACGTTGGTAGATTTCTCGGCTTGCGCGTGTCATCCTTGCGCAGGGGCCATGCTAATCTTCTCTATCTCGTTTCTCCACCTTCGGAAAGCACACGGCAAACGAGAGTGCCTCAACTGCTGAAGCAGTGCGAGCTTCGCGAGAGCATGCTTTGATTCATGCATGCTTTCACTGAAGAAGTGTTGACACCGTTTGGGACATGACCTGGACTACAATGCTAAAGGCAGCTCCATGCACAAAAACCGTGCATGGGTCCCGCCTCGCCGTTCATTTAAACTTTTAAAACCTAAACGGGGTGTGGGACCCGGCCCTAGAAAAATGGGACCCGGGTGGACCCAGGTGGGACCCGGATGGGACCCGGTGGGACCCGGTGGGACCCGGATTCGATCTGGCTAGCAAAGTATGGGACATGTGACAACCAGATGAAACTTCTTGTGTGGGAAACATGGGACCCGGTGACACCCGGATAAGACCCGGCGAGCAAAAAAACGGGATTCGGTGACGCAGAAGGTGGGACTTGGATGGGCCCGGTGGGACCCGGTTGGGACTCCTCGCAAAAAGCGGGACCTTGTGACCGCTCAGATGATGTGGCCTCAAAACCACACGTTGATGTGGCTTGAGAACCACACGTTAAGTGGCCTTGATGTGGCTTCAAAACCACACGTTTGTGGCTTATGTGGCTTCAAAGCCACACGTTTGTGGCCCGGATGTATTAAAGGGGTCACCAGAAGCCTCGGACCTGAACGAACACGTGGGCTGCCTTTCTTCTTTCTTTACTACAGAGAATTCTAAGCCGGAGCTGGCTCCAAGTCCACTTGCTGGAGCTAGAAAAAGGCTTCAACAAGCTTCGATGATCTTGCAAGCTATTGGCTATTGCTGACTCCATAGAGCCATAGATCTTGGCAATCCTAGACAGGAGCTTCGATGATCGTGTCGCAGCGATGCATCCTAATAAACGTCAAAGATCTCGATTGGCTTAAAAAGATCCTCGAGATACCTCGATGACATTGCAAACTGACACTGATCTCCAGTGGATATAGAAGCAGGATGAGCCCAAGAAATGATGCTGCGGACGACCCCGTTTCTGGGCCCACGAAACGAAAGCAATTCTGGCTTCGCCACAATGGGTCTCCCCAGTAATCCGGTTCGAAAAAAAAGCCAAGAAGTCCAAGCCGGTCAAGAGTCCGCGCCTTGTGACTGGAGGCGGACAGCATGCAAGCCAAGAGAAGCCAGCTCCGAAGAGGGCTGCAGTAGTGACAAATCAGCTCTTGCAAGACTTGCAGCAGCCCGATAAGTTTTAGCCGGCAAGATTGCAGATCAAGAAATGACGCTCACTCCGACAAGATTGTCAATGACAGTGCCTCCAAAAGAGAAGGCGTCAGACGTGGACTGACAGTGTCCACCATGTCCAAGCAAAGCCAAGTGAATTGCAAAGCAAACTCTACACCCCATGTGGTCTTGCATGGCCGTCCATCACAAAAATTAGCTTGTCAGTTTCTTCCCCCACAAAGAAGGTAAGCACCAACAGCACCTGCAGTACAGTTTTCAAAGCCTGTTCTGCTGCCTCTTCAACCTTGCGCCTGCCTTAAGAGGCCAGCTTGCAGGCTCTGGAAAATTGTCTTGCAGAATTTCGAAAATCAGAAAGGGACTTGGCCTGAACATTTGGTCCAAGGTCTTTCAATGCCAACAAGAAGCAAGAACCGCCGCTGATCTTCTACCGGAAGAAGGTTCCGCGCTTCGTCTGAAAGAATTTATCAATTTGTGGTTGCTAGCTCTCTGGTTTTTCAACAGCCATCTTTTTTCAAGAGTTGCGGCAGCAAAGGTCGTAGCCACGCTGGAAGCTTTGCCTGTCAACCAGCAACAATACGTTGCAGAGTTTCTTGACACCACAACAAGATCACGGAGCTAACCGTTGTTTAAAGAAACCAAAAAAGCAGCTTACAGATACAAAGGTGTTCCAAGCAACGTTGGAGCTCCACTTGTGCGTTGGAAGCTGCCTTAAAAATGCGGTAAAGCGAAGGTCCGAGTGTAAAAGAACAGGGCAAAGAGAACCAGTGGCAGTTGCAGCAGGGTCTGGAGAACAGCGGGTCCAAGTAACACCGAAAGAGAGGTAGAGATGTAGCCAAAGGCAGCGGCAAACATTGGCATGTTCTCCAATCAGCTGATACCCAGTTCGGCGGTCTTTTAGCCACCTTAGTGCCCGTGGTGGGCAACGGGCATGTATGCAGAAGAAGCTGGAGCGATTGGAGCACTTCGCATACTGTAGCGCCAGCTGTAAGCTCCAGCTTGGACCCAGCAAAGAAGCGCTTTGAGGCTTTGTGGGCCAGAAAGACTTGGAAGCAATGGCACATGCGCAGCCATGAACTTTTTGCAGTAGACGTGTAAACCAAGTCTTGGGTCACCTTGTTACCAGCCCGTATGTGTCAAGTAAATGGGCATGGACTCGCCTGGTTCTGCAAGCAAGTCTTCAGAGTTTTTTCTGCCAACTGTGCCACCAAAGCAGTAAAAGCCCGTGCTGGGTGCCACCTATGTTGGGACAAGCACAAGAACCAAAAGGCTAACTTGGCTTAGAGGAACGGCAGGTGCCAAGTTTTCCAGAAACTTTGTGAAGTCTGGAAGTGTCAACGTGAGCGTGGCTGGCAAGAGTGGCCGTGGTCACCCGCTTTGGGAAGGATCGCCGGCAAAGAAGCTTGCGCCAAGCAAGGTCGAAAAGTCCAAGGGAGCACCAGGCACATAATGGAAAAGCCTTGGAACCGCCTCCACAGACAGATCCACCCCAATTGGTGGAAGAAGCGTTAGTGGAGCAGATGTAGTGAGCTTAGAACCGTCATGCGCCATTTTGCGCCAGAATGAGGCCACGGAACACATGGCCTCGTATTTCAACAGAGGCCACTAAACCAAGCGTCATAACAAATTCAACAAGTCGGTAAAGCTACCAAGGTTCGGGAACTGGACTGGGCGTCATTCGCCTTTACGCTCTGTGGGGAGCTCCACAGAGGCTCGGAAATTTCCAAGGAAAGCACATATGGTGCTGCAGCTGAAGGTTGGGTATGCGTGCACGAGGAGGAAGATCCTGACTTTCGCGCAATGTTCAATTGGGACCTTCTCGGGGACATCCCCAGCCAAATGTACGACCTTATGAGTTGGAAGATTACGGAACCAGACTTCTGCTGCATTTCTACCCGGGAAGCGAAGCGCAGTTATGTTTATCCTGGTCTAGCGAAGCCAAAGGTGAAGCGCACTTGCAGTTTTCAAACAACATTGTTCAAACCACAAGTTTTAGCTTGTCGCGATTTTACAACAGATTCAGATTTTCATGTGATTCGATGCTGTATTTCGCATCACGATTTCCAGCATGATGCTTCGGTTGATCTTGTGCGATTTTGAATCATGTCACCCGGCGGTGTGTTCAAGGCTGAGATTGCCGGAAATTTTTCAAAGGAGCCTTTGGGTCTCTGAGGTCCTTCTTTAACTGCAACAGGCTCCAGAAACTCAACAGGCGGACGCTTGGGGCTAGCCCGCCGTGCAAGCTGCTCTCTGATAGAGCAGCGGATGGACCCGGAGGCTGCTTCTGAGTCCGTGTCTGCGACAGCGAGTGTTGGGGACTCCAGCTCTGATTTTGAAGCATTAAGTGCCCATTTGCATTCGCTACAGCTCTCTTTCAACATTCTCGAATCTCGCCTCCTGGTGCTGGAGGACCGCTACAGCCTCCTTGAGTCTCAGGGCGAGTCCGTCTCTGCCCGACTTTCCCTCGTAGAGCGTTTTCTTGGGGCATTGCGGCTTTGTTGCCGGCGACTTTCTTGAGAAGACTCGTGTTGCATCAGCTTCTTTTGCGGGGGGTGAGTGCTGAAGCTTTTTATCCGGATGAGGGGGCCCTCTCGCAGTCTGTTGAATCAGGTCAGCAAGTCCCTCTGTCTGCCATACCTGCCAGCCCAATATCACCGAATTCGGCTGTGCTTGAGGGCACACCTGATCAGAGTCCTTTAGCGGCCTTCATGAGCAACCCCGCCGAGGGCGATGATCTTACTGAGGAGCAGCTGGGGGGCCTGATGTCTCGCGAGGACACACAACTTCCCCCTGACGACGACCCGACTGCGGCCCGATTGGAACAGCAGCTTGCAGGCTTCACTGCCTACGGCGGCAGCGCAGGTGATTGGCATGCCATGAACTCGGGTTTCATTCTTGCAAGGCATTCCCGTCAGGCGATGCCGTGGGAAAGAGTGACGAGGCCGCGGTTGGGGCCTAGCTTCATGTTCCAGGAGCCGTTGCTAGGTCGTTTCGACGGTCTTAGGAGGGCGGCGATTCCCGCCCCTGCAGCAGGGCCGTGGGCCTGGGTACCCAAAGGAACTTACGAGGCCAGGCGACTTCTTGCAGCCAGGTTTGCCAAAAGCGATGACATGCTTAGGCTTACCGCACTAAAGAAAATTCGGCTTATCGTGCTTTTCTTTCCGGATGATTCGGAGCTTGGAAGGAACCTCGTGGGTTCTGCAGGCTCCGGAAGCCATGCTGACCTCGACCATCGAGGACACTTTTTCAGGCAGAGCCGCCAGCACCCTTCTGAAGCGGGCCTCAGATTTCTCCAGGTTTGCCAAGTGGATCGTAGCTAACAAAGGGCGCCTGCTGGCGCCGTCCGAAGGCGAGTTGTATGCTTACATGCTTCACTTGCGACGGGAGAAAGCCGGAGCTACCGCCGGCGAGTCTTTTCTCAAGGCCTACAAGTTCTTTGTGCACTTGACCGGGGCAGAGAAAGGCTCCAGGATTTCCCCTCGTGTGCAGGGAGCAGCCAAGCCGATGTCCATGGCCAAACGGCCGCTCTGGCAAGCACCGCCCCTTCCAGTGGAGGCAGTGCGGCTCCTGGAAGAATTGGTTCACGAGTCCGAGGATTATGCCAGGGCCAGCATAGCAGGGTTCATTCTTTTCTGCCTCTACTCCTCGGCTCGATGGTCGGATGCGGCTCGAGGGACCCACTTGTGCATTGACGTGGCAGGTAACGGGCTTGTCCTTCTTGAGTGTTCGACAAAGCATTACAAGACGAAGGCCAAGGACCGAAAGGATACCGTGTTGCCTTTGATTGCACTGGGCAGCGGCCTTACTCAGCCCTCATGGGGACGTGTCTGGATGCGCAAGAGGGCCGGACTGTTCCGTAATCATGCCGGCCATGTCGCCGGGAGGGAACTTTCTGGGAAGGGCCATGACGGCTGCGGAGGGTTCCTTGTGGCTTCGTGAGTTTTTGCACTTGCAGGGTTTCGCGGGGGATCTTGAACAGTACAGCTCGCACAGCCTGAAAGCAACAGCCTTGTCCTGGACGGCCAAGAGCGGGACCATGACCTACGAGGAGCGCCTCACCCAGGGGCATCATTGCAGCCCAAAGCACGGCATGGCTCTCCTGTACTCGAGAGATGCGCTTGCAGAAATCATAGTGAAGGTAGCCAAGGTCGTGAGTGCTGTGAGCAGGGGAGTGCTTAGTCCCGACCTCCCGCGAGCCGAGAGGGTTGCAAGAGGCCTGCATGGCAATCCAGCAGATTTTGCACATCTTCCAGAGACGACGGCTGAGGATTTACCGGCCGAGGAGCCTCAAGACGAGAATAACTCCGAGGCCGGGTCTGACATAACAAACCTCGACGGTCTCGAAGCGGACCTGGGGGCACCGGCCCCGGAGGAGGTCCGTCCTCGGCTCAGCTGCACGTTTTCGGGAGAGACCTACATGCACGTCTTGAGTGGAGTGGTGCATAAGCTGGTCAACCCCGGAATTTTTGCGGTAGGAAGGTCACTGCGAACAGGAGGCTCAGGAGAATGTCTGCCAGCAGTGCGCGGCTTGAAGAAAAGAGGATGTGCTCAGTTGATCGTTTGCTGATTTGCGACGTCGTGCCTGTGCCATTTGAGATGAAGGTACTCGGGCCGATTGAGGTCAGTTGGAGTGTTTCTTGCTTCGGAGCACAATAGCGGACTGAGAAGTGTCCGCAGTCTTTTGGCTGGGAGTTGCCAAACTGGGGCGAGTCTCCCGCGCGGCCTGGTGAGCACCCAGGCTTGAACTTAGCGGGAGTTTGATTGGGGGCCTTGGGATTGCAAACCCCCGTGGTCGGCTGCCTTCGCCGGCCTGAGTCATGAAAAACGATTGGGACGAGGCCGGCTGGGATCGCCGGTTCCCGAAGGCCGCCTGAGATCGGTGGCAAAGAAGTGTGAATCCGAGACAAACGCGACCCACGGTTGACTCGAAACTGTATCCTCACCTGCCCAGGTCTCATGGCCGGACTTGAATCGGTGCCCGCCTTCACCGATCGAGCAAAGCAGATCGGCATCAGCGAAGAACTTCTGAACAAGCTCATTGCCAAGAACTTGGACACCTACGGCAAGCTCGCTTTCGTGTGCTCGAGCAGACCTTCCAGCGGGGATGACACTCCTCTCTTCGAAGCCCTGAAGACTCTGCTTGGGAGTGAGGTTCCAGTGGAACAACATATGGTGATCAGGCGATTGTGGTACGAGAGACACGCCCACGCCCTGGTGGACTTAGAATCGAGGGCTTCGAGAACAAGTGACACAAGCCCCCGCAACCTTCCGTTGGCAGAACACTTGACACGCTTGAAACGCCAAAGGGGCGAGCTCAAAGGCCTCGAGATGGATATCCACACAGAACCTGGACACGGCCTTGTGGACCGCGTCCAGGCCATGCTCGATTCCGCACAAGTGCTGCACATCGCACCGGAAAAGTGCATTTCCCGCCATGACGAGATCCTGGCTGAGAAGACGGAGCAAAAGCTCTCTTTGGGAGCTGACGGGAACATCAAGATCACGAAGCAAGCCTCGAGTCTCCGGTGCGAGACTACCGGCGAGCTCAAGCTTCGCCGGTGCTTCCTGCGCCGGGCCTTAGCGTTCGATCAAGTAGGGCTCGCCTCCTTCACTGCAATGGAGTCTTGCCGCTTGGCACAACCGCATGTTCCAGGCTCTGCTTGATGTGCCTCCGGCGGGTTATCGCTACACTACTGTTCAGCAGCTGCTCGCAGCTGACCAGAAGCTTTGGCAGGTAGTGGCCCAGGAGAGCCGAGGTGACATCGTCGTCGGAGTCGGAGCCCCGGCTCCTCTTGATAAGCACATAGCCGCCGCTGCGATCAACCAATTTGTGGTATCCTGCCTGACACACCTTCCTAAGCCTGCCGAGAACCAGGCCCTACCGTGGAAGCCGAATAAGGGACCCGACAAGGGCAATCAGAAGGGAGAGAAGGGTACAAAGGGCAAAGGCCGCGGCAAAGGAAAGCAGAATCACAGCCAGGACCAGGCTGACGCCTCCTCGCAACCATCCCTGAAGGAGCTGCTGGAGTCGTTACCCGAGGGCTGCGTGCGGGCCAACGATGATGGGCGTTTCATCTGCCCATTTTACAACAAGGGGATCTGTCGCTTCCAGAAGCGCAAGTCGTGCCGCTTCGGCAAGCACGTGTGCAACTTCAGGGGGTGCGGGGCAGAAAGGCCCTACAGTGAGTGCAAGCATTGACTAGCCTCGCCCTCGCCCGAGGTTTTCGCCAGGCAAATCTTAGCTCAGAGCACACCTGTTACCGCTGAGCAAGTGATGAGGCTTTTTGATGCCTTGCCGCATGAGCAGTGCGACCGAGACGCCGAAGGGCGCTCATTTTCGGCAGGGATGTACTCTCGAGTTAAGGTGAGCCTTCGCAAATCTTGTAGGCTTTTTCCACAAACGGTGCGCGTGGTGAACAGGTTTGTAGCCTCTTTTTTTTGATGCTGCCGTTTACACCAGTTTCGTCATTTTTGATCAGGTACGCACTCGGTCACACCGAGACAGTCAGAATTCCTTTTCTCCGAATTATGTCATTCCTTTGACCATTTTCCAAGGGGGAGCTGTCAGGGTAAGCGAGCCAAGCCAGACTGTGGACTTGGAAGTGTCTCGCGGGCCCATTAAATTTTGTGCGCGAGGGTATGAGCATTGCACTCTGCCAGCCACCGGGCGCCGAGTTGTTTTGGTGCTTTTTGCATTGCAGGCCGGAGGGCGAATCTCCGGAGCCGACAAACAGGTCTTGCTTGATTTGGGCTTCCCGTTGCCCAGTGCTTCGCAGCTAGCTTCAACTGAGGTCTGCTCCTCACAACAGCTTCCAGTGACAGATCAGATGCGTCGGATTCTCCCCCTGGAAGAGCCAGCTCCGCCTGCCTCCGAGCAAAAATCATTCCCCTCGCCCGCGTCTTCAGGATCCGTCCAGGTCTCATCGGATCCCGGTGTGCCCAAATCACCGTCTTGTCCGGATCCCAGTGCACATCAGCGAAGTGCCGCTTCCGCCTCGTTCGGGACCCTTTGAGGGCTGCAACACCCTGTCGAATCAGGGCCCCTCTTCGGTCCCTCCTCCACCTATGCTTGCCGATTGCCTCGCTGTCTCGGGATCCTTATCGGCCGCCGCCCTTCAAGCTGGATGGGATGCCTTGCCATTGGGCCACAAACGTGGTGCCCCTGAGTGCTGTCCCCGAGTGCCGATTGACCTCTCTGCGACAGATGATCTGAAAGCATTGCTTGACTTTGAGCGCCACACACTCGTCGACTGGTGGCATTTCAATCTGTTCATGAAATCTTGCAATCAGGGGCGTGATTCTCGAGGACGTGCGAGCCTTCGTGACGCCTCTCACTTGCTAGGGCGCGACGGCCTTCCCGCCCGCGCCGATTCGCTGGTGCAGCATGAAAACAGCTTACTACAAGCCGTGGTCGACCTGCTGTTCCGAGCTTACGAAACTCGGGCCCTGGTCAGCTTGATCGGGCCGGCCCGGAGTTGGGTTTGGAGCCTCTTAGCCCACTTTGTCAAGCAGAGGCGGCACCAGGACTTTCTGCAATGGTTCTTCGCTTTGGCCGATGAGGAGCTTGATACTTGCATGTTCGGTGCCCCGTTCTTGACATCGCTGCGGATCCGAGCCGACTCTTCATCTTTCCCAAACCTTGGCCGTCCCTGTGATAAGTCCCATAAACACATGCCTTGGATTCCCTCTTCTGCAGGAAAGGGTTTCCGTGTTGCCTCGCTGCCTGCTGAGCTGTGCCGGACCCTGTGTCGCTCCGCCACCGCAGTCTGCCGGGGTCTCCAGGCCCAAAGAGTCGACCTCCTGCATAGCCGCCGACTTCGAGCTCAGGTGCGAGCGGCAGCGGCCAACCAACCCACCTACATGCCTCCCTTAATCCCTGAGTTTCGGGTTAGGGTTCCTCTGTCCGAAGTACCGAGTGGAGCTGATTACAAAATACTCTCCAAAGGCCTAGTGCGGGGGACAATGATGAGCCGGGGGATAATGATGAGCCCAATCCTTCTAAGAGGGTCCGGATGCAAGGAGATGGTAGAGCCGGAGACCTGGCAGGTGTGTATTTCTCCATGGAGGAGCACCTGCATCGCGCATGTGGGCTAACCTGCCCAGCTGACAATAGCGCTCGTTTGCCCGATGCTGTTCGCCGCAACATCTTTGCCATTCTCACGGAAGGCCCAGTGGCTGTGTCAAAGCGGCGGATGCTTGAACTGAAAAAATTGAATGACCGGATGGCGGTGCTGTCCGCCACTGAGAAAGAGCTTCGAGCCAAAATGCATCCGGATGTGGAGCGAGTTTTCCCGACATGTCAGTGGTCGACCTTCTTACCGACGGTGTGCCCTTAGTTGGTCAGGAAGCCGAGTCCCCTCTGTTTGCAAAGCGGCCGAAGCCCATGGACCTTGAGCCAGATCAGCTTAAAGCCCTGGCCCTACTGCGGCGGCGTGCATTGCAGAAGATGAAAGGGCTTACTTCAGAGCAGGATTACAAGGCGATGAAAGACGAGACTTCAGAGGAATTGGCCGCGGGTTTCCTCACGGGTCCATACCACTCGGAGCAGGAAGTCAGCGACATCTTGAAAACCGATACTTGGTCGCTCTCACCTCGGTTCCTGTTGAGGCAGGGCGAAGACTCCAAGATAAGAATAATTGACGACTTCAAAATGTCTGCGGTTAACAGGGCCTTTGGCTCCTCGTCCTTCCTCGAGCTTCAGGATACGGACTACGCGGTTGGTCTCTTGAGGTTCTTGTCCCGGGTGCTGCAGGACCGCTCCAAGGTCAGGGTCCCCTTGACCGATGGCACCGTGCTCGAGGGGGATTGGGATTCTGAGATGCTCCGCCAGCCCGCTCTGCTGGGCAAGACGCTGGACTTGAGTAAAGCATATCGCCAGGTGAGCATACATCCTTCCACGAGGGAACACGCTGTGCTTGGCTTCCCCAACCCACAGGGCGAGTGGGAATTCTACATAGCACAGAGCCTGCCTTTTGGTGCTGCTGCCAGCGTGTACGGGTTCAACAAAGTGGCACTTGCAATCCTTCACATCATGGTTGTCAAGTTCGCCGCGATCGCGACGGACTTTTACGACGACTACACTGTCTACGAATTCCGCCCAGCTGCTTTCCTGCTGGACCTGCTGGACAAAGTCTTGATGAGGCTGCTGGACTTGCTAGGGTGGACCTACGCGAAGTCGGGGCGGAAGTTTGTGCCTTTTGACAACAAGGTAGTCTCTTTGGGCGTTTCTTTAGATCTTGACGATATCTGGGAAGGCACTCTCGAGGTCGAGAACAAAGCGGGACGTCTTGAAAAGATTGCAGCGCTCCTCCGAACAGTCGCCCAGGGCGGAGCTGTGACGAGATCTGATGTGGCCTCGCTGCACGGCTTGATCAACTTCGCAGGTGGACTGATTATGGGCTTCGAGCTGAAGCCAAGCCAACGTCGCGAATGCTATCCCGGGCCTTGTCGGGACCCTTCCAAGGCAGCACACTCGAACTTCGACTGGCTTGTGCGTTAGCTCTGGATGTCATTGCGCAGTGCAGGCCAAAGCGGTGCCCGGCTACAATTCTGCCGCCGATTGTGCTCTACACTGATGGAGCCTTCGAGAAAGGGCGAGGTACCTGGGGCGCGGTTCATGCTTACACGGGCTCCCGATGGGTCTTCGGGGGGGAAGTCTGCCAGCCGCTAATGGGTCACTGGGGCAAGGAAGCTGGGGCCCAAGTGATTTGCCAGGTTGAGGCCTATGCTCTGGCAATAACCTTGTTCGGGATTCGCGGAGTGCTGAAAGGTCGCTCAGTCTTGGCATGGATTGACAACAACGCCTGCCTTTATGGCATAACTTTATGGATTCGTGAAACGATACTCCCCCTCGGCCTCCATGATGCGCCTCATCTCCTTGGTGGCTTTGATGGAGAGTTCCATGGAAGCGCTTCTCTGGTTTGAGCGGGTCCCCTCTAAGAGTAACCCGGCGGACCTCCCATCGCGGGGGCAGTTTGCAGAGGCTTGTGAGCGCTTTCGGGCCATAAACAAAGGTGATGTGGCAGCCACTGATACGATGATGGACTTCGTTCGTGCTCCCCACTACGAGCCTAAGCTGGCTCAGGCCATTCTTACATCGGCTAGGCTGGAAGCTGATTGGGCACAGGAAGTGCTGCAGTGATCATCGATGCATCCTCCGATCGCGGGGCCGGGGGAAGATGGCTGCTCTGTTCGGCTGCTTTAGCCGTGCTCAGTTTGGCTGCTTTCGCCTTGCTCTAAACGGGTTGTGCTCGCCCGCTCTCGCCATCAACCCGGTAACAGACCCCCGTTGCAACGGAGTGCGAAAATAACAGAATGTTCAATTTTCCTTCATGCCCAATTTACCGCCAGTTTCACTGCGTATCTCCGTAGGTCAAACGTAGGCTCAGGACAGCCTGACAGCAGAGCGTGTAGTGTGAAAAGAATCTGAAGCTCGCGCCGTGCTGTAACAAGGATACTGGTTTAAGGGTTTAAACTTTCATGGTAGCGGAGCTGTTGGCAAAGGCCAGCAGCTGATCAAGCAAAGATCCAGGGAAGCCAGCCACGAGCTGGAAAAGGTGAAAAGTGTGGAACAGGAAGTTACGGTTTACCAAGAGCATCCTGTCGGAGAACAGCGAGGAGTTACGGCTAAGCCAAGAGCACCTTGCAAAGTCGGAGAAAAGCGTGGAAGTGAAGACCTTGGGCCAGATATACAAGGACCTGCCAAAGTGTTGGAAAGATGCAAGAGCAACAACAAGCTCAACAGCCACAGCACCAGCCGAACCCCCAGCAGGTGAGGTTGGAACAGCTGATGACTACACTAGGTCAAGCTACAGAAGCTATGGCAAGAGTTGCGCAAGGAACAGCAATGCAGCAAGCGCAATTGACAACAGCAATGGATGCACTGGCGAAAGCCCAAGCATCATCGAAGGCAGCCCCTACGGGAGGCCAGCCAGCCTCAGTAAGTTTTGATACTGGAGGTAAGATCCTCAAGCCACCGGAATCATTTAATCCAGCAACGATCGAAGAAGAAGTGTCACAATGGAGTGACTGGTCATTTACGTTCAAGAACTTCTTAGCGTTCATGGACCAAGAATTCCTAAAGGACCTGAAGTCGGCAGAAGAACAAGGAGCCGCGATATCAATGGAGGTGACAAATACATTCTTCAACAATGATCAAGGAAGGGTGAACAGAGGAACGAAGCTTTACTCAGTGTTAAGCAGTTACTTGAGAAACAGACCTCTGAAAGTGCTGAGAAGCGTGAGCGGGATGAATGGATTTGAAGTGTGGAGAAAGTTGACGGCTGAATTAGAGCCGACATCTCGTTCAAGGAGTCTAGCAATGGCTCAGGCATTGGTTGGATTCCCAGCCATGAGCAAAGGAGCATCGTTGATGGACTACGTCCTGACATACGAGAAGCTCACAGCAGAGTACGAAAAGCTCTCAGGCCAGAAGTATGATGAAAACTTGAAGATCGGTACACTGCTGAAAGGAATACCGCAGCACCTCAAGCAGCATGTGATGGTTGATATCACTGATAAGACCACGTACGAAGAGTTAAGAGCAAAGCTGCTACAATATGAAAGAAGCAATCAGACATGGTCAGCTGAAAACATCTTAGGATCGTTGAGTGTTCCAGACCCAACGTCGCACTCAAGCAACAAGACTTACCAAGGACCAATTCCGATGGAACTCGATAGATTGCACGTGAGGAAAGGTAAAGGAGATGGAAAAGGAAAAGGTGACAAAGGAGGAAAAGGAAGCCCTTATGGAAAAGGAAAGGATAAAGGAAAGGGCAGAGGATACGGAAAAGGAAAAGGTGGTAGAGGAAGATCAAAAGGAAAAGGAATGGCTCAAGTTTTCGGCTCGAGTGCCACATTTTGTGGCGTAGTGAGTGCTGTCTTAACGGGTTTGGGACTCTCAACCGGCTGTGCGACCAGGTCCGAGGCCCTCATAATCCCAGCTTTAGCCTCCTTTTGAGCCATAGTGCCCTGGCTTGGGAGTGGTTCACCCCTTGCTTTCTTGAGTGGATAGGGGCCACCCTCCACCCTGACCGGCTGGAATACAGCAAGGACGTGAGCAATCACTCCTTAGCCATGGGCCAGAAGGGCCAGTACTTCGTGTGCAAGTGCGGCACCTGGACGTGGTGCTCCAAGGTGCAGCAGGGCCAGACGTGTGGCAAGAAGTGGCCTGCTCCGCCGGCTCCGGCTCGCCAGCAGCCCAGGAGCCCGCAGAAGCACCCAAAGTCCCCGTCCTCTTCCCCCTCTCCTCAGCGCGACCCCGATCGCAAGGAAAGGCGCGAGGAAGAACGCCGCCTCAAACGCGCGGTCACGACCATCTGGGATCAAATCCCGGAAGAGGCACGATCACGCCTCGTGCAAGCGGGATGGAAAGGACCTCCCAAGCAGAAGGAGGCGGTTGAGTCCCAAACCGACCCTCTCCTGAGCCTGCTGGTGCAGTGCCAGGACGAGTTATCGGAGGACATCCGCACCGCGCCTGTGGAGGCTACCACAGGCCCAGAACTGTCTCCGGGAGAGAAGGCCATGCAATCCAACAAGGACCTCACCAAGGCCAGCTCCCGCCTCCGAGTGCTGATCCACAAGAAGATCAAGCTGCTCGAGAGCATCGAGGAGGCGAAGGAATCCCTCCGCCTGCAGCTGCAGGAGCTCCAGGAGACGACCGAGAAGATCCACGAGGCCGAGAACGCAGTGGAGAAGGCCAAGCTCGAGCTCACCAAGGCTGTGGGGACCCCCACTGGGGTACAGGACGTGCCAGTCACTCCTGAGCCAATGGATGTGGACGAACTGGTCACCATCCTTGCCCTGACTCTCTCACGAGCAGCAGGAGAAGCTGGCGGAGTACCGCGCAAAAGCCCAGAAGAGGCAGAGGCCTCCTTATACCGTCCCACGAGGTATGTGGGCGAGTTGGTAAAGCGAACTGGCACTGCATAGCACGCTGAAAAGCGGTAGCACTTCGCAAAAGTAGGGTGTTCATGAAGATTTCGACTAAATCTGTACAACATACATGCATACGTACATACACCCAGTGCACTTGATTGAACTTTATGTCATACCACATACCACAATCGGCACCATACCACACAAAGAATGAAACACCAATTATGATGTGAAGCACCGATTTGTCAGGAGAAAATCTTGTAGGGAGCCATGAGCAGTCTTCATGGATTCATGGTTGTTTGTGTGCAGTACCGGTGTAGATGTTGCATGCATGTTGCGGGCTCAGGCTCAGGTTGAACAATTGAAACCGCAGGAGACGCATGAACGTTAGGACCTACGAAATGCTACATGAGTCTTTTGGATTAGCTTCCGAACAATGGCCACAGATCCGGTGGTGTTGCTGGAGTCAGAAGACGACTTGGAATTGCTGGAGTTGAGCTGCGCGAGGGTCCGCATTTCTCGCCAAATCTTTTTGCCAATTGGCAACGTGTGGTGTCTGCTTCGTGACCCTGAGAACTCTTCGAGACATGCCTCTTGCCTGGCAATTCCCTAAGCAAGGGTGGGCTCGCGGCTCGGGAATTTTCGAACTCACTTCTTGCGGGAATATGGACCGTTTTAGAAAGTTGCACATTGGTTAGTGAATTATGCATTCTGCTGCAGCTGCTGGGTCATATTGTCATAGTTGCTTCTAGACTAGAAAGCATCGCTTTTGTGATCCATTTGGTGCCGTGGTCTTGCTGCTGATTTGCTGCGTAGGTGGGCGCAGGGTAGAGCAGGTACAACGTAGGTGAGGTAGCAGGTAGGAACGTAGGCCGGCAGACTCAAGACCCATTCGCCGCATATGCTAGAGCAGGTAGGCAGGTAGCAGTGTAGGGCACATTCGCCAAGGCCGAGATTTTGGTATTCCGCGTTCCAGCCAAGAATGATGCTCTGTGCATATTCCGGGGCAAGTTTGCAAAATCAGTTCCTTCTAGCAAAGATGCCTCCAGATCGAGGCTGCGCCACTTGTGCAGCATCTCTTTCGCAGATGTGCGACTGTTGTTTGATAGCTGCCCAGACGTCGTGTGCATCTGGTCGGCTGAGACTGTTCGGCACTTGCAGCAGGGTGATAAGCTGGCGTGGGCCACATTTAGGGCCGCTTTCCCCATTCCGGATGAGTGCCTCGAAGCAACCCAGAAACGCATCAGGCCGGGGTATGTGTGTGTGTGTGTGTCTCTCTTTGTCGGTGTGGACCTTCAAGCCCAAACCAGGAAGTGATGCGACAGAACGAGCAAGCCCATACAAGAACAACGGAAGCAGCATAATGGCAATTCAATTCCACGGTTTTTCCGCACCAAAACAAAGTCGTACCTGATGTTGTCTATGCGCTTGTGTTGTTGCACTCTTGGCGCTTTCCAGGCATTTCGCATCTTCCAAGATACCTAAACTTGTGGATGCGGCAGCGGCGCCTACAGAATGCAACGCGGAGTCGGAACGTGCTTCCCTTGGTAGTGGCAGAGGTTGCGCGCAAATTGTTTCAACCCCTGCGGCCTCAATTGCTGCACCGCGGACAGCCACGGCAGTGAAGCGGTCGGCTTCGGATGCATTTGAGGTTGTGCGTGAACTAGACACTTCAGGCAACGAGGTGGCAATGGCGGCGAACATGCGCATTGTGGTGCCAAGTGCTACAGGTGATGTTCCGACTTCAGCTTCAGCGGCGCCGCACGTGCCGGGTGAGCCAAGCCGACCCGCCTTAACTCCTCTGGAACGCATAGCGCAGGAGGTTGAGTGCGCAGCTGCCGATGGCAACATGCTATTGGTCCGGGAAAGACTGCAAGCCATGCTGCAGTCGTGCAGCCTCGCAGTGGCAACTTCAGCTAGAAGACGAGGAAAAGGTCGTGGTGATGACGACGATGCTAAACGCTCTCCAGGTGGTGTCGAATATCGACCAGAGTATCTTTTGCTGGTAGTGATACTGGCAGATCGCTTGCAGCCAGGAATGATTCACGGTTCAGTGTTTCAGTGTCCACACGGTTCAGTGTTTCAGTGTCCACCACATGATTTTTGACGTGAATCTCAGCTCTATAAGTCTCAGGCATGATGCGGGCGATGTTCAAGAAACTCTTCTGATGTGGGGGCCCCACATTGCTTGCTTGCTGATGGTGAGTGAACCAGTGAGCCCTTTCCTTTGCTGAGTTTTGGAACGAGTCGAACACACCGATGCTCCGCTCAGGTCATTGAAACTTTCTTTGCACGATGATCTGGCCGCGCACTTGCTGACAACGCCTCTGAGGGCACCCACGAAAAGCACGTTGTGGCGTGCAAGAACCGAATTAGACCTGGCGTCGATGGTCTATGCACGGCGGTTCCTTCTGAACACTTCGAGAACTTGGCATTTGCATCTGCGGGCCGATGCATCGCCCCAAGCCGGGCGAGATTACCTGGTGACAGAAGCGGACATTTGCAGTTTCGGTGGCGGCTCCCATCCATACACGGCATCAGAGAATGCACACGTCAAACAGCTCTTGTTGTCGCAGGGTACCATGGACATACGATGCCGCCTTTTGCCCGTCAGCATTGTGGGGGCACGTTGTGCAAGTGCTTGTCACAAGGGGCACCTGATGTTGAAGTCTTTGGGCCTAGAGTGTGAAAACCTGCAGGAGGCGACGAAGCGGGTATCCACATTGATGTTCGATTACGGCGCGGAAGCAGGAATCTGGTCGCTGCCTGATCCTGCGGATAACTCCAGCAGACTTTTCGCAAATGCTTTGCCGATTGCTGATTGCGATCATGCAATTCACCATGTGCTTCGACTTAGACTGTTGCGTGGTGAGTGAGTAAGCACAGGCGGGTGAATTTTGCTTTAGAGACTGCAGAGTTGAGTTGAATAGGTTTTCCGGTTTTTCTTGAAGAATACAGGGTTGCGGTTGCATAGGTTCCTGGGGGAGCTACTTTGTCCAGGGCGGAGTAGCAGTAGGAAAGCCTTAACACTTACCAGGTGCAGCTGATCGGCTTTGGTAGAGCAGGTAGTTTAGTCCAAGTGGGGAAAGAAGTAGAATGATATTACGGCGTCGTTGCATCTGAGGTCATGAGTGAACTTCCGGCAGCATTTGGCAAGTGGTCTCGTTTTCGGGACACATTGTCTTCGATCAGCAGAGCTTTCGGGAGTTATCACCTGCTAGGCAGGTTTCGCAATGTCTGCATCGGCAAGAACCCGGCAGTTCCGGAAGTATCTTGTTTGCGGCATGATCTCAAACTTGGCATAAGCCTCATGCTCATGGTTCGTTAGGAGACAGAGAGAGAGAGAGAGAGAGAGAGAGAGAGAGAGAGAGAGAGAGAGAGAGAGAGAGAGAGAGAGAGAGAGAGAGAGAGAGAGAGAGAGAGAGAGAGAGAGAGAGAGAGAGAGAGAGAGAGAGAGAGAGAGGGGAGAGAGAGAGAGAGAGAGAGAGAGAGAGAGAGAGAGAGAGAGAGAGAGAGAGAGAGAGCGCGGGACAGAGGAGACACAGACACAGAATGAAACAGAATGAGACTGACAGACAAAACATGTGAAAAAGAGCAGAGATCTGATTGAAAAATCAATTACCTAAAGCGATCTTCTGTAAGGCTCCGTGACGCTGTCTTGCTTGACTAGGCTTTGTTGCCCTTTGTGTGTTGGTCCTGAGTCTTGAGGCTTACAGGCGTGTGTTCAAAGACCTCTTCAAGTCACCGTGCCCAAAGCTGACTGAGCACAGATGGATGTATCTACACGAGGTCCTTTCCTGGGTTTGGCCCAGACAGAATGCATTGCAATACATGCAGCTCGATAGTTTCGGCGAGGCTCGCGAGGACGGTGACGGAGACGGCGTACTCTTTGGATTTGATAGCAGAGGTTTGCGATGCCAGCAGTATCGAAGGGGCCGAGTTTTGGCTCATGTGCGGACTGTGCAGAAGCCTTGCTTCTTGGGGTCATCGTTTCAGTGGCATGCTTCACGGCTGCCCTTGTCACACGCACGAGGAGAAGATGGAAGCGAAACGCAAGCAACGCAAGCGCCGTGCCAGTGCAGACGCAGATGTTCTGTGTTTGCCTGGAAGCTTCATTTCAATAGCAGCTGATAGTGCAGCAGTTCCGGAGAAGTGCCCCATGGAGGGCCGTATGGCTGTTGCTCTTGCCGGTGGCCTGCATGAAGAAGCTGTTGCCGGGTTGCAGAGCGGCGCACGCAATCTATCGCGGCACACTCAACTCGCATTGGACCGGCTGAGGCGCCTGGATGCATCCAGGGCATCTGATGTTTTGGATTGCTTCCAGACAGCTGTTGGAAAAATGGCATTTCGCACCAAGCAGTCCTTCTCATACTGGTTGCAACTTCCCTGGAGCTTAGTTGCGCTTGCGAAGCCCTTCGTCGCCCGCTTCAGCAGTCCTGACGAGGCAAGCCGAAGCAGTACGTTACTTCAGGAAACCCAAACACCGAAACCAGAACCCTTGGCCGCTGGCCTTAGCCAATCGTTGTATATGTGGAATCTCAGCTGACAGGTGCCATTGTTTGGGTTTCGGTTGTCCAACAAGTGGGAGAACTTGAGTTGCTGAGTACATTGTGTCATGCCGTCCTCGCAAGTGTTTTCGAGGCCTCCAAGTGCTTGCGCCAGTGCCGACGCCTTGCCAAGATTTTGGTTGCGAGCTACGATGCTACAGAGAACCAGGCTGCGCTCGGGGAACTTGTGCTGCATTGTTACGTCTGCTACACTCTATAGCGGAATCGAATCCCGGGAGTCATCATCTTAAAACCCAATGTTCCAAGTTCCAAGTGTCTAGGGACCGGACGACGAGTGCTGAGGGTTTTAGGGGACTAGCAGCGTGAAAACTTAAAACCCACACCCTAAGCCCCAAAGTTTTGGATTCAGGGTTCTGAGTTTAGGGCTTTAATGTTTCGGGCTCCAAAGGTTTGGGTTTAGAGGTTCGAAGGTTTGGGGGTTTGGGGTTTCGGGTTTTAGGGTTTAAGGGTTTTTGGGATTCCCTCGTGTACGGACTGGGGCTCGTATTGAGGCTCTGCCAAAAATAAGTTCGGTTAAAGCCGTTCTATTTGAGGCTGTTGCGCACAAGTTTCTTGCTCCTGACGGACCGTACCGGCGGCATCTTCTGTCGTGGTCCACATTACAGTCTGAAGTGATGCACGGACCTATGTATACAGAGTTGATTAGCTATGCGACCGCATTAGTGGTCATGCAGCGCCTTGAGTCAAGACACTCCTTGCTCAAGCGGCAGTTGAGGTGGAGGCACCAGACACTGCCCCTGACAGCTTCAGCAGCAATGCGCAGAAGGCAAAACCACGACCTGGAAACGCCGGCATTTCAGAAGAATCTGAGACATCTTCTCACTTCCATTGGGGAGCTCTACCCGGGGCCATGGCGATCCAAGACAGAATTGATCGAGCGGGTTTCGCAACTGAGCGCCGAGGCCCTTTTCGATGATCTGAGCGAAGAACGGGTTCAGCTTGAATCGTTCAAACAACATCTTGCGGCTGTTGCTTCCAGTGCGAGCAGCCAAAAACAGCCCGTGTCAGATCTGGAAGCAAGCTTGCGCAGAGAGCACATTCGCGCGGTGCTCACCAAAGGCAAGTGCTACGCCTTGTGTGGATGTGTGCATGCTGGCGTGTGGTCTGTGTTCCGTGTGCTGAACATCAATCCAGCTGCGAACATGTACATGCAGCGTTGTGTGCACTTGGCAGCAGACGTGTTTTGGCAGGCATCCTCCCATTATAGTTACTGATCTAGCCCCATTCATACACTGCCTTATAGTAAAGCCCTTATATGGCTTGAAGCTTCCGCACCCTATGCAGTCAAGAAGCCGAGTCTCCAGTTGCAGCGCAGTGTGTGAAACAGTTGTTTGCTCTATGGAAGAGTTAAAGAGTTAAGGATTGGAGAGATTGCATCGCAGTGGAGCTCCTCAACGGAACGGAAAGCAACAAAGACGGACCTCCGGAGAAAGTCGTGACCGATGAAGTTGAGATTGTTACGCTTTCCATCCCGGAGCTTTTCGAGAAGCAGACGTGTGATATCCTGCAGCTGCACGAGTACCAAAATGCTGCCCGTTTAAGCACAGAGAGAGAGAGAGAGAGAGAGAGAGAGAGAGAGAGAGAGAGAGAGAGAGAGAGAGAGAGAGAGAGAGAGAGAGAGAGAGAGAGAGAGAGAGAGAGAGAGAGAGAGAGAGAGAGAGAGGGGAGAGAGAGAGAGAGAGAGAGAGAGAGAGAGAGAGAGAGAGAGAGAGAGAGAGAGACAGAGAGACAGAGAGACAGAGAGACGGAGAGACAGAGAGACGGAGAGACAGAGAGACAGAGAGACAGAGAGAGAGAGGCGCGTGAATATCTTGTTTTCATTGGGCATTTCGGGATTTCGTGTAATGCTTTGCAAACGCCACCGGTCAACCGACGGAGGTTCGCAGCTATCCGGCTGTTTCATACGCGTTGCTCGAGACCGCCGTTCTCGAGGATGCGACTTCCATCAGCGACTTCGGCGCTGCCGATGAAAGCTTCGTGTTCCTTTTCTGCAGGTCATGGTGGGCAGGAGTCATCCGGTCGCTTGCACTGGGTGTCGTCTTAAGCAGTGCTGAGGAAGATGGTTTGCGATGTTGCCTCCGCGGCGGTGATCCACGGAGGCACGGTGCCTTCGCAGGCAGCTTCGCTGCCGGAGTTGGCCCCAGCTGTTGGATGGATGATGGACGCCGGAATCTTGCAGAACGGCTCTTTGGGGCCGTCTTATGTAACTGTTCAAAGCGAGCTCAGCCAACCTCAACTCTGCGTGACAGATGGCAGCAGACTTGCAATTGCAGAGTACCTGAAGCAGCGTGGCTGGCAACCCATCAGCCGGTCTCTCAGAGAGGCTAGTCTGGAGACGAAGCGTTTCAATGCTGGTTCGTTCCTGGAGTACCACTTGATCTTGCGGTGGTGCTTGCCCCAGCTGACTGAGTATGCTGCTGAGTACGGCTTTCCACATGGAGCTTCCAAAGGCTATTATTCAGCATTGCGAGTTGTGTTGCAAGCACCGGCAGCAACGGAAGGACGTGAACATGAGTGTCATTCTGCAGATGGGCCCCGCCTCAACATGATGTACGTTCCGCCTGGCCAGTCTGCAGACTTCTATCGGCGTTTCCAGGATTGGTTGCAAGGCCGGTTGTTGCCTCGTTTGCTGAGTGTCCTGTGTGCTGCTTGGTAGCTGCATGTCTTGATACTAGTTCATGGTGCCCGGGAGGCAATGAGCCGGTTGACCCCCGCATCGGGTTGGACTTGTTGCGGCCCAAGCAGAGGGTGCGCAAACAACGAAGTAGTTTGCATGAGCCTTCCTGCGACGATCGTCCTGACGGGGAGGGTGAGCCGAATGCAGATGCAGATGCACTTGAGAATTGCGAATTGGAGATGGGGCCATCAGATCAGGGATCTGGTTCAGAATCGGACTCCAGTGTGGCTGATCTCGATTACGGTCAGCCTGCTTAATCCTCGCCCCAGAACTCGCCCCAGCCTGAACAGAGGGAGCCCGACCAGGCAGCAGTGTCTGAGCCATTCTGAGCCCGAGAACATCTTTACCCGAACTCGAACTCTTAGCATCAGCTCATGAACGCAGGACATCGACCTCGTCGTAGCCGCCGTCGCTGAGGATGACAATGATATGCTGCTTGCTGCGGCTGCAGGGCCCAGGAACGAAGCAGTTGCTGATGACGTCGGGCAGAATCCGCAGCTCGCAGTTGCGCCTGCCCAACATGATCAGCAGTTCGGGCGTGCAGATCTGTTGAGACTGTTGCATGCAAACAGTGCCGCGGCTGACCTAGTAAGCGTGTGCAAATCAGCAGCCGCGGCGGCAGTTCAAGTGAGATGTTGTGTGGCGATCGCAGGAGAGGCGGCAATGGAAGCATGCAAGCAGATTGGACGATCGTACCACCGGTCGGAGACAGCGAAGCGCGTGGAAGCTGTCGGCAAGATCTTGCCGCATGTAGCCGAAGTCATGATGGATTTCGATTGGTTCCAGAAACCTCCCATTTGCATTGTTGACGAGGCTCGCTTTTCGTGCCAGCGCATGGGTGGGACCTGACTCGGAATGTGATAGCTTCGAGATTAGTTGCTCGTCCTGAATACTGTCCCATCCGTTGCTAGTGGGCAGGCGCTGAGACGGGCGGAGCGAGTGGGCGCCCGCTGTCGGCTTCTCAGTCTCGGCTCATGTTGGTTTGTGACAGGTTTGTGGGAATGAACAGTTGGCTGTACTGGTTGGTTGTCGCAGCCGCAGAAGCAGTGAGGTTGGGGCGCCGGCGATTTGTGGTCGCGGAGGCGCACAGTGTTGGACATGCTGCTTTTGACGTACGTAGACCCACTACGTGAGATGTTGCAGAGACATGTCTGACAAACTTTCAAATGTGAGTGAAGGGCCTGAGGTTTTAAAACCCATGCCGCCAACTTCAACCATGTACAGTTCAAGCGAGGAGTGCTCGGTACTCGTTTAAAACGTACATCCGAGTGTAGTCGCAGCACACGCCGTGAAAAATACTTGCCTCGTAGATTGGCCTCTGCGTGTTTTCGCCTTGTCGCTAGCTTGGCCAGGACATCCCCGCATGTGATCCAATATGTGTGCCAGGATGAGTTTCTGTCTGCAGCCCATTGTAGGACTCCCTGCGTGTCTAGCACAGCGAAGTTGAGCAGCATGAGTTCATCGGATTCTGTGTGGCCGCAGATCACCTGTGAAGATGATGACACACCAATGGCAGTGGCAGGGCTTCCTTATGATGCCAATGATGTGCTTGCTGCACCGGTGGCGCCAGGAGGTTCTGCCAACGCTGGCAGGTCGGTCAAGAGAACATCTGTACGCCGTGGGCGGAACGAGAAGAGACTATCGAATCCCAGATCCACGGTTGCCAGGGCGGAGCCCGTGCCGCGCCGCAGGGGCGGTGACCAGAGGAAACATGTCCATGTGCCCGAAAAGATTGTCAAGGCCTTTGCGTTTCTTGCAAACTTCGTCGCGAAAACAATGCAGTTCGTTGCATCGCCTTTTCGTTGGAAGGAGATTTGATTTGAAGAAAAGCAATGCTGTCTCAGTGTCAGTGCCATGAGTCTATCATGATTATACAAACCTGGGGGCCATTTTGCAGGAGCTCAGCGTGTTCTCCGAGTTCTCCGGATATGGCACGGCAGAGATTGCAGCTGAAGGCATCGTCCATCAATGCTGCCAGCAGGGTTACAACATTCGCATATCGCATTGCAGCGGGGCAGACAAATCCAAGAGTTGCCAGAAAATTCTCTCGTCGAGCAGTCAGATTCTTACACTTCTGAATTTGGCTGTGTGTTTGTTTGTTCGTTTGTTTGTGTGTGCGTGTGTTTTCGGTTTCGCAAGTTGCACCGTGGATCCAACCAAGCTTAGGTCCGCAAAGCTGCCTGTTTGGAGACATCTTGAACTTGCTGCCAGCGAACGTCTGCCAGCAGCTAGGGCTGGGGCCAAATCAACACTTGAGTCCGGACACAAGGCCTTCTTGCTTCGCTGTTTCTCGGGTGTTGTGGTGTTTTGTTTTGATGTCTTGTGGTCTTTTAACCATAACTGTAGCTGCTGATCCTTCTCTTGGGTGGTCCTAAAATCCAAACCGTGGCTGCTGATCCTTGGGTGCGTGGCTGCCGCGTATTGGTATACTGGGTGAGGTGCGCACATATGTCATATGCAATGGAAACATTCGTGACATAGCGACCAGTATGTGTAGTTCGGTGTCTTCACGAGGTGGGCTGTATTACGATTCGCATAACGCCACGCACATGTCAGACAACGGGACAGATCGGGCACTGTACGAGGCGCAATCGTGCAACGCATTGTGGAGCCTCGAGTGGTGTGGGGGGGGGGGGGGGGGGCGGGTGGGAGGGCGGGAAGGTGGAAAAAAACATGATGCGCGCGCGCGCGCGCGCGCATCATGTTTTCTGGACCATTTCAGGCCCGAAAAACCGACCCGGGTGGGCGGGCGGGGGGCGGGCGAGTGAGGTGGGTTGTAGTAGTAAGAGCGGCGAATTTGAACTCATGTTGACGCTTGATACACGAAACAACTGCATATCTGGAAGTATGGGGTATTGTGGTGTGGGTGGTCGAACTGGTGGTCGAACCGGCGGTGGTCGAACTTAGCGGTGGTCGAACTGGTTTTGGTGGTCGAAGGGTGGTCGAACTCGTTCCTCAGGCACAGATCTTAGTTCGACCACCGTTCGACCACCAGAAGTTCGACCACAGTTCGACCACCGGTTCGACCACCACCGGTTCGACCACCAGTTCGACCACCCGCATGCCTGTGGTCACAGCAAACCAAAATGCAGAAATTTAAATCAAGAGTGACACCCACTCACCAGGCAAGACCCACCTCCCCAACCCTCGTGAGTCCGTGAATGCCCACCTTCTGTTGTGCGCAGCGAGCCGCGATGATGCAGATTTGAAAACCTTCTCGGAAACTGTGGCACGCTAAGGAAGGCTCCCCGTGGAGGGCAGAGGATTTCCCGGTTTGGGCCGCTCCAAACCGGGAGATTAACGCTTTGCGGATTTCTGGGTTTGTGGGGTCGGTGGGGGTGGGCTTGGGGTGGGGGGTGGGGGGAAAGAAGCATTAAAATGTTAGCGCATGTCACAAAGGGGGGGTTGGGGGTGGGGGTAGGGCGGATAGGTGTGTTTTCGATTTTGGTTGCTGCCTTGTACCCCTTGTCACAGAGTTTGTTGCCTGTTGTGTTCGCCAGGCCGGTGTACGACTTTGAGATCTTGGCATCAACTATCACGGCAGACAATGTGGTGCTGCATGAATACGATTATTGCTTAGCACATGGCAAGAACTGCCGCCGTCTTCCAGGGAATTGCACTGGGTCGCAAGAGGAGTTGTCCATTTGTGTGGCAGGGTCCCCGTGCATAGACTGGAGCCCGTTCGGGTCTCGGAAGGGCGCCAGCGGGAAGTCCACTCCGGCCTTCGTGGTTTTGTGTTTTGCCTGCAATAGGGTGAACAGTGCGCCCCCGTGTAGCACATCTGGGACTTGGTGCTGGCAGGATGAAGATGATCAAGCAGGGTGCGCCCCGGCTATTCCTGCACGAGAACGTGCCGAATTTTCCTGTTGCACTGGTGCAGAGCCTTCTAGGCCCATGTGACCCATGCACTGGCAGTGGCTTGTTTTTTGTTGATTCACAAGCTGGATGTGATGTGCAGGCACCGACTATGTCCTACGTTGCATGCTGCTGGATCCGAAGACCTTTGGTTTTCCAATGAATCGGAGACGCCGCTATTGCTTGGGTGTGAGATTAGACACAAGGCAAGGTCCTGTCTGGAGTGGCTCAAAGATTCTAGAGCTTTTTTCCGAATTGCCGTTTGCATGCTGGGAATCCGAAATAGCGCCAGGCTGTGTGGGAATGTCGACGAATTCGTCGACAACCTGGTCCCCGCAGACGAAGATAACATTCACTTGACGGCTGACGACTTTTTGCTGTCACCGCCTCTGCCACAAGAAGAAATTCTAGGATCAACCACCGAGGTACAAGCTAAGGCCGCGAGCTACTATGTTGATGAACTGGGTGCACGGATTTGTGACTTACGACAGGATCCGAGATACCGACCGCGATGGGGAACCGATGACTTTCCAGTGTTGACAACTGGTTGTGACAAGCTCCTGAACATTTCGGCCGAGCAATTTTACAGCCCGGAGCTCAGCATACGCTTGCTTGTGATTGCATGCTGGAAAGTTTTCGGTGAGGTGGCTTGGATCTGGCTGCCAGCCACGGAATGCCAACGCATCAAGTCCTGGCAGATGCTTTGGGCTCTCGCTGTCTTGCGGTTGACGCAGTGTCAAACACAGCTCTGTGCCAATGCGTCTTCAGGTATGCGTTTGAGTAGAGTAGTTGCGTTTTCGGTGTGACACTACACATGCCTCAGACAAACACGTCACATGCTCTGCTAAGGTTGGGAACAGTATGCATGTCACTTGCGTGGGCGCTGCCGTCACGGCTGCAGTGCTTCTTACATGTCCGTCGTCGTCCCACGAGCAAGCCCGTGCGAGCTGAACATAGGCTGTGCTGAGTGGGGTGGAGTGTGGAGGTAATAAAGCTGACTGCGCTGATTTGCTGATGCATGATTGCGTGACAGCATGCCGTACACGAGCAGTGAACAAAAGAAGTGATGCGTCGTCTGGGCATTTCTCACACGCGGCAAACGGAGCTGGGTGACTGTGCTGTGACCTCCATGTTGCTGCAGGACTACGCAGTGCAGTTCGTGATCTTTGCATGATGGCTCGTAGCATTTGTGTGGGCGGTGTGTCTCTGTACTCGTGTTGTGGAGAGGAAGTAGAGGGCTTCCGTAGCATGGGCGGTGGCAAGCGTGCCGCGAAAGCGGCGGTAGATCCTAACGTGGATGATCTCGCGTCCGATGTTGAATCGAGCAGTTGCAGTGGTGCCTCAGCCACCAGCGGCAGTGCGAGCAAGTCGCAGAGCCGTAGGGGCAAAGGGGGTGCCGTTGCCGGTGCCTGCAGGAAGCATTCTCGTGGACGGATCCCGGGGCGCAGACGTCGCGCCGCAGGTGGCCATGCAACTGCTTCAGATTCAGACGGTGCAGCCGCTGCGCCGGAGCAGATTGTCAAGCAAGAGGCGGAATCGGCAGGTCCCGACGGTCCCGGCGGGGGCCCAGCGGAATCGCGCCCATCTGGCAAAGCCGCCACTAAGCGTACAAAGCCTGCCAAACGGAGCAAGCAGCAAGTTGTGGCAGCTCACGGAGCAGATGATGAAGTAGAGCAGCGGACCCAGCATGTGCGGCATGCAGTTAACATGGCACGCAGTTCACTACATAGACACGCTGTATTTCAGGTGCATGCACTGCTACTGCAAAATGGCAGTGAAGGATGCCCGCCTTAGGGGTCGGACCAGCTTCGCATGCAAAGCATGCAACAATGCAAGGGTGGCCATTATTGCAGATTTCAAGAAGCGGAAGCAGATGCATGTGTGGAACAACATGACCAAGTCCGAACGGGATAATGAGATCAGAAACAACAAAAAAAATGCCCGTGGACGTGGGAAGAAGTTCGAAGTCACCTTGTCAGAGAAGGTGGCTTGTCGAGGTTCAAGAACATCTGATTTGTCCGAGTGCAGTCCATCATAATGTTGTCATTCCTGTCCCAACCGCCTGCCAACGCATCAAATGCAGAGTAAACCGAGGTTTCGGTGTCAGACAGCATGGAGTGCCGGCGCAGCAAAGAGTATCTCAACGTTAGGCAGTTCCACAAGGAGTGCAAGAAACGATGGGGACTTCGAACGGACGAGATCAAGCAGCGATGGCGCAGTCTGCTTGGAGACCCTGCCGTCCCCAAGGCCAAGGACGAGGAGGGTTGGTTAACGATGCCAGCGCTCGCTGTCTTCCAGTGACTCAGCCAATTGTGATGTGGGTGGTGTACACAACTACTGCTACTGCTATTACATGGAAAGCGTTGGGAACCTTGTTTTTTGTTGCTATAATGCTGCTGTCGTTGACGTCGCCGTTGTTGTTGTTCCTCCTGCTCCTGCTGCTGCTTTGGTGTCGTTGTTCCAGAGTGTTGTTGTTGTTGTTGTTGCTGCTAGTCTGCTAGTTCTGCTAGTTGCTACTGTGCTGCAGTGCTGCTGCTGCTGCTTCTCGCCTAGGAGCGTCGGGAGCCGGAAGATAAGCCACACTGGGTCGCTGACGACGGAGAGCGGTTTGGAGGGTCAGACGGATTCAGACCTGCAAAAGGCCGCCCGGGGGTTGAAAGAAGGGACATTGCACGTCGACACGTCGATCTTCGACAAATCCTGCTGCTTGGCAACTGTTCGGGTTTGGGGTGCTTAGGTCAATAGCCGTATACGCTGCGCATAGCATGTACCGTCGAGTTTCGAGGTCTGAATGACTTCATGGAGGCACCAGTTCTGCAGGTTGAGTCGGCAGTGCAAGTCTCTGGGCGCAAAGCTGGCAGAGGACGCGGCGGTGGTGCTGCGCGAGGGCGGGGTGCGAAGGTTGCTGGTGGCAAAGGTGAGGCTCCCGACGAGGAGGACAGTCGACCAAGAGTGCGCCATCGCGATGCCGAGAGAGACTTGGCCAAGATCCATGCACTTCGGAATCGACGGACGGTGGTGACTGAATGCGTCGGTTCCCCAGATCGCACTCACTCGCTCTGGGTTTTGTCGTTTTGGGCTTGCTGCCGCACGAACACACTGTGTCTCTGCCTCTCTCTCTCTCTCTCTCTCTCTCTCTCTCTCTCTCTCTCTCTCTCTCTCTCTCTCTCTCTCTCTCTCTCTCTCTCTCTCTCTCTCTCTCTCCCTCTGCCTCCTCTTCGGTGCAGTCGATGCTCTCCTTGTCCCAGGCAAACGATATGCGCCATTTGCTGAAGGAGTTCGGGATCGCGCTGCAGAGATCCTCTGATTTCCGATCGGAGCTCGGAGAGCCCGAGCCCCTGTGTGTGATGTGTGTGTGTGTGTGCCCAGAGACTCCATTACCCCTTAATTAAGGAATATTCCTTAAATCAGATTAAGGATCCTACTATAATTTAAGGTATATTCCGAAAAAAAAGGGGTATTGGAGTCTCTGATTGTATGTGTGTGTGTGTGTAAATGTGTATGCACGTCTGTGCACGTGTGTCGAGTTGTAGGCAGGCGTTGGCCAGGTAGGTAGGACGGCAGGCAGGTAGGTATAGGTCGGTTGGGGTTTTTTTTTGCTCTGGGCGGCTAGCCTGTAACTGAGTTACTCGGGCTTGGCGCTCAAGCAGCTGCTGAAGCTGCAGAAGATCATGCCTGCGGAAGTGACGAGCCAGCTGGAAACGGATGCCAGCGAGGAGGGTGGCAGTCTGCAGATTGCCCTGGATTACCTTGACGAGTATGCGGGCAGCAGTGCTGCGATCAAAGAGCGCAGCCCAAACAGTGAGCAGGCCTTCGTGCAGGCGAGCGCCAGCGTGGAGAGAGTGTGAGCGAGAGGTCAGATGAACGCACACACACACACACACGCACACGCACACACACAGACACACACACGCACACACACACACACAGACAGAGACACACACACACACACACACCCCACGGACCTGCCCATGAGGCAAGCTCGGGAACAGGGTCTGCCTTTGGGGGGCTCCCCCATCCCCGTGGGTTTTATGTATGCGTACATTCAAGGAGATACACGTAGACGTAGATGCAAGCATCATGCAAGCATACACGCGTGCTGCATTCAGACAGATGTCTTCAGGCTTTTTGTCGTGTTCGTGTTTTGTACTGTAAGCAATAAGCCTTCTTCTCAGGCATTTAACAGTGGCGAGGAGCTTGAGCCGAAGTACATCAAGCAGTACAGCAAGGCCGGTGCTACAGGGCTACACGGCAAGTCGGTAGGACGAATGTTTAATCCTGCGATACACCTTCGATGCACAGCCTGCGAGGTTCGCGCTCGGTGCTACTGCTATTGCTACTGCTACTGTCCACCCACCCCCCCACCCCCCACCCACACCCCCACCACACCATGCTCCAGTCTCACGTCCCAGCTCTCACTCTCATCTAGCTCTGGTCTTTCTGGTTGATTCTGCAGGTTGTGCGCAGCCTGGTGAATGCCTCTCAAGTGGCCCTGAATGGATTCAGCGATGCTGTCGAGGACGAATTGCGCAGCTTCGCTTGATTCGTTTTGTCAATAGACGCTGCCGCCAACTCCTCGCATAAAGTTTGTTTGTGCAGTCTGCTTCATGCATGCTGACAGGGCGCATAGAGGAAGAGGAAGTGGAAACAGGCAAAGCCGACAATGACGACAAAGATGCAGACAAGGCGGACAGAGCCGGCGATGGTCCCGATGTGGAGGGGCCGTGGGCTTGGCCAATCATGGATTGGCTGGGCCAACGGGCTGATGCTCCGCAAGAGGTCTTGGAATTGAATAACCTCCGTGTCGTGCCACGCGTTGCGGATGCATCATGGGTGGAGGAATGGCATGGGGCCTACTTGTACGACGGCATCCGCGGCCAGGACGTTCCTGGCGAAACGATGTCCCAGTTCGAGGACTTCTACAAGTCCCCCAGCGTAGTGCCACCCCCGTGCCGCAACAGAGTGTCGAACCAGACCGTGTCCTTTGCCTCCTGCTTCCGCAGTCAAGATTGGACATCGACAGATGAAGCCCTTCTTAGGTCCAGCTACTGGGCCTGCCAGCACTGTTCAGCAGACGGGACGTTAAAGGATGCTTTCGCCAACACCGATGGCAACAGCCAGATGGTTGAGAAAGCAGCCGGAAGACTTTGCTGTGCGCGCTACCAAGGTGCCAGAGCGGAGTTTTCACAAGTGGGAGTCTTTGCTGCATGAGCTTGTCAAGCTTTGCTGCCTTAGTGCGGTGGGGGGCGCGCGCGCGCGCGCGCGCGCGCGCATCATGATTTTTTCTCTCTCTCTCTCTCTCTCTCTCTCTCTCTCTCTCTCTCTCTCTCTCTCTCTCTCTCTCTCTCTCTCTCTCTCTCTCTCTCTCTCTCTCTCTCTCTCCTCTCTCTCTCTCTCTCTCTCTCTCTCTCTCTCTCTCTCTCTCTCTCTCTCTCTCTCTCTCTCTCTCTCTCTCTCTCTCTCTCTCTCTCTCTCTCTCTCTCTCTCTCTCTCTGTCTCTGTCTCCGACGGACACGTAAGGTTTCTCGCAACTGCTGATGAGAAGGATGGTGTACTGTGCGGATGGCATACGCTTCTTTGCCGGGGTCCCCATCAAAGCGCTGCAGGAGCACTTGTTTGACACGAAAAGCGAGCATCAAGGGTCTTTCCATGGGGCATGTGCTGCCCTGCCAGAGATGTCTCCCATTTCTGTGTTCGAGCTCGGTGGATTTGTCACGACGTTGCAAGCCAATCAGGTCCTTGAGATACCGCCCGGCTATCTATGCGCTGAGGCCCTCTTGACAGATACGAGCACAATCGTCCACTGGACAACGCTGCGCCCGATTCAGCAAGACTTGCAGGAGTTCGGGGTGCAGGTAGATGTGGCCCGCACCATCATAGAGCACGACAAGGCAAACCTCCCCGCAGACAAGCGCCCGACCCTCGATGTTTGCGCCGCTCAAGTCCAGGGGGCAGCGATTGTTCGGCTTTGGGCAGAACAGAAATCGCGAGCACTCGAGGATTGCCTTGAGGGGCCAGGCGCTCAAGCGGCGTTTGGGATTCCGTTGAAGGTGTCGTCGTCAAGCTTGTCAACTTGTCAACAACACATTTCTTAAAGCGCTCCCTTCAGGCAGGCAATGCAGGCAGTTTAGATATACAGGGTCGTGTTCGTGTTTCGCTGTTTTTTTGAGATTGAGCGAATCAGGGTTTAGTGTTTAGGTTCCTCAGTAGATCTCAGTAGTGCACGTTTGCCCTTTTCATTGGGGTCTCCTTTCTTGGAACCGAATAGTTGCTGGGTCGCCTAGGAGTTCAGGATCTTGTGTTCGGGTTCAGGCCTGCGAAATCTGGTGACTTTGTGGGCGGTCAAGAAGTGGATCGCCGACTCAGATGGGCATAGGACGGCGTGGCCCTCATCCTCGTCATGCTTCTTTGAACAGTTTTGTCAATGTCCACTTAACTTGTCGAGTGCTTCTCCCAGGTAGAGCAGTTCGCTCGGCATTTGGCCGGCCTCATTGCTCAGAATCGTGTTCTGGTGCCATGGACAGAAGTCTTGGCAGCAGCCGGGATTGAGGACAACAGTGAACCATCAAGGATGCTGCTAAGTGCTCTTCGCCCATCCGTGAGCAGCCAGATGCAGATGGATGTTCCAGACAGTTTGAACATCATACGCTCTTTGTTGCCAACGCCGCAGACAGCTGCACGGGGTCAGAGTGCGACGGCAGCACACCCAGCAGCGCCGACACTGAAGCACACATCGAAGCCTAGGGTTAGGGAAGAGGGAGAGAACACAGAATCGGCCCAAGCGGGCCCGAGTCAAAAGAAGAGAAAGCAAAAGCCAGAACCGGCACATTCACAAGAGAATCGGACACCGGAAGACCGCGAGCAGCCGAGGGTCAACCCGCCACATGATCCTTCCAGCCAAACCCAGGCCCCACAGCCGACTGAGACTACTGCCCCTGCTGTTTCACCCGAGGCCGATCATGCTGCCGCTGCGACACCTGCCACCAGTGCCATTGATCACGCATCACAGGCGCATGCTGCGGCTGCTGCTTCTGCTGACACAGTTGTGTCAAGTCCGCTTCCGAAGCCGTCCGTACCGCAGGCAGGCACCCCTCCGACCCCCGTCACGCCCCAGGAACGATCCGAGGCAGAGATTGCATTGGCTGAAATGCGAAAGCGACTTGCTGCCACAGGTGGACACCGCTTTCAAGAGGCTACCGAGGATATTGAGAATGCCAGGAAACGCCAAAAGCTTGGATCCCCGAAATCCCCGACGGCCCCGACACAACCGCCACAAGGTTCGCGAGGGCTTCCGAGTGGTATCTTGGACGATGATCATGAAGACGAGACGGCTGACCTCACAGCGGCCATCGCAAAGCCGAGCGAGGGCACAGGCGGCGGCGGCGGCGAGAAGGTTGGACCCTCAGAGTCTTCGTCTGGAGAAGACGAAGATTCAGATGATGACGATGACGAAAAGACGGACTCCTACGAGAACGGTGACAGTCCAGATCGTGACGCGGTACTCGCATCAGCATTGTAGGGTCCAGCCAGGCTCCAAGTAGACCCTACCGTTTTTATTTCCCCGCCCTTCTTGGGATTTTCAAAGGGTTTCTTGGGGGGTTTTGTCAAAGTTCCGGGTTCGGACCCTGAGTAGCGGCATCGTTTTTATGATATGTTGTTTCCTGACTTCCTGGTCGGAGCTAGTTTGGATTTTCGGGATTCGGTTTGCGGGTTGAGGCTTTAGGGTTTAGGCGTTAGGGTTTCGGCTTTTGCATTCTTGTATAACCCGCCCTATCGAATCCAAACACCCTGGGGTTTTTGAACCTGCACAGCATACCAACATACACAAAAGGTAGCAGGTAGCAGCCTGATATTAAAACTCTGTCCTACTCTGTGTGGCTTCCAAAGCTCAGGTGAGTCCCGGCCTGCCCGCGGCGATGCGGGCGCAGGACCGGGCAAGTGAAAACATGAAAGAGTGCAAGCAGCCGAACTCGATCAGGGTCGCGATGCCATTGATATTTCATGTCATGTAAGAACTTGCCCCCACACTACAGTACCCGACCCAAACCGCATCACAGCAGAAGCCGCCGAAGGACGCGGAGGTCGTGGCCGCGGCCGTGGCCGACAGCCAAAGGCCAAAGCAAAAGCGACGGCGGCGAAGGCGAAGGCCAAAGGTAAGGCAGCTACTAAGGCCCCGGCGAAGCCGAAGCCAAAGGGCACTCCCAAGGCGGCAACACGCCGCCGCAAAGACTAAGAGTCTTTTCCTATGTGCGAGTGCGCCACATGCGCCAGGATTTTCAGGTTCCAGCCAAGTTCCAGCTTAGGGCACTCGAGGTAACGGGCCAATAGAGATGTGTTCGAGTTCTTGTGTGTGCGCCGTGCGCTAGGCGACTCAGCTTTTAGCATTAGTGCAGCAGACCAGACCCGTCGTGCGACGACGATTGGGGGTGACTCACCGTCCTGACGGGCAAAACGAAGTGCCCGGGCGGTCCCAGCTTCCGTGGTGATTGCTTCAGGGTGGGATGATGATGATGATGATGAGGGCGTGTCAGAGCTTCAGGGTGGGATGATGAGGGCGCGGCTATTGTAATGTTTTATGTTGGTGATGGTGGTGGCGGTGGTGTGGCGTGGCGGTGATTGGAGGTGGCCCCGATGCATATGTAAGTTTTTGTGCCCCAACCTTAAATGCTAAAAGCCCTAGATTGGCATGGGAAGCCTTCTGCGCCAAGTCCTGAAGTAAACCCTGCCAGAGGCAGGGTGGTCAGAATATCGCCGTGTCAGAAAAATAAGCCCATCAGCTCTTGTTTTTTCCCGTGCAGTCTGTTTAGACTCGCCCTGTTCCGCCCTAGTTGCTGCCCACATGCCTCGTGGGACAGTATAGGCCTCCTGAGGTTGGGGCGCCCCCGGGGCTGCCCGCCTTCAACCTCGGCCTGCAGGGCACACAACCACCAGCCCAACAGGGAGCCCATGCCGGCTGCGCCCAACGGCCCAAAGAAGCCGCACTCCTCCGAAGAACGGCGAAGGCCAGGCCGGCGAGGAGGAGAGCAACAAACACAGCACGGAGTAGGGCGTGAGCCTCCACGGCCAAAACACCCCTCATTATTTTGTTCATCCGGCCCGCCGTAGCCGCCAGTTTTGCAAACAACAACCCGGAGCCCTGCCCTCAGTGGATAACTGTGTGAGTGGCCCCAGGTTTTTCCTCTAAAATTTCGCGTGGCTTCGCCACAGCAGTTTTTAACTGACTCGGAGGTGACTTTTCCCTCCCAGATCTCCGAGTCCGACAATGGGACTGTGGAAGCCACTCCCGGGGAGGAGTCTCCCCACAACCGGCGCCCCGGACGCAGGCATGTGCCACAGCACCGAGGCAATCGCCGGAGCCGTCACGTCCTTCAGGCAACCCGGATCCGCACAGATCCAACGCCGTGTTTTGGGCAACATGGCAACCTCCTAGGGATAACAGCCCTGCCAAGGCCGCCAGGGCTGGAGCCAGGGACCATGGGAAGGTGCTGCCCATGAGGCGTCATGCCTCAAACCCTGCCCGCTTTGCGGCGGCTGTTGTCTGGAAATCAGTGCCTATTTCACGGGATGCTTGCATTGCTCGGGAGTGGCCCTCAGGCCCACAGACCCTCAGCTCCCGACCCTCTTCCCTACGGGGCGGTTTTCTCAACCCCCGCAGGTGGTACCCCTCACTGGCGAGGGAGAGACTGCAGCCACTGAGGCCCCAGATCAACCCTCTACCCAGCCACAAACGGGGCGACGCTCCCCCGAGAACTCGGCGCCTCAGGGGGCCGAGGGACCCAAGCCAGTACCAGGGAGGGCCCCGCAAACGGCGCCCAGCAGCCTCAACACAGCCCTCACCGCTGCAGCCCATAGCAGAGCGGCTCGCCCACGCCTGCACTGAGGCGGATAGCCTCAAGGAGGCCGAGGAGGCTATCGTGGCTTTCGGCGAAGCGGTGGAGATGGAACCTGAAGGCAGTCTCGCCTATCGCCTTGGGTGGGACCTCCTCGAGGGCCTTCAAGGGTCGGGGTGGTTGGACCCCCCTTTAGCGGCCGCTTTCGCGCATGACATTGCTGCTCAGGGAGCCATTTCCTGCCGACCCCATTCACATCACCAGCGCCAACGTGACCACCTGGAAGAAGGAACTGCTCACGTGGCACCCGGCCACGAAGGGAGTCCTAGCATTGCAGGAGTTGCACCTCAACGCCGAAGGCCTCAACCAGCTCCGCATCGAGGCGTCCAAGTGCGGTTTCCACCTGTTCACGCCGCCAAAGCGCAACCGGCCCTACCCCACTCGTGGAGGCATCGGCCTTTTGGTCCCTGCCAACCTGCAGGGTCAAGCCTGTGGTGGCATGATCACGGAGGAGGGATGCGGCTACGTGGCGGTCGCCCTCCCTCGGATCGTGGTTGGAGATTGGAACGCGCCTCCAGCCGAGTTCCTGGGCACCTCTTGGGCCGAAACAGTGGGAGGAACCCTTCTCGCACCTGAAGGTCCGACCATCCAACACGGGCAACACCCTCGACTATGCCCTTTTGGCGAGGCCGCTGGCGTCTCTTACCAGCGTAAGGACGGTGTGGGAGGTCCCTTTTTCGCCACACGCCGCGGTCTCCTTCACCCTCACCGTCCAACAGGGCCTTGTGGCGTTGCCTCAACTGGCCGGCTACCAGGGCCAGGGAGCCCTGCGGGATGAAGTGGCACCCGCCGACCCGGTGTTTGTAGCCCCCGGTCTGGGGACGATCGGGGCCCAACCTATCCGGTCGGACCCTTTGACATGCTGGTTCGCGAGCATCACCGCCGAAATGGCGGCACGGCATTTCACCAGCGACGGAGGGAGAGGCACCAACAACCCCCTCCAGCACAAGCCCCTCATGCAGCAAGACTGGTCCTACCCGTGGAGGGGCCACACTGCTTTCTGGAGTCGAATGGCCTCATTTTGGGAGCACCCGAAAAAGCACCTCCGGAGAATCGAGGCTTTGGTGAGCAAGATGCCACCCGAGGCGGTGGAGGCGACCACCCTCCACCTCGCACAGCAAGGGATTGAGGCCTCCTCTCCCCAGGACTTCCTTTGCGCCCTTGGGCCTTTGGAGGAGGGCCGACCCTCAACCCTAGCTGTCGTCCGACAACTTCGTGACGAGGAGCACCAAAGGGCCCGGAAGGCTGAAACCGACGCGGTGGCCGAATGGCTCGTGATGGGCACCCGGCGAGGCATGCGACCGCTTTTTCGTTGCCTTTCTAAAGCTGAGACCAACGTGGCGAGGCCTTTCGCCGAGGTGGCAGCTGAGTCCCGGCCATACGAGCGACTCAAGTACTGGGCCACTTTGTGGCAAGCCCGGGGAAGTCCAACCCCCTACTTCCCAGAGCTTCGCCGACAAGCCGTCGAGCAAGCCAGGCAGCTGCCCGCTGTCACGGGGCGACAGATGTACCGGTACATCCGCTCGATGCCGTGCAAGGCCCCCGGGCTAGACGGATGGGATGTGCCTTTCCTGAAATCCCTTTCCAGCGAGGAGGTTCATACCCTCGCAGACCTATGGAGAGAGGTAGAATTGGAGGGCGTTATTCCACACCAAGCTTCTTTCACCCAGTACGTTATGCTCCCAAAAAACGAGAAGGTGGAGAGGCCAATCGGCCTTATGTCCACCTTCCTGAAGTTAGGCATTAAGTGCCGATGGGAGCTCGCGAGCGCATGGATAGAGGCAAACCGTGCCTCCTTGTGGTGGGACTCGGCCCTGCCATCCCGGAGCACCCACGATGCATCCCTGCGGCGCGCGTTTCTGTACGAGGCGTGCTGGGTCGACAAGGTGCACCGCTGCACCATTTTCTTCGATCTGAGCACATTTTATGAACGCGTGAGCCACGAAAAGCTGTGCGAGGAAGCAGCCCATTGGGGCTTTCCGCCGCTTCTCCTCAACTTAGGGATGCAAGCCTATCGCGGCGGTCGCATCGTGACTGCCGACTCCGTCGCGTCACCATGCGTTTTCGCAGCGAGAGGAATAGTAGGCTCCTCTCCTATCGAAGCTATCGATAGGTAAGCCCATCAGGGCAGCGTGTACCGGCACCCTGGCGGACTACGTAGGGTGTTGGGTGGACGACGTCTCGGCCGACGTCGTTCACAAGACCCCGGAGCGCGCCGCAGCCGGAATCGTCACCCTCTTCCGCCGTCTCAACAATGCGTTAGAGGCTGAGGGCAATGAGGTGTCTGCCTCCAAGACACATTTCGTGGCCAACTCGCCGGAGGCGGAACGCGCGCTCCGCCGCAAGCTGGGGAAGGGCGACCCCCCGGTGCGCCGCACCACCAAGGACCTCGGCATGGAAACGGCCGGGCGTCGGCGTACCACCTTCCAATCGGCGGCGCGACGCCTGAAAGGCAACCGGCGTTTCGCGAAGCTCCAGTCTCTCCGCTTGCCGGCCCTCAGGGTCCGATCCAGGCTTTTCTCCATGAGCGTCATGGCGTCGGGCAACTGGGGACACCAGTCCCAGGGGGTTTCTCCCAAGGTCATGAAGAGCCTCCGCTTTCAGGCCGCGCAGGTGTCCAGGAGGGTGA